TATATATATATCTTTAACCATCGTTGTTGACTCATACAATAAAATAGATGAAATAAGACGGATCACAGTAGATTGTTGAGGACGCTGCTGTGAAGAATCACTAAGTATATTAAATACATGAAATACATTTATATTATAAGCGATCACAAAAAAATCACATCAACAATGATAATACGATGCTGATCGTAATAATACTGCTGCTTTTAGCGACATGATGACGGTATCGCCTGAAAACGAATCAAGGGATCAGTATGTAGCAGTGAGGGGTCGCAGTGCTTTGGTCCAGGTAATCCAGTGAATAAAACACCTAGACAGCTTCACTACATATTTATTGTGGTGACAACACAGCGGCATGATAAAACACATTTGGTTGTTAAAAATTGTTACTACTAAATGCATGGAGATCACTTTTGACATATAATAAGAAATGAAAAAAGCTTTTTTTGGGTACAAAAAAAAATGAAACAGACTTACGAAAACAGTGATTTTATAGAATTATAAATGGATAAAATTAAGAAATACCAATAATTAAGTTTATTCGCAGCAAGTGCGGATCATAGAACTACGATTGATGATGACAAGTGATTTCTGTGATCTTTTGGGTGGGTGTGAGCAAAACGACTGTCGAAAGCTGTTTACCCGTGGTGATGTCAGATACACGAATAACGCCTTCGTAGCCGTCCGCCATATCTTCATACCCTTTATTGGCTGAAATAAACGATTCGATTGTTTGAAGTAATGAAGTGTCGTAGAATACACATTAAACCTAAGTTAACTGAACCATCTTCCCACTCATCCCTTGGCAAGTTGCGCGTGTCGTAGCTGGCAGGTCTGAATTCTCAAGCACGCAATTCCAGCCATTGAACCCGATAACCCATGGACGTAACCTTGAAATGCATAACTAATGTAATAGATAAAGGTGATGAGAGCCATGAGAACGAGCGAATTAAGAGAAAGTGAATCAACTGATTACGTTTAAGACGCAAAATTTACGTACATCGTATCACAAAAGCCGTTATTGGTATCGAATTATCTTAGGATTAAAATTAATTAGGACGAAACTGAAAAGACAAAACGCTCTCTTACTAGGTTGCTCTCCCACGTTTTTGTCACAGTCGATAGATAACGACGGATAGATTGCAGTCCGTTTCGTAACAATCCATGTACACGCATTTCTTGATAATGCTAATCGGTTCTAAAGTGTCGATATATTATTCTACACCTTATTGTAATGCGTATTCTATATTAAGCCCCTAGCTAACCCTAAGTTGCCATCGCGCTGCCCCCGGTCTCACTTCATTTGACATAAAAACGCGACATGTTCTTGCGGCAAAAAAAGTTCGTGGGTCAACGAAAAAACTGTGAAACACTACACGTAGAAGAAGCGACAATACAACTACGACAACAGTTTTATACCGCTATATTATTCCTGCTAAAGTAACTAAAGTGAATCGTATCTTGTGTGTATGTGCCTGCATTTGCCGATCTAATCGACCGATGATTACAAATGCGTCGTTTCGAAGTCCATGTGGGAGTCTATTATGTTTGCCTTCAGAGTTCCGCACTTGTCTGCGGAAAGCTGGTGAGGACGGGGTGACTCTAACTAGAAATAAATAACAGCAGCAGCAGCAGTAAACGGAAATGTCCCTAATCGCGTACAATGACGATGGCGAACCTGAGAGTACTCTTATTGATAATTTTTGTTCGTGTAACTCGTCTCGAGTGTTCAGTAAAACAGACGTATATAGAAAATCAGACATGTGTGTAAATACCATATAGACACGTAGGATGTCTTCATGAACTGAGAAATGATTCCGTCTACTCCGACGGGCGAGAATGAAAAATGCGAGCGGAAAAAGACCTACCCGACGCTAACAAAAAAATAACTAAAGTGTATTCGGTATTCATACGTATGTACAGCGATGATTAGGAAATCACAAGAAGTTGAAATTGAGATATCATCGTCGATTTGGTTGTGCTGTTATGACGCGGAATCCGAACGTGAAATAACATCGGCCATTTTCGTCTTGTTTCTCGACCAGTTCACTTCCTGTTCAGTTAACCATGTCGAATGTATAAATATATAAATTTAGGGCGAAGATTAAACCTTAGAAGTACCACTTGATGTTAGTAAATATAAGAAATAATATGTCTAATGTAATAAAAATAGGCAGTCCTGGCGTTTCAGCTCGTCCTCAAGATTCAGATGAGTCGAATAGGGCTTTCTATCCAATGTGTGTTATGTTGTTGGTAGGTCATCTGATAGCTCGCTATTTCCTGTTTCTTGGAACTACACTAAACCTGCCGCCCTTCTTAGCAGGTAACCTTCGGCTTGTGTTGTAACCAAGTCGAAGCTAAAGGCTTATTGGCTTATGTGTCATACAATAAAAAAATGTCAAAGCATACACTTTGTGAAAGCCTTTGAAAATGAAAAAGATGTGTGAATGTGTAGTTACCTAACAACAAAAAAATATAGTATACATAGAGTTCATTTCAACGTTCTACAGCAAGGAGAGTACTTTTTGACATTCGGTACAGCTGTCCAACATAGCTGAAGAAAGTGTTTCGCGTTTCAAACACGAAAACAATATTGCCTCAAAACTGTGTCCATCATTTTTAGATAAATAAAAAGCAAGCCAACTTTCGTCTGCTGTAAACGGATGAGGTTGCTTGAACATCTGCAGGGGAAAACGTTGTTTTCCGCAAGTTATATCAATTGATCAGGAACTTCCTAATAGTTTCTCTCCTATTTCTTTCCTCTCTAGTCGCCGCTGTATGTTTTTATCGCCCAACTTGATAAACGTTTGCCCTATAAGCTCACTAATAAAACTACAATCATACTAGCTTTCTCTACTAACTGGTTAATGGCAACTAATCGACACTCGGAAGCGCCGGGTTCATTTATTAGACTAGGGACATGCGCGTTGTATCTCGAGTGGCATTTGGTCTGTACTCTGTGACCAGAGGTCACATGACTATAAAACGAGATTCCAAAATGATCGCGGGGTGGATACAAAACTACTGCTGGTTGAAGTGAAAACAGGTATAAATTTACCCTTGTTACCCACTCGCCGACTGAACCTTCGGAACTGAAAACATTCGGAAGATAAATCGAGAGAATATAATCAGTAGGTGTATAATCGGCGAAGTTTGCAAAAAATTCCATAGGAAAATTCTCTTTGAATGCGATCGAAAAAAGGTAATTCGATGAAAAAAGCCAGGCAGGAATTATAAGTTTGAATGCGTCTTGCTTCGTGTAATGTTGAAGAGACGCTCATCCACAGAACGCACAGCAGAAACTAAAGGGCATAAAGTGACTGTGACCTGAGCGTTCAGACATTGGTTCAGACGAAAGTGACTGAAATGAACCAGCTGCTAATTCTGATCGATTGCCTGATTGATAAACCAGTGGGATATGTATTGTGGGGTTGTCTGCTGCAGCTACTTATTTCGCCATTATTATTTATGTCTAATTGAGAGTGCGAGTAGTGAGCGTGCATGTGTAGCGTATGACTATCTCTGTGACTAACCTCTCTGTTATATCGTTGAATGTATTGTACATTGAATTCATTGATCGCCCTCAAGGCTCTCAACTGTATATTGCGGGGCACACTACTATTACAATAATCTGTATTCATGAAGTGCCACACTTACACACACACACTTCACGTACACACAGACACACACAATAACCGTTAAAACCACCGCTACTCTCGAGTATCACTTCAATCAGCGTCATAAGCCGGTATTAACATTCAAGCAAAATCCACCCAGATACTCGCGCATTATACACCCTGTCATTTTCTACAACACTACTGCGATATGTTACAACCATCCTACAGTAAGCAACACTACAATCATTACAAAAGCCTGAAAAAGAGAGCACACTTTACATTCAGTAGATCCCAAATCACAGCTTTATTTATTGAGTGTCAAAGTAATCATACTAAGCTCGTGAAGCACGAAGGGCGAATAACAAAGAAAAATTCAAGCTCAGAAACGTCTTAGACTTTAAAAGTTAATCGATACAAGAGGAGTACGCTAGGGGCATAACTCGACAAAATCTGGCCGCTCGAGTTAGGGAAAGGAAACAAATAACGGGTCTTGAAAAATTCAGTCTTTAAACGATGAAGCATATCAACCATAGTAGGTTGCCATCGCGGCATCGTGATACATTGGTGGATGATAAATGATCAACATTGGGCCAGACGGGAAGATACATCAAAGAAACCCTAATCTTCTGCTGTTATGTAAACGATGTATAAAAAAATCGGCTTGCAGACACCTACCCAAGCTTGCATGAACCTAAGTACACATTCAATCCGAAGAAAGACAGACATCTAAACACATTTACACAGTTCTCAACCCTTTCCCTCCGCATTTTTCTCCTAGGAACTACTTACCCTTCCAGTCAATGACGATGCCGCCATTATGTCAAATGTGAACTGTAGAGCCGAGTAGGCAACAACCTTCAAATGGTGTGGTAGATGATGGCTCAGAGTCGTATGGTTATTATATTATAAATGCTGATGATATATATATATAAGATAGATAAAGATAGAGAGAAAGAGAAAGAGAGAGAGAGAGAGAAAGATTCATGGCAAACGGGGATAAAAAGAGAGACAATGCCACATATTGATGTGGCGGACCGCAATGATGTCGTGTGAGTATTTTCATACAGGAGAGAACAACAACAAGTTTAGGACGATGGAAAGACTTAGTGGAGACTAGATAATAAACAATAAACAAGCTAGACAACAACTGGAAGGGGAAACAGCTAGAAAGGCGAAAAAAGAATTAGAAATAACTGTGGACTTTATTGCTGGAAATGCCACATGTTTTAAATGGTGAAGACAATGATCAACCTGACGAAGCAACAGCGAAAGGGATTATGTAAACACCCTACAATAAAAGTAGAAAGTAATGAATGGAAAACGAAAGTGAACAATGAGAAAAGCTTCTCTTAATAACCTATACATACCTAACCTCCGTATTCAGATTGGCCTGCTGTACTTAGAAGATGAAACAGTACGAACGCATTCTGAGTGTATTCCTTCGTGTCTGGACGTGCCTGCACAGGTTCAGCCATGCCGGAACATCTTCCAAAGGTTTAGACATGTACGAAACGTGGCTGGAACACATTTGGATGCAATGTAAAAAACTTAAAGGAACGCTTGTTTGACCATGCAGGACAAAACACAATTTATACAATATGATTCGAACAGTAGAGGAGACACGCTTAAGTGCTTGTCTGGGGGTGTCCAGGCGAACAAGCTGAAGCTCAGTCGGTTAATGACGGAGCAACCGAACCTATTCAAGTATATCTCAAAATGATTGTGCTCTTTTGGAGGTGAATAGACATGATAAATAGAACCTGACCGCGCGTATCTAGACGCGTCTGGATATGTGGCACCTGGGTGCGTGCCGATAGAACTGGGCTTATTTTCGTTGGCATATACATACAACGACTCTTGGAGAAATCCAATTGCGTAATAAAGTTCATTGTAGTCTATATGAAAATCCAAATGTGTCACGTCTTGTCACGCGGAATATTTTAGTTCAAGCTTTACACCTTTACATCTGCCTGTGTGTTTGGTTTTTGTATTTATTTAATGATGACGGTAACGTATGCTATAATGATTACGAAGGTGATAACAGCAGAAACACTGACAAAACAAAAGCATCAACACGATAGATGAATACTTTCGCTATATAAATACATATAATTTACGCTGATGGATGACTTTCGACTGTTATATTTATATTATTACTACTATTATGATATGGTAATATTATTATTATCTATTTGTGAGGACAATGCTTCTAATGATGACGACTATGAGCATGGTGATAATAATGGTGATGAATAAAATGTGGTGAAGTTCATTAGCAAAAACGTATGTTGGGTGTGTCCTTACTTTAGATTACGATGTTCGAGATACCCTACAAAGTCTATATTGGTAACTTTCCATGGCTTACTTTCCAAATAAGAAGTCTGAGGTTAGGTACGCTGAACAAAACAAGATAGTCAAACAGTAATAAGACATTTGAAGTCTCTTTGGGAACTTCGTCAATGTTTTAAACCTGTTGTAACCTAACGTACTACGTCGTGTCTTGTGGTAAGAGCCAGCCTTTTAAAGCAACATCTAACGTAAAACTGTGTTAATAATTTGAAATTATCGCTACAAGCGGAGTAATTAATAAATTGCTCGTCCTGCAGGACTTTGACCGTTATCAAACTAAATCCTAAAGAATGATCTACTATTATCAACTTGAACTATGTTTTGCATAGAACTTCGTATGATGTATTCGGTAATGCTTAAAATGGGACATGGACAATATATATCAAACCATTCCCCAGTTTAATTTATTTTGAAATTATTTTCTTGAAATTTAAAATGTATACAGCAAATTCCTCACAAGTTTGAAAATGTCCAGTTATTTTTCAGGTATTTCAAATATTTGCCAAGTTTTTCAAAATTTATTAAAAAAGATTTGTTAAGAATGTATATAATAACAGAAAAGTTTTTTAAACTTTTTTTGTTTTTCTAGAAAATAAACAGAAATGGGTGTAACTGATATATCTTTATATGCCTTCCATTAGCTTTTCTCATTAATCACACTTACAAAATTCCTGAACGCAGCTATAGCAATAGCTCTAGAATACAGATAGTTTTGGGGAAAAAAAACTGACTCAGAACTTTTTTGCTTGAGTAGATCTTCAGACAAAGTAAAAAAATGTCGAATATTCACAACAAATCTAACATTACCGGAATAACGGTTACATGACACATTGTATAGACCAAAATGTTGCTCTTTTAAAAGATACAAAAAAAATTCTTCATAACGATTTATCGCCTGCCTTAAGATCATGTGATAGGGAAATAATGTGTCCTCCGGGTTATATTTACGTCACGCATAATATACTAATTTTTTTAATAAAAAGACAAACTGATCAAGCCAATTTGACGAAACAAATTATCTATCTAAATGTGAACAAGTAATTCGACTAACAACGCTAAGTTACAACAAATATATTTTCCTGAAATTTCGTATAAACTGTAATTGCAAGCTCAGTTTTTGTTATTCGTCTTAAGAACGAGGAAATTTACGCAAGTATGTAAAACTACCCCATCAAAATAATTTGACTGACTACCGCAAACCCAAATGTATTCGAAATATTGGCTCTTCTGACGGCATTAAGTCCGATCGCTTCTATGAATAGAGAATCCGTAGTTTACTTACATTTATACATGTTTCATTTTTAAAAAGACGTTCTCACCCACCTCTTTTTGGAGCAGAGATTTTTGAAGTAGCGTAAAATCTATGTATACTCATTATGTATATTTCGATGTGTCTGTAAGGAAAGGTGTCCTGATATCGGTCGCCAAAAAACTTTAACGCTTGAGTAAGATTTATCTTAATCATAATATTGAAAATCACACATAACGGTCTTCCTGAAATCCTATATTTTTGTAAAGCAATATTTAACTAACCTAAATCGCGTGCTTCGCGTTGAGCTCGCTTAGAGTCGGACTACTCGGCTGATGCAATAAGGATAACGAAATTTATCTCTGGCACTACGGGCGTGAAAAACAGAATTTTCGGATGTATAGTTAGTAAAGGCTTGTGACTCCAAGAACACATTCGTCTCGTCATTATCAAAACTTGGAATGATTGTCTTACACCGCTTCATTTTGTGTTCATGTACAAAAGTCGAAAAGTTTGGGTCAAGTGTAATAAACCTGGTAGATCTTAGTGACTATCGCCTAGTAATAAATCCGTAACCACGACTATTACAGCCTACAGAGATTTCTTTGTAAGCAGTTGATACAAAAAACGAACATATGAAAATAATCGAGTAAAACCACGCACAAATTATTCCTTCATTAAGGTGTCTCGTAGACGACGCCCGCTTATTTATTAAATCCAAACACATGTCTTTTATGTCTTACATGAAGACTGCCTTCTTGGTTTGACCGAATCAACAGTTATTTGTTTGCAATTTCCTGCGCATGGCTTTATGTTCGCTATACTTACGAGAACGCAGAGCCCACATCGCTGTGAAAAATGCATGCCCGTACAGTGAGTGTATATAAACATGCTTGTATTATATCGGTGTAACTAACGGTCTATCATCGTTCGTGGTTTGGTCGAAAATTGTTAAACCTTCAACCCACCCTTTGGACTCGACGAGAGAATAAGTTAGATATCCGTTTTTTTCACTTATCGTCATTATCATTATCAATAGCATCATCACCATCATCATCATGATCGTCGTAATTATGGATAAGCAACAGCCACATTTCGCCTCAAAAACAAAATCAGCAAAATCGTCAGCGACACCACTAGGTCCCGATGATTTGCTACTACTTTGTTGATGGTAATTATCGTTGTTGCTCTTTCTGTTCCCGTTAGTGTGTTACTTGTCGTTTTTGTTGTTGTTGCAATTTAAATTCCTAACTTGAAAATGTTAAAGAAGATAGAGGTCAAAAAAGAAGGTAGAAAAACAATTTGTGCTGGGCCGGCTGCGAGGCCTAGGCCCAGGCCAACCGTGCTTGTGTTTAAGTAAACCTAGCACTTCTCCTCCTCGACGCCAGCCTTGAGAAACATCATAATGGCCTCCTCGTTCCCGTCGGCACCGTCACGATAGGTGAGTACCGCTACGCAGCCGTCAGGGTTCATAGACTCGCCGAGAAAATACTGGCAATCCTTGTCGATTTTGCTGATGATGTACTTGGCGCCGGCCAGGCACTGCGTCTTAAGCTCGGCGATCTTCGCCTCGGAGTACTCAAGCTTATTCCACTTGTCCTGGAGGGCTTTTGTGTAGGTCTTGAGGTACATTTTGTAACCGTTCTTGTCGAACGAGGTCTCCTGCAACCGCTGGTTGAGCACAACATCAAGGCCGGCTTCGGTATGCTCATCTGTACCTTCATCAGCACCTTCGCCCTCAGCGGAGGGATTGGATCCGGCAAGGACAATCTCCCCCTCCTTACGAACGACGTGCTTGCAGGTGACCTCGTAAACACAGTTCTCAACAAGAGTCACCCTGACGGTATCAGTGAACATCTCGTCACCTGTTAAAATACCGAAGAAAGACAGACAAAAGAGGAGCAAGATTTACGTTTACTGACGTCATAACGGAATTTGTTCTGATCGATCGATAGACAAAGTATTCACCGAGAGTCACGAGTCCCTAAACACGTGCAGGCTCTCATCATGTTATCAGTCAAACAAAATTAGAATCAATTAAAATTTGTAAACACATATTTCAAAAAAGCAACAACCTGTAAGCTATTAATTAATTCAATAGGAAACATTTAATTAGTGAAAAGACCACAGACTGCACATTGTAAAAACGACGTAATTCAGATATTGTTTCGAATTTGGCAAGAAAACATGTATTTGAATAATCTACTACTACTAGTCATAACTACCCCTATGCTAGTATCACAGTGACAATCAACCAATTAATGCGATTCTTGAATCATTTTCACTTAAGATGACAACAAAATCGCTGGAAATGCCATTGTACTTAATGCCGTATAAGTTCGTCTACCTGCCTATTGTACCTTCATTGACCGACGTTCTCTTTCCAGTTCCTAAATATGAATCGCCAACAAACGCACTTCCAACGTTTTTGTCATTCCGACACAGCGAGTCTAGGGAACGGATTCGTAATAGCTACGTAAGAGCTATTGTGTTGCCTTCACAGTTTACGGATCAAAATGTGCAAATTGGAACAGCGACAATAATAGGGAAATGAATAATCCGTAATAAACCAGTCTTATAGACATCCAATACACGCAAATTATTGGACTTGTATCTATTCAGTAGGCGAAACAAATTAGCAGAGAAAACAAATTAAGTTTACCTTAGTGAACAACTGACTTGTATTGAGCTATCGTGTACTGCTAGTACACGATAGCTCAATACATACTAGAAAACATTTCCTGCACTTTGTACTGATGTTAACCGCTTATACAGAAAACGTTATCGCGGAATCTCACACTAGTAGGATTATCAATATAATTACTCATAAGTTTTATTGATGGCGGTCCAGTCATGCGTGTCTTTATAAATCTATTGCTGATAATTTTCAGCAAGTTCTCTGTTTAACTTTCGATGATGCATTAAATCGAACCGACCTTGGTTCGAATGAATTATTATATCGAGCGCACACAGATCAGAGTTTCGTCTACGCCTCAGACCTCGAAGTTCGTGTTGTCTTGTCTTGATCTAAGAAACCTGAGTGCTGTTTAACTTTCCTCGCCGGTCTCTACTGCAGTACATGTATAAATGGCGATGCGTCACTGTTGGCAGCTCAGCCATCCTCAATATTCGCAGCGTCACAGAAGTAGTGAACTCTGAACACAAAGTACACCTTAAATCCGAGACAACATGCGTCATGCGGCTATGACGAACTACGCTGACCGCTCCACCATCACATCGACACAACGTTTGACGTTACAGCGGCCGCCAAGACGACTCAGCTCGTCTTTTCGATGACGAACTGCCTTTTCCGTGCTAAAGTAAAATCGGAAACTGCAGAAAAAATGATGAAGACTGCCAATAAAGATGGCATGGACTTGGCGGACATGTCTTGCCCGCGTTCGAAATAGGCTCCCATCGACGTAATCTCACCAGGCCTATTACCTAACACGCAGCAGGTTAAGTTTGATAGTGAAATCGTGTTACTATTAGTACAGGTAAAATCCAGTGGTACACGTGCAACAAACATGCGGGTCACATCCGTTGAGTGACACTAGGTCGTTGCTCGAAGGGATGCTCACAATGGCTAAATGTTCACATTGTTAAAAAGTCACGCTTTCGCACATATTTCACTGTGTCACTCCTGTAAATCGCTTAAGGGACACTTACCAGAGACGATGTCCTTGTAGATCAGCATCTTGACCAGGGTTTTGGTGCGATTTGTCTGGATTTAAGCGGGCAGACTCTGTGAGCCAGACGTATCCGAACAGCTGACAGCCGCAAAAGGGCAGTCTAAGTTCAAGTGGGAGCTGAGCTGGATGCCCGGTGCCGAGCAGATGACGATTGGAGAGGGGCGCTAAGCCCGCCAAATTCTAATTGTTATAAACATATAGGTGTTTTACGGAACTATACAATCTGATGTTTTATATCGTCTTGAAGCACAACATACAGATATCTCCGGGAAAATTGCAGTCGGTAATTTAACAAGTTCTAGTAAAGAGATTTTTGTTGAAATCACTTGCATGGCTAGCTGTATGCCCGGGCTTCCATGGCAGCCTGCAGCTACATTACGCTGCCCTCTCTCAACATCGGTTTGCTAGGATCACTAAGGTTTCGCAGAAGCGTTCGAAATTGACAGGTGATTGTGGCTAGTAACAGAAATCGGCAAGCTTATTAAATATTCTTAGACCTAAGCTTCCCACTTTTAGAAAGGCGAGTTTCGGCCTACATATGAGTTATCGCGAAAAAGGTGAGTTTATATAAACTTAGATATTACGCTTTTTGTGGTTGGTCTAAAGTAAGATATTGCAACTAAGGCAGTGTGGCTCCTTCATATTAGCTGCATTCTGCCTCATATAAAATTTGACACAGAGCTTGAAAAGACCATTGGAAAATGGAGATGTAATCGGTAAATGCCAATATGGTAACAAAAAAGGAATACAATGGCAACCGTAGAATTTTGCTATATTGAGTGGCGTCTAGGCGTTTGCTTTCATTGGTCGTTTTTTGGCTCAAATACATTTGAAAGAGATTGGCTTATGTCTCTGTATGCAGCTGCAACTCCCGAACGCCGCATCAGAGAACCGCCGCTTCTGATACTTCTGAGACAACACATTTGCCGTATACAGCTGAATTCATTTAAACAACACAGGCACTCGCTTAAAAATATAATTGTGCATATTGTGACATTCGCATTTGTAAGCGATATGCCATGAATAACGAAAAGGTTTAACAAGAAATTGAATTCATTGTAAAAATGCTTCATCTTCTACTCGACAGAGTGGGTTTTGAGTAATTATTGTCACAATAACTTTGCTGTTGCAGTTACTATTTCGATATTTCTTTGGCGTTTTTTTATCAAATGGTACTTTTTTATTTATATTTTTAGCGAACGGACTCTACTAATTATGAAAAAGAAATGTACTCTATTGTTTATGCTAACACAATCTAATTAAAACACCACAAAAACATTAGGTGGAGTCAATGTAAGTGGTTCATATGTACCAAGTTTGTTCAGAGGAACAAATGTGATCTGCCTTTCAATTCAGCAAAAAGATGTACAGCATAAGTATTACTTTTTGGTTATTTTACATAAATCTTACAGGCATGAAACGGTTACTTCTGAGCAAGCAATATTAACATCATTGATCAATAGCAATATGGAACCAGACAGTCATGTTTTGGAGGTGTGGAAGCGCTATTTTGGCACATTGATAGGTCATTGAAGCCTTTTGCCTCCAAAATAGGTCTTAGACGCTCCGTTACGCCAAGGATACAACTCAATAGACTTATTAAATATATTGTTGGGTCATAGCACAGAACCACTTAAAAGAGATGCCAATTTACCGAAGTTCAGAATTAATAAGGAAAAAATTATAACTTTGTAATGAATTATTACAAGTAATATTAATAATATTAATTAAGAAAATAATAAAACGTATGTACGGCCATCTTGATAATAGATATTCAGCTAAAACAACAAGCTAAAGTTACAGATTTTTTTGCCATGACGTTGGAACGTTTTAAAGATAACGCAGCACCTGCGGCATCTAAATTGCTGCAGCTGATTAATTCAGTTTCAAACAGCGGATAAAAATACCAGGAACCTGTACTAACCAGTTTCAAGCATCGTTACAGGGGGCAGAAATGCTTATGATACGGGTGGCCGGTCTTCAGACGCGCGTGAGCGCATTGAAGGGGGCGGAAACAGTAATATGCCACCGCCGGGACTTCGAGGCCGAGAAATTGGCTTATGGTTTGCTAGAAGGAACAGGTATGGCGCTTTTTACGTTAATAATCAGCAAAAATTTCACATATTGGATGATTGCAATTAAGCTAACTGAAATGCTTACAGAAAAGGTAACATTATTAAGCATTAATGAAGACGGTACAAAGCTTCTCGCGAACGCGCAGCTAATAACTTATATAGAATTAATGTACGTAACATATTAACTTTGTGTGCTTAACTTTGTGTGTAGGTATGACAGTTTTGCTTTTTCACTCTTTTTGATCTGGCTATCTTTTCAGAGAGCGTTGGAAAGCCAATAATGAGTATCAGCTTATTCCACGAGTTCATCTGGAATCAGCACTACAACGGAAAACTGAAAACGCGCTAGTACGCGTGGAAGAAGTCTTAATACGTAGGAATAACTCGAACTGGAGTGATGGTATAATAGCTTTTTATGCTTGATAGTTACTACGTTTCATGATAATTGTATGTCCGGTTTCGGTAAAGAATATAAATTCATACAGTGGAAGTCTTCAGTTACTAGTGTTGTTAAAAATCTATATTGTTCAACAGTAGCTCACATACTTCTTAGCGTAATTCAATTAGGACAACCCAGGATGGCATGGAGGGTTGTTATGCGAAGCTGTTGCAAAATAAATTTACTCAGTTTTTTTATCTACGTGCATCGTTAAAAATGATCGGTTTTCCGTGGCGTATCTAACCTAACAGTTATTGCATCTCCCGCAGGCCACAAACGGATTGTGTCGGCATGTGATGGAAATAAGTTAGGAGAAGTAAATGCCCTAGCGCCAAGGGTCAAAGAGCCGAAAAGGGCAAATGTAAGTAGTCGATTTTTCAATCTTAGACTCACGGATCGACTTACAATAGCTATGTTGGCGATTTTAAAAGATATGATTTGTGTATTTCGGTTTAATCAAGTAGTTACGATCTGCATAATAATCGTTTTACTTATCTAAAAATGTATCGGATAGTTTTGCCGTATTTGATTAACGGCTGCAAGTTTTATGTTGACTCTGTAGCATAAAAAGTTACGTTACAGTCCTAGTTCTTAACCAAAGTAATACAAATGGCCATTAAAATGTTTTTTGCTGCTACAGTGCGCCTTGGGAGATGTCCGACGAACACTACCCGTGTTTAGCAGACGCCATGATATATTGCGTGCTATTAATGAGAAGTGAGTATAGTAGTTCACGAAAAGGTTCGAGAAGAAGTTTCATAAGATGTTGTTCCATGTACTGTCGTGAAAATGGTTCTACATTGTACTCTAAGCAAGGTTAACACCTAATAATATGATTTTTCACACTAAGTTCCATAGCTAAATATAAAAAAATCAAGCCACGAAGATTATGTAAATGCACTGTCACTCCAATGGCAAGACTTGAGCTCGCGCAAAGCTTTAAGCTTATGGTCTGATATAGTAAATAAGTTTTTCCCATGTTATTTTACGAAACATTTTTAAGCTGAAGACAGATATGTAATTTTGCTTATAACCTTATTTCTCCACCATAGAAACGATTATTCTATCGTCTAGGAGCAGTAAAAAATTGCATTTATGCGTGACTCATATCGGATACAAGTATGTTTCCCATGAATGAATGTGAGTTCACAAAAGAGCGTGAAGACAGAAGACTTTTCTAATTTTTCACAAATAACGCTTAATAATTCGCTTACCCTCGTGCATACTGCTGATGCAATGCTTAGCCAAGTGTGTGTGATTTCCGGAGAAACTGGCAGCGGAAAATCGACACAGGTACCTCAGTATATTATCGAGCAGTGTGAAGAGCAGTCTGCACAAAAACAACGACAAAATCTCCACACGGAGGGCACGAAAGGCATACAGCGGACTTTTGTTGTGTGCACACAACCCAGGAGAATATCTGCTATCTCTGTTGCCGAAAGGTACGATCGAAGAATGTGTTCGGCAGCAGTGTATAAAATATACATTACACATATTATTGAAAAAAAAATTTTCTTTAAAAAAGTCCATACATGATTCCAATTATACGGTGCCGAATATATGACCTAATGTATTGTATCAAAGTCAACTTTTGCATGTTATGTTGATAGCGGAAGTATTAGTAGACGTTAATAAAGTATTAATGCTTTGTATAAATGCAATTTGTACGAACAAAAAAGTACAAGATACTATCTGTTTCATTCCTTATATGCACCTGTTCGTTTTCAAGATGTTCATTAATTGTGTGTTTTTTGTTTTTTACGATGTGCAGAGTGGCAAAAGAGCGGGGTGAAGTTGTTGGTGGTCACAGCGTGGGTTACCAAATCCGTTTTGAAAATCGAGCAGCACCCGTAACCCCGGATCAGCCTGTGATCCTTTACTGCACAACTGGAATCGTTTTTCAGTACCTGCAGAGCGACCCGTATGTTCACCGATTACACTCAGCTTTGTGATAACTTTTTCTAGAAATTGTTTAACAACTGCTACACTCAAAAATTGTGGTACTTCATCTAATTGAAAAGAAACCTTACGAAGTAAAAGTTTTGACTATAGAAAGAAATCTATCATTATTTTTTCGTTGTTATGGAAAAGCTCCTGGGTAAAATAAGTCGGTCATTGAATACGAATTATCGTTTTTTTTGGTCGTATTTGCGCAGGATGTTGTCATATGTAAGTCACCTTATTGTCGATGAAGTTCACGAACGAAGCTTGCACTCGGATCTCCTTTTAACCATCATCAAGGAGAAAATTCTTCCAAACCGACCCGATTTTCGTCTTATCTGCATGTCAGCAACTCTGGACAGTAACACATTTGTTGAGTAAGTGAACCTTTATTCTTACTATTTTGTAATTAATGGATGTTTTCCTTTTTTTAAGTTTTTAGAGGAATCGTCTGGTTTCGCCGAATATTAAATGGTAGAACCAGAAATTATCTAGATAATGAGAATGCAAATGCGTGTGATACAATATGAACGTCATCATAATGGGCGTCTTCTAACTTAAATTTATCATTCATGCATGATATATTACAGATATTTTGGTCCCGCTTGCGTACATTTGGGTATATCGGGCCGTTTATATCCTGTTGAAGACATTTATCTTGAGGATTATGTCTTAGACCTTAAGCCCAGATGCCCGTATGGTAATTCATTTGAATCCGAAAAGAATTGGCAAGCAAAGAGAGAGAGGCGTAACCAGCTTTTGGATTACGGGTAACATATCACGTTTCTTGCGGAATTATATAGATCTAAAGATTTCCTTTTAACAGCGACATATTGACAATTTTCACTTGAAACACATTGACACATTGGGTTTGCGTATAGTCTACCGTATAGGTAGTCTCGTGATTATTGAGAGGCTTTAAGTCGTGTTGAGCACGAATGTATGAAAGCGACACATCTGTGCTTTTTCTTAATGAATATAATAGATGCTGCACAGTGCTTGTTTCATGTGCTACACACTTCTCTAGGTTAATAAAATGAAGTCAAAGCAAATGAAGTTTAACCATGTACTTAGTGCTTGGTGCTATACTCATCTTGACGAGCATATTTAACGACTTTACACCTTCTGCCTGATTTAGCTATTCAAGGGATATCGTTTCTGCAATCCTCAATGTATCTCTAAAGACCACTCTAATTGATCCCGAGTTCGTGGTTGCTGCCGTGAAATGGATTTGCAAGCAAGCAAATGAAGAGAATGCAACTAGAGAAGATCCCGCAGGTGAGATTCGGATAGTGGTGTAACATATCTTGTTCGATGCGGTCACTCGTGCTGTTTAAGAGATATTATGGGTATTTAATCTGGCTTCGTGTTGATTGGAAAAAACGAAGATACGAATAATCCATAGAATGTAACACATATTATGATGCCATGATACAAAGAGATTTTAAAGATACACTCACGCAGTGCGCACATAAATATGTTTATATTATATATATTATAAAGTAAACTTCACCTATATAGGCAAACTTCAAAAGAACCTGTTTACCTGCTCAGATAACGCTCCGCTAAATCGGAAATAATTAATATAGATTTTTTGTCGTCTTTCCTGTTATCATAGATAGTGCTATCCTCGTATTCTTGCCGGGGTGGGACGTTATCTCCGATGTTTGCGTGGCTCTCAAGAATGTTGACACTACATACCTTAACAGAGGTATATCTTATTTTTTATTCACAATAAATTAACTAATGCTGTTTTGTCAATTGTCTGTTTTATAAGTTTAAAAAGGGTGTTTGTTTTTATTTTTATTATATAATAATAATAATAATAATTGTTACGAATGCAGGAAACAGCTTGATACTACCTCTACACTCAATGCTTCCGCCGTCCGAACAGGCAAAGGTTTTTCTGCATCCTCCCCGAGGTGTCAGGAAGGTGATTGAACCGTTTTCTCTTATTCAATTAAACCAACTAACCTTTATTTAATCTTAAGTGATTTTGTGCACTACATGGTCGAAACTTGCTATGGTTATTATTGCATAAAATGTATTGATGAACAAGCAAAATATACATATATATTTGGATTCTTCAAAAAATTTCTAATTAGGAAATTATTGGTCCAGCTTACTCAATCCTTTGTTTCTCATGTTTAGATTATCCTATCGACTATGATTGCCGAAGCCAGTGTCACCATTGACGACGTCGTGTACGTTGTTGATTGTGGAAAAACAAAGGTATGTTCTATATTATATTTTATGCAGTTATTCTTATACAATAAAAAAAACTATATAATATAATGCTTTGTTTGTTAGAAAAACCAACAAACTTTGGGATAAAGTAAGGTATCCTAAAGGCACTAACTTCGTAGAGCTTTTTTTGAGTCTTTATCATCCCAAATAGCAGTTCTAGCGCCACACTCTAGTTCACATTAACTTCATGAATACATTAACAGGTATAATTATTCCATCGACTTCGTTGATATAAAATATCATTAACAGAAAAACACCTTACGTTTCACAGCTAACGACAATAGAGGTGGACAAAAACAATCAATCTCGTTTTGGCGAGCGATGGGTATCTCAGGCAAATGCTAAACAGCGAATGGGTCGAGCAGGTCGGGTGCGGCCTGGCAAATGCTATAAACTCTACACCCGAATGGACTATGAGGCGATGGACGAATTCCAACAACCCGAAATGGCCCGAACGAGACTAGAGAACATCGTATTATACATTAAAGAACTTCAGCTGGGCCCTCCAGAAGATTTTCTTCCAAAGTAGGTTTTATTGTATCACAGGTGTTGACCTGATTTGGGGCACACAAATGCCAGCAAAAAATATGTAAATGTGTCCTGCTATGTACATGGAATGTGTATCTAACAATCTGTCCTGTTGCCTATTGTTTTTCAATCGTATTTTCAGGTGTATTACACCGCCAGAACGCGAAGCTGTGATGAATTCTGTTCGTTTCCTCGAACAGATTGTAAGTGTCGATATGACGGTTTTTTTAAATTGATACAATTAGGTTTCCATATATATAAATTGAGGTTATATTTTTACTCATGTAACAACATCACAACTTGTCTATCTGGATATAATAGGGTGCGCTAGAACCCGACAACGGAGGCCGGATAACTGTTCTTGGAAAACGTATATGCGCTCTATCGATTGAGCCGCGCCTGGCGAAACTGCTATTGATAGCATGTCTGTTCGGCGATAAATGTCTTCAGCCTGCGTTGTCAATGGCTGCTTGCCTCGACTTCAAGGATCCTTTCTTCACTCCTATGGTTAGTTTTTCTAAAATAAACAATTAATAAGTAGAGGCACCTATTGGGCTGTATCAGTTATCGAAAAAAATTGAAAAAATTTGAAAAGTATTGAAGTAGTTTTAAAGCCAAACTTGAAGCTTTTTTTTTTTAATTTCGAAACAATATTCTTGAACTAAATACGCGCTATTTGGATGGAAGGTTTTCTGCCATTTTTCACCATAATACCATCACTGTAGAACTTCTGTTTGTTTTTGATTTTTGCATTTTCTCACTAAACTAAACGATAGTCTGATGGCGCAAGGTCCGGGCTATAAGCCGGATAAGTTAACATTTTTTTTTATATAAGTCCTTTCAGTCGTTAGTGATCATAGTGTAACGCTTTTTTTGTTATTAGTCCCCATCGATTTTTTGCAATAGTTTATTGTAATACTGTCAATTGTTGGCGGTAGAGGACCAAATCCATCGCTTTGTTAGGCGACAGCAGCTCAATACCAGATTCCTTTCCAATTTTAGCGAACACGTAGTATTACCTTCTTTGGCATCAGTTCCGGTTTTGCCATAGATTGTGGAGCTTATCGATCGCTATATTTTGTCACATGTGATTTTTTGTTCAGCACCCATAATCAATAATGGCTCGATTTCATCGCGTTTCTCTAAAGCTTTGCAGATAGAGGTACAATAGGGTATATTCGTTTGCGTCAAATCGTGCGACACCCAAGCATCGAGCTTTATTTTGTAGCTAGCGTTCTTCAAATAAACTATTCAAATAAATTAAGATTTGCTGGTGTTGGACGCGCAGCTTCTTAGCAATGTCATGGCCACTACCGGCCTTAATCAATTTTCACAATAATTTTTTTTTATTTGCTCGGCACTGCGAGGAGCATCGTTCATATCAGAAGTTCCAGAACGAAAGCGATAGATTTATCTTTTTTTCCTGATAGTCCATTTCTTCAGATAACTTATCTTGGCCTTGAAGAACACAATTTTGTTTCTGAACTTGGACATTATTTGTGCTTTCATTCGAACAAAATTGTAAAATATAGCGAATTCTTGCACTTTAATATTCCAGGCGTTCTGTCTCAAGTCTGAGAAAAAGCGTGCCAATGATGTTAGCACATACTGCCTAATACTATTCTGCTTTCAAATGCCAATAACATTGACCTAACTCATATTACCTGAGATATGTGGCTTTAAAACTGGAAAAACCCAATACAATAACATTTTTCAATAATTTCAGCTAAGTTCCACAGAACTCAAGCTTGCGGAGTCGTAATATACAGAAGGATTTAATAAAGCTAACGATGTCATTTGTGTGACCTGCTTTAGGGTGAAGAGCACCTAGTGGACAAATCTCGCCGAAATTTCGCTCAAATGTCGGGTGCAACTCTCGAGTTCTCGGATCACGTTATGTTAGCAAATGCTGTTCAGAATAGCCATCAAAAAAGCTATTACTATCTCAGAGAGAATTTCCTCTCTTCACAAACACTCAAGGTAATTTCATATATGTATGTAGACAGATAGTAGATTTTGTCGATTCTTGCTAATATTTTTATGCTGTTAAACTGTTATCGAATATACCATCTTAAATATTAAAACAGTAATAATTATTAACCGTTGATCACTCTGTTATTTGCTGTTTCAATTTTCAAGATGATCTTTATAAGCCGTGAACAATTTCAACATCAATTATCTCAGCTGGGTGTGTTACCTCCGGCGGGTTCAAAAGGTCCAGGCAAAACCAAAGTAGGACAGGGCACTCTGCGAGCAGTTATATGCGGAGGCCTGTATCCTGGAATAGCTCGTGCCAATTTCAAATTATCGGACATACCCCGCCTCGGACCAGACCAGATAACCCTCTGCAAAGATAACACGTACCTAGAGCATTACCGCTTTCTATATCTCTTGTTTGGATGATGTCATAATGGCAGTGGCGTGCACTGCGTTGTCTTTGCATGCATCAAATTCAATCATAATTCAGCTCATGACAAATTATCACTGCATCTTCTTCTCTATGGCAACTGCTGTCGTCTCTTAGCTGTTTTATTTTGAAAGTGCGATAATTTGCTTTTTGTATCATTTTTGCAGATTATACTCTCTATCCACAGAAACGGCGCATAGAGCCCAGTTCCATCCCAAAAGCGTTCTTGGCAAACAGCGACACGGACTGCCTTCTGCATTATTCGCCCATTATCTAGCCCAGCATTCTGATACATCACGTTGCGTCAATCTTTATGAGGTCACACCTGTTGACCATTTACCGCTGCTGGTGTTTGCCTCAGCAGGAGAGTGTGTCTACAATTCTGAACGTGAAACATTCAAAGTTAACGGGTGGCTGGAACTAAGCTGCGAACCAGACCTTGCCCACTTCATTAGGGTACATTGTATTATCTGAAGTTGAAAAATTACGTTTCATATACAATATATTGATTAGTTGGTTTTCCTTTTAATAACAATATTCAATTAGTATTGTTGTCTTAATATCTTGGTACCCTACATTAAAGATACTACAAGATATTACAATACATCTAATAAAAAGAATATTCCGAGATGCTCAACGTAGCATTCCGCTTACAAAGCACTTAGTTGAATACGTATAGTTAACAGGTTAATCATTTTACAGAGAGCGTAACGAATGAGTAAAATTTACATGGAAATAGCGAACAAAGTCTATCACACTAACGTGTATACATATTCGTTTCTTCCACAGCGACTAAGAGCTGCTTTTAACTTTGCGTTTGAGACCTATCTTATTGCGGGATCAATGTCCTCAGACGGGCCTGTCCGGGACGAAATGTCCCGTTGTCGCGACCTATTGGATGCTCTCGTGGTCCTGTTTGAGAATACGCGTAGTGCTGAAATGATCACAAAATGCGTCGTGCCAGGTGCAGGCGATAGAACCAGCGCTAATGTTGATGATGATGAGGACGATGCGTAAGGTGACAAAAATGATATCGGTAGTCGTAGGATGCTATCAGACGATCTGAAGTCTGTAGCTGATCGCTCCGCTATCAAAGTACGCGGTATCGTCCGCGTAAGTCGCGGGTGTTCAGAACTCGCTTTCACACCAAATAGATATAAGCGGGCTAAATTGTACACGGATACCATGTGACCATTCTATCGATACACGGTGTTGGGTGGCACACAATTCGCTAACACTGACAAAACAGCAAATTAAAAAAACGTTTACGCCCGACCAATTCAAAAAGATTCATTTTAAAGATGAGAAAGTTCTTTGCAATTAAATGTTAACTGTAGGAAAGGATTATTTGGAGTACACTTTACATAAATATTTGTGGATAGATACAATTGTAACGAATTGAGATAATAAATTAAATTGATGCAACAAAAAATATCGCTTTTATTCTGTTTGTCTTCGCAACCGTTTCACAGACCGTAGCGGTCGCAAGCTGCAAAGCCGATGCTAGCTGGTTTAGACTTTTGCAATGCTAGACCCAGATCCCTAGGCCTAAGAGAAGCTCATGGACATATGATATCAACTAGCTTTGTATTAACCTACATTTTCTGAGAAATTATGCATACTCTAGCTACGGTGCACAATGTCGGTTATAACTGAAGCCAGTAACCGATTGCTTTCATACGTAGTGTATAAGCCTGTAGGTCAACGGTACAGGGTATACCTAAAATCTACACTTGAAGGTTTAAAAATGAGCACTTTAAATGTTGGTGTAGCTTTCGCAGGTGTATTCTGTACCAGAAAAATTTCTAGGCTGCAACAACGATGCCTTTCCGAGATTCTACTTGTGTTTATGATTTGCCAAACGTTGGCATCAAAGGCGAGTGTATGCCTATATAGACACTGGTACATTTGGATGTTTCGGAAACCTCTTCATTTATACGAACTAATAAAGATTACACAAGGTTTCATAACAACAATGCAGCAAGAATATTTATTAATCATAATATTCAGTAATGTTCTGTATGCGAATTACAAAGATAATTCGGAATCAGGCAAAGAACGATGTATATGTATTTATTTTTTTTGCTTAGTTTTGAAACTGAGCGTGAATTTTGTGCTAGTCGTCTGGAGCAATGTTTAGCGGCAGTACCGGATGTCGAACCCGAAGCATTAATTAAAATCAACCTCTCTTACTGAATCTCTTACTTCGACAACCATTCAAACAGCTTTTCATTTTACAGGAAGATAATCAAAATGAATCTCTCTTATTACATTATCCATTTCCATAACTGTGTAAAGTGATTTAGTTTCACAAAAAAGAATACAGAAAACTTTCTACCATCAAAATGTATCGTCAAAACGTAAGCGCTAAACATGCTCATCAATTCAACTATCATTGTTACTATCATGGCAATATGCTTTCTCCTTGTTCATCACTATATATATATATATATATATATCATATTTATGTTAATGCGGCCTTAATGTCCCCTGAATTTTCCCGAGCCGAACCTAATAATAGTTCACGTATTTCCGTTCAGCACAACTGCTTTTGTTTTTCTCGGATCTGGATTGCGCGTTCACCTTCGCTCTCCGTAAAGGTCTTTTTGCCAAATGTGAAATCGATTAGCACACGCAATACTTTTAATAATAAGGAATATGTTTAATTAATCTTGACCCACATATGTCTTTGCTCAACATCAGTTTGTTCTAGTTCTGAATCGTCTAAAAATCGTTTTGACTGACTCCTAAACGCTCGTTATACCTCATTAATGCTGTTGCGTATTATTATCGTTGTTACGTAAACTGAATGGTAAGCTATACAAGAACTTCCCAGCCGGTGTCCCATGTGATTTGTCAGGGCTGCTCTGACCGCCACTGCCGCTGCAGCGTACAGATGAGAACAGTGTGCCAGTGAACAGAAATGAAGATGCAAAGCTCACCCGCAGCACTTAGCGCAGGTGGGATCAATGCCTGACCTCTTGGTAACGTCCACCTTGACAATTTCTTCAGCAACTGTCGGATGAATTCCAATAGTCTCTTCGATTTGTGCACGAGTAATACCCACTCTAAAGGTAGAGTCATGAAATAAGCCACACAAGTTGCAGAAAATAAGACATTTCATTAGTATATATTTTGCAACTTATCGTTACTAAAAGTTGCGAATACGTTTAGATATAATCAGAAATCATATTTGTTTTTTGCATAGCACCTTGGATGTGAAATAAGGAATGTTGAGCTGAGACACTAAGCTAACGCTTCAACCTGATCTTGTTTTGTAATATGTACTTGCTATATATATATATATATATATACGTATTCGGGTATATAAAAAAAAATGTTTTCGAATATCCTTATCTTAAATGAGCTTTCAGAGCACTTACTTCATAGCAGCTGCGAAGCCTTGCATTACTTCACCTGCCATCTGGCCAAGGAAATGCATTCCGATAATCTTGTTGTTCTCTTTTATGTTACCGATATACTTAATGTAGCAGTGCTCATTGCTGCGCTCAGCAATCGGGAACGTGTGAGGTTTGTAGAATGAGTGCCACACCTGCTCACATGGAAAATGAAACATGACTAATTAAGCATTCATTGTAGCAATTATGCAAGCTATCGTGGATATAGCCGTGAACTTCTGAAGTACACGCAGCTAGCAGACGAAACTAAAAAAAAAAAAACTAAAAGAAAAAAAAACCAGTATCGTAGCAACTTTTGAGTGAAAATCTGGTCAGGTATACTGATCAAAAGCTCGGAGTAAAAAACATCTTTTAGCGGCGAAAATCAACGCTCAGTAGTCAGGTTTCCGCTTCTCGGAAGCTCCGGAAATTGATTGAGGGTTAGTGAAGATATTAGGCATAGAGGCCTTAAACGATGTACACTACGTATACGGTACAGACGTTTCTAGAACCCTTGAAGAAATGACTGGATGTTTAAACCCGAAACGCAAGAACGTATTGCAGCAGTCGAAGAGGTTTTTCACGTAAATAGAGCTTGGAATTCAAGGGATCTATCGGCCTAAAATTGGAATTTAAATCTAACATGTCTCAGAACTATAATCCAAATACAGAAAATGCGGACGCTGGGTAAAAATGCGCCCAGTCGGAAACATGTCTGGTATACTCTACGTGCAGATTGCAGAAATTTAATGACGAACCCGCCTGAAGCATATTGTAGCCATAGACGACACATGGGTCAATTTCCACCGACAGCCAAAGGGAGACCAAGCAAGAGAATGGCGTTAGCCTAAAAGGAAATTGAGTTCGGTGGCAGTGTCAAGTATGTTCGGACGTAAGGTTATGATAGTACTTGCAGCGGACATCAAGGACATCTGCTATCATGAGATAGTCGCCAGAACTCCAACAATGAGTGCAGCCCGCTATGTCGAGTTCCTCAAAAAACTCACGGTTTGTTGGCGCGGTAATCTAAAGCTTGTGAAGAATGAAGGAAAGTATTTTTAAAGCATAATAAAAAAAATCGTAATTGTTGTTCAGGTAGCTTAAGAATTACTTCAATTTTAATATCCGCCGAATTCGTTCGTAACAGTCCAATGTATTAGCATAGATTATGTTTGTAGTTCAGTTTTTCCGTTACATATTTTTAGAAATAATGATATTTGGTTCATTTCATCGAAAACTTGTTAAGAGAAACAAAATCGCAGTCTAGCAAATCTAACGAAAAAAAAACAAATGTCGCTGATAAATTTGTTGTATGAAATGCTAAAATTGTAGAATTGCCCTTACTTATAATAATACTGATAGAACTGTATCTATGAGTCGTATTACGTCGAATTTTGGTTAAATTTCATTCATTAATTACCTCGATATTGTCTTGGCCGTATTTCTTAATAGCGTCCTCCTCAGAGAGTCCGCAGCAAGCATATTCGATTGGCGTAAATACAGTCGTTGCAACAAGATCATAGTTCATTTTCTCTGTTGACGTGCCGGCAAGACGGCGTGCAATCAGGCGACCAGTTCGAGCGGCGACCGGTGTCAGCTCCGGTTTATCAACGAGGATATCGCCCAATGCATATATGTTACTTGCTGTTGTGCGCTCTTCGTCGTCCGTGATGACCTTCGTAGATAAACAATAATTCATTGAAATTACAAATGAGCGCAAACTCGGGAATAATTAGTTAACGTTGTACCTTGCCATACGGTTACAAGCTACAACGGAAAAATGCTGCCATCGGTCTTCGACAAGCTAGTTATCTAATACTAATTATTAGATACTGTAACTCATATGAATATTATTACCCCAAAATACATGGATACAAAACAATACGGTTACTCATAATATTACTTTCGATGACCATAGAATACCTCGGTAAATCGAGATTCAATTATTCATATGTACTCCCGCATTAGCCCATACACTATTATTACGGTTTTTAATTCTGTTATCAAATATATTTCATGTTGAATCGAGATCACTCGGTTTCTTATGGACATTGACGTTAGCAGTAAAGTGAAAACCGACAATATATACTTAGAAAGCTACATTGTAAAGTTAATTACCTTGCCTTTCGAATCGGTCTTGACGCCGACAGCTTCAAGATTGAGTACCTTAGTTAAAGCATGTCGACCAATAGCGAACAGAACGGAATCAAAGGTGTCACTTCCCACTTCATCAGAAGCCGTGTTTTTCCACTCAACGTGGAACTTGCCGTCAGGCTGCTTTTCGACTAACGTGGGAACACAGCCTCTATGGAATTTCGTACCGTGCTTCTCCATATAATCCACAACCATCCCGGCCATCTGCTGGTCAAAACCTCGTAGAGGAATTGACCGCAAGCACACCTAAAAACGTAGGCACGGGAATAATAGGTACGTCAACACTTACAGGTAAGCTCCTTTAGCTGAGTAATCCACTCAAGAATATTTATATCTAATAATCTATTTATATATTCTGACTAATTCTGTTATTAGTATTATTTGAGCTAGCTACTCGCTATAGCTTAGTAACGAATTTTAAATATCACATAATTTCAAACTAACATTACATTTTATAACAACGACTACGATAGAATTAAATAATTTCTTAGTGGGTGTTCCATAGAATAATCGTTGGCACACCTGTGTTTCATATCCGAGGCCAGTGAGAAAACCCGCGCACTCCAACGCCACATAACTACCTCCAACGACGAATGTTTTGCCAGGCGCATTTTGCATATGGAAAATATCATCGGACGTGATCGCATACTCCTTAGCGCCAGGAACATCGTCGGGCAACGTCGGCCTTCCACCTACCGAAAGAAGGAACCACTTCGACGTGATCTGCCTCTCCGCGCCCCCAGCGGATTTCATTTTGACCGTATGCACGTCGATGAATGAGCCCTCCATATTGTAGTAGTCGATCTTAGCGTTACGAAGACTAACACGATGGATCCAGTTTAATGACTTGATGTAGTCTGTCACGCCGGACCGCAGCGTATCCCAGTTATGGGTTAGGGTCTCAGAGAATTCCCACCCATACTAGAGGCGTCACACGAAATAATAAGGTAATAAAGTTAGCAGATTGACTTACAGCATGCGCAAAGCCTATATCAGAATGAACAGGAGCATACAATTTAACAAAAAGTTCCGGTGCATCTGGACAGCAGAAAAGGTGTGTGTTTCCGTATGTAAAAGAAAAAGTATGCTAATATATCTCACCTTCCGTGCGTCTTTCAATTCATCACCAAGTAGGGCAGCTGTATGGTAAAGCTTCTTTGGGATGCAACCTACATTAACGCAGGTTCCACCAAGGCCCCATGTTGTATTCTGCGTCGAAGGGGTCACATAATTTAGTACGGCCGTCTTTAGACCCAAAGCAGCAGCTGTAATGGGAATTTATCAATAAAAAAAACAACATGAGACCGGTAGTGTGCAGGGGCTAACCACAACGCTTCATTAAGTTTTGTCAACTTGCTAGTGTTCACATATATTATATATTTATTATATATTTAACTTGGTTTAATATGCTGCATGAACACCAGATGTTGAAGCCACGGGTAAATGCGGCCATTTCTGCTATTTCTCCGTGCATGATGAACAACTCGAATCATGTTGCGCGTAAAAGGATGTTTCGTACCTTCTTTCGCCGAAGCTAATCCTCCAGATCCACCTCCTATGACTACGAAATCATAATCATAACCGTCCTTCGTCTTCTCAATTGGAGCCATACTGCTGATCAGGTAACAAATGAGATTGGTGTAAGTAGCCAGAAATAACCAAGCAAAATATTAATTATCTATAATGTCACAGAAGAAACATTCTATGCCTTCAATAGTACACAATAAAAAAACGTTCGAAAAATAATATCCTATACACATTCACATACTACATCTGTTAAAAAGAAAAATCTAAAACAAAAAGCCGCTTAGTTTTTATTAATTCCAAGGAACAATTTTTAGAGAGGAAATTAACAGGGTCCCGAGAGGGCTCATTGTTAATCTATGTAAAAGCTACAACGCTAGAATTACACGCTAGAATTTCTTGCAATGCTCCGGCGTTGTAATTTTTCATTTTTACTTCATTTTAATTTAAGAATCAGATAAAAAAGTTTTGGTCTGAAAATCTAATTCTAGACAATCTCAATAGCATAGGTGCAGAATAACGAGAGCTAATCTTCCTGGATAGCATATGTCACCTCCCGATCAAAAACTAGTAGTAGTCGGTTCAATAGTTGCAATAGCGTAATAAACCAATCTCTAATTTAAGTACATTTTATTAGACCTACAAAGACATTTGTAAATTCAACGTCACATAAATGAACTCGTTTATCCAAGACAGCAGGGACTAACATAGCTTAATAGCTAAAGCTTACGACTCGTAATATATGCTTGGTACATACTGGTATGATATACAAAGTCCAGAAACCGGGCGGAACTTAGCAAAATGAAAATAAGCGTATGAAAGCAATGTTTCCGTAATTAGTTTCGTACGTTATTGCACAATTATTGCAGGTTTTATTGTTTGTCCCCATTGCGTTACTCTAGGAAATAATAAACTATATGAGCTCCTTCAATAAATGCCTCTGTCTTACAAGTGCGTCGCTACGACTAGCAAATTGACAAGCGTTTAAGTGACACTAATTTTGTATACAATTACCAGGTAGGAATAGATAGTTTAGCAGTGAGCAAAGCACAATTTTGGGACACCGACTAGGTCCGTATAACGGGTCAAACATATTCTCTGTGACAATTTAGTGGTATCAGAGAGATAACGAATATTGAAAGAACAACAGGTTCACATACTGTAAATTCTATAAAAATTCATTCGAATATTTAAATTTTTTTAAATGAATTGTCTTGAAGAAATCCCAGCAGTAGCTCCTTTAGTACATGTATGATGTAGATATTGACTCTTTAGAATGTAAAGAGTGGATCAGAGGCTCTGCAGTGCCGAAAAAACAAAGGTTGCTCATTTTAACAAGACGGGGGCGTATTTCGAAAATCGCGCTTGGTGAATTAAATATAATCTTTTAATATAAGTTAAGTATACATATTTACCAAACGTTAATAGAATAAGCCACCGAACAGCCCGTATAACTCGCACATTTAGATACAGCTTCTTGCCGACCTCTAGGCTCTCAAAGATATTAAGAAAACTCACATCCAAATTAAATAAGTCAATCACTAATTGAGTTAGCGCGTTGTGTCAGAATTAGGATTGAACGTCCTTTGATAAAAAAATCTATTTATCTTGAGCTATTTTTTCCAATTTTTCAACTCTTGCCAACAATAATAGCACAAACCTATATCGGACAAAATTTGCCTTACTGAAATCTTCATTATTTCACCGATAGACAAGTGCTATAGTTTACGATGCGACGATTTAATACAGTTTACGATGCGGCTAAATATGTATTCAATGCGGTACGAACCATCGATTATAATAGGAGATTTTACATTATCTACCTCTTTTCCTTCTTCTACCTTCACATTTAAATCTATGTTTGCCATTTTCAAATGAATTGAATAAGAAAATGTAGTGAGTATGGGTTGTGCATTCAAGGAAAACATAAGCATGAAATACAGATTTCATGAATGTCGAAGCGGGCCTTAGACGGTGTAACCTCTGGTTGAAAACGATCGAAATTGGGGGTCGCTACTCTGAGTTCCACTAACAACAAAGATACTTTAGGATTTCTATGATTAAGGGCAGTTATTTATCATTCAATAAATACACGTAGCATAGTCATACTGCAGGCCGAATATAACCGTGACACAAGTCAACAAGGAAAAATAGTATATATATATATGCACGTGTACCCATGTGTTTTTCAGAGTGCGCCCTACCTCTATCATTCGCAAAAGGTAACCCAAAAATGATTGGCAATAAAAACATTTCCAAATAACTTTGGCCAGCTACTGCGGTCGAACGACATATCTCACTAAACATTTTGTATCCTATCAAATTTTGCGTGTAGTGCCATTAAATATTGCTTCAGACAAATCGTCCCCGGCACGAAAGAAAGCGTATTGACAACCGGTTTTGAACCTAAACAACCTTATCTGTCCCCAAATTTTACAAGCAATTATGTTGGCACTGCATTATCTAGGGAACTGAATGACATGTTGTGCGCCGGCATTTCGCGCTTGAAACAACAAGAGGTAACCATTATTAAAATACCGCTTAAAAGAACTTCGGTGGCAAGTTCCTGCGCCTATTCACCGTTTGTCATTATAGCTACGACCTCACACGAGACACACGAGATAGAAACATAAACCACGCCGTTGTTACCATACAAAATTCACTGATCGGAATCCAAATAGTCATGTTGCCTAGGTCAACTGAGGATACGGTCCTAAACTGTCGAACCACCCTAATTTTGCTCATAATCACTCTTTTACTCTATTATTATCATGCGAGTGTACGACTAGTATTGGTGTTTTTTTTTTTTAATTTAACCTAAACAAGACAAATAGTGTTAAATTGTGGAAAGAAAGAGGCACTTGCTCATCAGCTTCTTCCTCATCAAGTGGGTCGTCGCCGTCAGTTTGTAGTAGGCATTCGCCGCGCATGATAATATCGTTAATCGATAGGCACATCGAAGTAACAAACTGGGGTATATCACTAAACATTTCGGACGAAGAAAGGATATCGACATATCCAGCCATTCTGTTGATCACTAAATGGTTCAACGCCTTTAGCTGGCTTCAGCGACTTTGCTTTCCGAAGCAGACTGACGTCCGTACACTACGAACCATAAACTGTTTATCGTCATGAGTCGTGCGCACGATACGCGGATCGCGCTGGTCGTTCTACTAAACCCATTTAAAAAGGTCAGCCTTTTTCCTCTCAAGGGACATAAATCATTCACTAGTTTGATCGTCTGCAGTTTGCTGCCTCTTTAAATATCTCATATAAACTGCTATTGTTTCATTAAACATTAATGCGCTCGGGATTCTTGGAACTGTTACAAGGAACGGGAGGCCCCGCCTCCTTGAGACAGACCCTCTTCAATCCAAATGAATTAATTTCGATATGATAGTCATTATTGATATTACATGTTTAGCTCCGTAGTTAAACACTGCGCTATAAATGATATAGTGTTACCATGGGCGGTTAGAGACTGTCTTCGATAGCCCTTAGCTTAACCTATAGGTAATTGTTACTAGTAATTAACTTCATGTATACAAATACGGAATAAAGGTACAGATAAGATTGGTAAATGTTAGCTAAACACCTATTAGACCACTTAGAAATAATTACTGAATAACAAAACATACGATGGCATGTTGCATACCTTAGAATTACGGTAAAAAGAGGGCAGACAATACTAGGCAAATGAGACTAGCTCGGCTCCTTTCTAGGTCATATTTAGAGTGAACGCCGCGCATTTTGAGGTAAATGTTGATACCCACTCATAGTCTCGGTTGTGCAATACAATATAGTAATCTCGATAGGGACAACTATGAAGGGCACTACCTTAGCCATCGAATAAAGCTAATACACCAGGGCCAAAATTAACTCATTAAGCGCTATTATTTTCCAAACTTAATATTTAGGCGGCATCGCTAGTCTCCCGGAATTCACCGTACTTGGGACGAGCAATAGACAATCAGTAGAGAGCCTAAGCATGTACCCTGTAATTCAAAGCAATTTGAAGCTATAGTTGACAATTTGTCATAAATTCCATATGGGGTTAAATAAATATTTTCTGCGTGAGCCGTCGTTAAGTTTGGAATACTGATCAACATGATGCACTTCGTTTGTAGGTCGAGCACTAATAACATACATCCGGTTATGTTTATGTTGTTATCCTTATGCTTAATATAAATGACAAAACAAATAAGTAATAGTTATTAAGGAGATAGATGTATGAATATTCAGGCTACTTATTGGACCTATTAGTTCTTGTCAGGACGGAAAATCAACCTCAGAATGAGGTCTAGTAGGTTGTTTAAGTGACATTATGGTAAGAGCTTATGTATATTATGTTTGATCAACTTAATGCAAGCGTACCGGTATAACTGCCTAAGACGCGCTAACGCTTGCGGATCACAATTTAGGCTTGAACCCCATAACACTATAAACATCTTTATCTGAAAAAAAATTCGCTTCTGGTCGGAAAGTACTACAGCAATATAGGCCGATATCTTTATCGGAAAATAGGGATCTATTTATTAATTTTACTCACTGGATTCTGTATCGCCGTATCCTCTCAGTAATATTCGCATGAAAGCTTTAACAAATTTTATTAATTTTGAGATTTTTTAGCAAAAATATTATAAACTAGCGTTATGAACGTGTGACCCTATAAAAATAAGCCGATTCGATTAATTACTGTACCTTTTTATCAAGCACTGATGCTACTATACTTTTATATCTATTTTTAAGTCTGTCATTCTACATTAAGTCAAAAAAATTATCGCCTTTACTTAACGAGGTTACTGATATAGAATCCGTGTGTTAAAAAATGAGCAAATATATATAAAAATGACACTGAAGTTGTGTGTTTTTTTTTATATAATTTCAAAAAACATCGACTGAAAGTAACTTATCACACGATAAGTTTCAAAAATATCCACCTAGATGTATAGGATACTATATATACCTTTTCTCGGGATGAAATAGAACAAATTGTACAAACTTACTTCGAGAGTGCTTAAATAAATCAGTTTTAACATAGAAGTTATCACCGTACCATCTGTTGCTTTCTGTAAATAGCGGTGATCTAGGCACAGAAAATAAACGTACCAAAAATTCGAACTCTCATATAAGATGTAGAACAAACCATTCTACTATGCTGGACACTTGGCCTGTTCTTAGACTTATCGAAGAGAATTAACAATTAATGAACAACTAGTATGTATTTTACTTTAAATGTGATTGGGCTTGTACCTGGGTCGAACCGCGCTCACATGAAGTAATCTAAATGAGCCGAACACACTCCGGCTGAGCACACGAATGCTCGTGAAGGAGACCTGCATAACAGGTGCCTTCACGTCGTTTCGCCTGCAACAGCAGTAGTACGGCAATCAGTCGGTATGTCACGTACATATATCGCGACTATAGCTTCTGAAAGTATTGTGTGTCTACGGAGTTTTACATAGGGATTCGATTTAGGAGGTCTAAATATGGAAAAAGAGAGGCATACACAGACCCACGCGGATCTCGAGGGATTTCAGTGGCTATATGACGTCGATAATTATTGCTTGATAAATGTTTAGCTAAGGCCTCAATCATTTGTTACCGTAAGAGACGCATATAAATCTTTCCCATAACTCAGGGCTTAACCATGAGGGAGATGCTGTCTACCGATAGGAACCTCTTCAATATCTATCCCTTTCCCTAGAATATGCAGTTACAGTGATCAAACGCAGCTGGGCATTAGCATAGAAAATCGGGTTTGACATCATCGCCATTGGCATATGTATATAGGGTTTAGCAGCAGCCAGGTATCACTTAATGTGAGGACAGATGTCCTTAGTTATTAACGAAAATCTAAAGACTATTAATCTAGAACGTGACACATCCGTGTTTCATGAAGGTTGTAATAATTCGATTAAAAAACTGACTTAGGATGTTCGGTTTGTATATAATTTGACATCGCGTTTATTTTCGCCATATCCCAAGTACACCATTTCTTCTAAGAAAAATAACTTGCTAGCTAACCAAACAAAAGCAAAATATAACATCAGCAAACAAATCATTTATACTCTGATAAACTTCTCTCAAAAGTTTGAGAAAGCATTTGGTGCTCTTACTGCTGCAATAAGGTCACTGAAATAAGCTAAATATATCGATCGTTTCCCACCCAACTTTTTGTTCTAAATGGTTTGACAACAACCTTTACGTACGCATTAAAAACAAAACTTTTACATCTGCGCCGATCGTCAGCCAACAACGTTGAGACCGAAGTCTCACCGATAACTATATACATTTAGAAGAAGTCGCACACTGAAGGGCAATACTTGCTTTTATCCTTAGGGCGTGCTCACCATCGAAGTAAATCGAACGAACAACGACCTATATTGCCGGTACAAACTCTTTTCGCTGAGTTCTGTTTTTATAAGACCAAATGTCGGCTACCCATACCTTAGTCCAGCAAAACCATCACACTACAATTACTTGCCTTGTGATTGTACAAGTTCAAACGAAGAATCCCTTTGATTTGCTCTGCAATGCGAGACGAAGGTTGAGAGGCACGGGCTGTGTGCCTCTATACAGAGCATAGCACGGTCAGCAAGACGCTGAGTCGGATAGATAGAAACAGATTGACACCTTCCAATTCCGTCCAACACCCAATTGATTCGTTAAGTCGTCAAGAAGCTTGGCCACCGATGGCATCTAGACTGTTCGGGTTAGATGTAGTCGGCAGTACAGGCAGGAGGTAAGCAGCATAATTCGGCTTTGGCCTACTTGACGGATCTAGAATGAGTGTCATTTACTGCGTCGCTCCCTTAGAGCCTAATGCGGACCAATATAATTCGCCTACATGAATCAGCAACTTGTTCTTTCCTGTCTCTTTTTACGTTACATGTTTTAGTCACTCTCTCTCTCTCTCTCTTTGCTTTTGCCCTCATTTACGATTGTATATGATCCGAAAACGAAAGAATTTAAAAATTTATGTTGTGCCACACTGTGATGGACAGCTTTGCGTGAGGGCCATTTTAGGACGTTAACAACTGATCTCGCTAAAATGAAAACATAATCATGATTTTTTTACTGTTTGAGCTGTTTGCGCCGGATTGCTTTATCGATCAAATAAACTAAGTAATCATAGAACGCCTGACATCAATGATTACGTCACATACGATCTATGCTACTTAACATTACATAACCGTTTTTGGCTGTCAGCTCAGGCCTATGAGAGTATGACTGCCGCATTTGATCTACATTTGGCATTTTATTTATAAAATACAAACATACAATATATGTTTTTTCCAGATTCCTATTTTTTTATAATAACTGTAAATTAACTATAATTTTTTATAGTAACTGAAAATGACTAGAAAAATATATGACGGTTCGCTGTGCTAACTTTCCGGGGTCCATCATATACTTAATGTAAAAGATATTGGAACATGTCAAAGGTGGCGTATAAGTTGGACATCTATTAATTTGTAAGCAGATCTTGTTTGCAGATATAATCACAAGGCAGCTTTGCAGTTCACGCAGCTCATTTTAACGCATTCGTACTGTGCACTATGTCAGGACCGTGTCTTGCAAAATTTGAAACTATGTTATAGGCCGGAATCAAAAAAATAATTTTATTCTACATTCTGTACAACCAGGAAATTTATCAAGCAAATTTACGGATCATCGATGTTGGTCGAGGCTTCTTTAGAAAGGACAGATAACATTTTTTCTTCATTTTAAGGCTTTCTCCTGAATTTTTAAATCAGACACAACTACATACGATCAGGCATCGTTATGCAGTCGTGACAAAAGCAAATCATTAATTCAGACATGGAAAAGTATGTATTAATTATTTTTAACGTGTAGTTTACTTTCAGCATCAAATTATCTAGATTTAGTAACGCGAGCCAATTCAGAAGATAAATCCCAGAAACTGATTTTTCGGTTCATCTTTTTTAAGGACTTGTCAGGCTAAGATCGTCATATCAACTTTGACTTACTCAAGATTCTCGCTTTCTATTCTGACAATCATTCTTACTGTGACCTTTTTGTGAAGTCGTTTTTAACTTTCTTAGATTTAAATCCAAAAAAACCTTGCTCAAGATAGGTTAACTCTCAAATCTTATAGCAGTAATAAGTTGATGCCATTCAATAGTATAATAGGTATCTTCTACAGTCTAGAAGTCTCTTTGTAGCCGATATACCTTATTAAACAAGGTTCGATGCTTGCGAAACAACTTATGATCTACATTGTTCAGGTCACCATCAACGAAGTCAAATTCTAAATTCTTGTACCAATTAAAGAGTAATTCACTGCTTGATCTTAATTCAGACTCTATTTTTCCCAAAACATCTCTGCATTTCTCCCAGTTCAAGAAATTTTAGAAGCTCCACAATTGATATTACGTACTGGCTGCCGATCTTAGTGCTTTTCCTGACAAAACTGATCACATTCTTATATTTCTTCATTCCCGTCGTCTGTTCGTTAATTTAAGAAGTGATTCAATAATCAATCATTGGAATCATTTCTTAAAAGCGATTATGTTGATTTTGTTACTTGGCAGCAATCTGGCTTTTGTTTGCAAGCTTTTCTCTTTGCAAGGTCCGTATCTTGCCACTATGTTGTTGCTGCTGTCCACAACTGCCTGACACTACTTTTTACTAAGAGGAAGCGCGTGTTCCTTAGGACTTTTCCAGTTACTGCTACATAAAGAAATTCCCCAATACCGCATCTGGTTCATAGTGAGCTGTCGAGGTGGAAAATTGATTACCAGTGCAGGTGCAGGCTTTCAGAAACCTTCTTGTTTATTTTATGTCTAAGTAATGGTGGGTCGTTTTATACTTAGTTCATGTGAATGTTCCGTTTATTAGTTCCAAACTATGACTCCAACCTGCGTTTTCCCGCAGCATATGATACACATGAATGCTTGTCTTCCCGCACAGAGTGCAGGCACAGCAATAGATACTTTAAAATAAGTTCGTTCCTTATACATTTTTTTTGGCTTTGCGGATGATTTTTTAGAGTTTTCTCAACAGGCTTCTCTAATTCCTTGTCTCTGAGTGTTATCTCGCTAAGCAAAAAGTTTTGAAGTTTTAAATTTACCGCTTAAATAGCATTCGACCTTTGGTTCACTAGCCATATCCTGACTCGTTCTGTGGTGATTCTTTGGATTATTTCCGGCTGAGCTTTCCACCTTCGTGCTCATTTTAGAGGAGTACTGAACAAGCTAAGTCTTCCGATAAGCACCTTTGTTGGCGTCACCTTAAACTTTTTCAACGGTGTCCATTCGTGTCCCATGAGGAGGAATACGAATATGATGACTTTCGTTTTTCTTGGTAAACACACTTTCACCTCTTCTCTATGTGCATACATCTAGTAAATATTTTATGATGGCAATACAAGGCGCAAACTGGAGCCCGCCTCACTATCGGTGTCTTCAGTAAAATTTGTCAAAAAACTTATATCCACGGGGAAAACCGTCAACTTCTAACTTGGACGAACAATTGACTAGGTAAAACCTAATCAATTCCCTACATTATTTTATTTAGCTTTAGGCAGACGCAACAGCGCACAGTTAATTCGGTGGAAACATAAAGCATTATAAGAACAGAAAAACTTACTGTACTTACCTGAAATATGCAGTTACACAACTGAAAATTTAGGGAGACAACAAATTCTTTCTATTAACCAAGACAAATCTGTGTTAGCCCATTAAATCGCTAAAAATTTGAGAACATAATTCAAACGATTTTCATTAGCGGGTCTTGCCCCTTTATTTACTGTCGTCTGCTAGTCGAACTCTCCAGGAATCCTCGCTTTCCGTAACTGGCTATTCTTAATTTTCGAACAATAACAAACGAGCGCAGTTCTCCATCGCCGAAATCGGGGCTACAGTGAGAAGATAAAGGCCAGTTTTTAAAAAATATAGCTTAATTTTTTCTATTGTAATTCATTCTTTGAACGGTATTAAGAGTTGCAGGCGTTTACTGTTAAGAAGTCACAATTTAAGTTAAGCTCTGTTCATCTATTTTGTGGGAGAATTTTTCAAGAAACGAGTTGGATTGCTGTATTGCAGTATAATAGCAGAAATATGGTTACTGAAACTACTGCAGCAAAAAAAGCTTGAGGGTCATGCAATAAGTGGTTGAAACTCATTAATAATCTACAGTAACTTACGAACGGGGTGACGAATATGGTAACATAGTACGCGCTGAATAATCTACAGCATACGGTGTTTGGGGTCCATAGAGAATAATGCAACATAGTGTAGACACTTTAACTATTATACAATGAAATAATTATAGAATAAAATGATCAGCGTGTGACTGAATCTGTTGAGAATAAACGGCGCTTGTACTGAATGTATAGTCGGTTTTTGTATTTATAAGAACAAGGGATCCTACAGCGCTTACTCATATTATGTACACCAAATTTAATTATGCTAAACATCGTGTGACATTATATGTCAAACCACTATTACTTAAAGCCTTTTCGGTATTCAAATATAATGACGTAGACAGCGAAAACTTTGCATTTAGCCCTATATGTCTTGTTCCGCAAATTTAAATTACTCATTGTTAGTAAGCTGACCATACTAAAGAGACCTCGACATTTGGTTTTCAGATGCCTCGCATACAGTATATCGGTAATCCTTCGACGCTGCATGGTAAACACTTAATGAGAATTTTGACCAATCTGAAGGATTTCGGTATTGGCCGTCTAGTGACTCGAAGTCTATATGACAAATACCCGGAACCATCATTCTATGTTATCAAGAAAGTGCATCCTTATATGGACGATGAGAATATTTGGGCAAAAGTAGGTTTGCACGTGTGATCTGCTTGTTTATTTTTCGACTGCAGTGCATTTATTTAGTGGTCATTCACTGTATTGCCAAACGGATTAGTCAGTCTCGAAAGGCTCTGAAATCTGGTCGAAATCTAATTTTCTTTAGTAACACCGACATTTTAAGTCTGTTTTTGCCTACTTCTGAAATTCGTCTATGTCGAGGATTCTATGTTGTTTAATTAAGGTAGTATTTTGCGGTCAAAGTTCTCAAAATGACACATTTAGTGCAAACATGGCATGAGCAACGTGATGCTGAGTAGGGATAACGGATTTAGATACAAAATATGGAATCATTCTAGAAAGGGTATTTTTATAGGAATGCTTTTATGCTCATTTTTTTGCTTTTACAATTTTCGCTGGTCCATATCAGGGCAAATACTACATGTTTTAATGTCAATAAATGTTGTTGCATTTAAAATATTTAAAGCGACCAAATATCTGTCATAAAAACGTTTGCGCTATTCTGCATATTATATGTTCCACATAGGTTTGGGTGGACAAGTATTATCGTGGCACTATAGGACCTCGCGATATGCTACTTCAGAAGTCTATGATTCCTGATTATCGGCTCATTCCCAAAGAGGAAGAGAAGGCACTTTTTGATAAGATTACTGGAAAACCAAGGGTCCAAATACTGCCCAGGTGAGTCTTTTAGAACCCAGTATCCTATGCAAAAAGAGCACTTTTGTAAACTATCGGCCACTTATATCTTCTAAGAGATTATAGTTACACAGATTTTAAATTTCCTAAAGAATGGTAATTTCTCTGAGTTTATCCAGTGTTGATTTATTATTTATTGTTCCAAACTGCTAAAACTCGTTCAGGTTAGACTATTTTTCATAAGTGGTTTCAGCACATTTGCTTTGACCAAAAAAGTGCTTCTCATAGAGACAATTATATAAAATCGATGAATGATTTAGCATATGACCATTAGCTAGTGCACAGAGTGTAAAACCTAGCATAGCACAGTGGAGCGGTTTGATGCTTATTCGAGTGATCGATTGTCTCGTGTAAATGTTGAAAACGATTTGACATATTCCTCTCTGCTCTTTCTGGGGTTCTCAGAACAGTTATATTTTTCATTGTTGTATGCTACTTTTTATATTAATAAGTAAAGTTCAGCTTGGTATTAATTACTTTGAAAACACTGGAAATATTGCTGGTTTGATGCGATTAGAATTGAACGCAGCAATCGAATGTAGTTTTAAAGAACGATGCTCTGAATTACTGCTAGAAAACTGTCAGTGCTCTACTATAGACTGTGTTTAAAAGCGATAAACAAAATCCAGCTGCAAGAACCTTGGTAGCGTCGCTCCTTAAATACTTAAATTGTATACTTTCCCTTATGGCCCCACTTTAGAGTATTTGAGTTCTAAGCCCACTGTCTCGAGTTCAAATTAAATAATTTGTAGACTAAATGCTCCATTATTCTGAATGTTGAGAACTGAGCTACTTCACGAAATATATGCATGACGCAGGAGCAGGTGGATACACGCGTATAGTTTACCTCTAAATTCCTTAAGTAACATCTGACTACAAATAACTATGTTTCCATGTGAATATTATGCATTCTTTAACTTGTGATGTATATACGTTTCCTTCTGCGAATAGAAGTTTCTCAATTAGAATGAATTAAAGATTCGTTATCGTACAGTCTCTAATTTAGAAAAAGCTACCTAGTACCTCCTTCGGACGTTGCAGTCTTTAATATTAGACTACCTCGTCCGTAAAAAGCATACTGATTCAAATATACTTTATTGAAACAATATATCGAAAGTTACAGTTTAACAGTTGGGCATCGTGACACGTTGCTTACCGATCGTTGATCGAAGTTTAGCTTAGATTAAACTTTGGCCTTCCTTTAAATTTGTTGGACAATTTCAAAACATTTTTATGATAATAAACAGCAATACCTATCTCAATATTGGCGTGATGGTACAATTACATCCATGTTAAAATGAGTCAACATCTATAGTAAATGACTAAGTTGAAAAATTAAGTTTGTTTTGCATGGTTATTCTTGGTACCGTGGCATTAATGTTCGTTTGCAGGCAGAAGGAATTTCCACCGCTGCTTAAAATGGTTATTGAACGCGACTTGCGTGCCCGCGGTATCGAAACCACCCCTAAGTTACCTTTGGTGTACAATTTGGATCCATTAGAACCCCAACGAGTAGCTGAGGAGGGCGAAAAACCAGATTATGATCCTGATACGAATGAAAGTCCGCTTACCGTTGAGAAACTCCGTCAGGGCATTCAGTTCTAGATATGGACTCCACAAGGACGGAAACAGCTATGAATGTGACTTAACTGGTGATTAGCTCGTGTAGGGAATCCAGACCACATCAATGATTGCAAACAAACACAGTGGGATGCTACTTTAAAACCTGATTTTAACCAGGAAGGCATATTTAAGTAAATGCGAGAGAAACTATGACTGTGTTCAGAGGAAGTTAGAGAGTGGCCTTCTCATAGAGTACTGTAGCTGCATGGTAACTGGATAGTATATTGACTATATTGCTACATTGAGCAGGTATTTTGATGAAAAAAGGAGACTATATTATAGTTCGCAGTTGTTGTAAGCTGCACCCGGTTCTAGTTTTTCGGGTGTTCGTTATGTAAATTGGAAAATGTTGTAAAGTTCATCAACACACCGTTAAACGCTGCTGAGGACATAACTAGGACTCATCTTAGTGTGATTTAAGCGAACGGAGAATAGAGAAAATATATGAAATATATAAGAAAAAAGACATTTTAACAGACCTACAGATGTAATTTTTTTAAAATAAGTATCTTTCTTGTTACTAAACATTCACATGGTGTTCTTTTAATTCGGCCTCTAATAACACGTGTATATTCTCGATTTTGTTTTCGACATATAATAGCTGAATGCACAACAGTTGACAACTTATAACGAGCATTTGATTATGCGGATTCAACGTATTGTGCCTATGAAATATGCAAAGTTCATCTATAACGGACTTCTCCTGTCTCTGGTATTGTCATATGTTTATCTCCGTCTATAGCTTTTTCATTTTCCACGACATTCGTGAATACATATATGAAGAAATCATTTCTATTCTTAATAGTCGCTTATTTCAGTAGCAAGCATCGTCTCAATGACAGCAGAAACATTAGTTTATTCCACCACGAAACTGCCCTTGTTGCCGTCAGGTAAAATTATTCGGCCAGCGTTTGCCATCTTCGTTATATATATGTATACATAGAGTAGTCCGTTCAAATCAGGCAAAACTTTAACCGACCGTTTGTCGTAATGCTAACGTTCATTCGCTGCCCCTGGTACCAGAGAAGAGCCGTTTTCTTCTAGAACACAACAGCAAACTCAGAACAGTGAACAATAACTGCATCGTTTTCAGAATGTAAGCAAAGACCCATCAGGATTAAAAATGTCCTTCTTTGCCTGAACTCAATGGTCTATATCATTTTGAGTCTTCGCGGAATTTTTAAAAAATCCGAGGGTAAATTTATAGATTAGCCGGAATATCCTCAGTGAGATTTGAATTTAAAAGGCTCGAACGTCTATTGAAATGTCTTACAAAGTCATTTTCGATAGATCTGGGTTTTTAACTTGAAAATAACGGCCGCTTGGGGGCGAAGAGAATCTATCAACTACCAACTAGCTCGTCCACCAACCAGCACTAACGGTTATTTCATTATTGAAATGTGTTACACTTTTCCAATATCTTTTAAACTTTCTGGCCTTTTTGAGCTCGTGCCTTTTTAAGTATCTTTGGCCTTTTATTCGTCCAAACCTAAATTCTGTTAAAATTTTTTGTATAAACCATAAGCGATATGCAATGTCGACGCCCACCAACACCGCTTCTTTGTTTTGAAAAAAAAATATTTTGAAAATGACTAGTAAATAGTTTGGGTTCCAAATCGAAGGCGTAATCGCAGTGTATCGTAATTATGTTAAACATGACCCTAAGAAATTACATTTTTAGCGTGTGCAAAAAGTTTCGTTGAAATATCTGTTTTTGCTTTAATATAGTCCTAAAAACAAAACATCAAAAAAAAAATCGTGATCCAAATGCCATAGATTGTATAGGATTACGTAAGCTCTCTGTACACGCTTGTATTTGCGTATATTATGTTTTTAAGATAATGAGGATACCCAATGCAGTCACATGGCAGAAATTCGCAAATGCTATTCAATTACTGAATCAGTAATTACTGAATTTCTGCAACGTTCACCTATATGAAATTCATATTGTTAACATAATATATAGGACATGTACTAAGCCCCCTACCAACTTTATCCACTTTTGTCACGAATTCGGTGCAGAAATACACCAGTGTTTAAACAAGTAAGCCAACAATTCAACCGCACTTCTTAGATCCGAATTCAAATATGGGGACTGTATTATGCTTAAATTATAAAAATATAAACATTTGTCCATGTAAAACAAACTTTTCAGTCCCACAGCGAGTCATACCCGAAGATTATTATAACGATGTATGATAGTCATAGACGGTGATCGTAACGAGCCTAAGAAAGGCAAGCGTTAAATTCCTTAAAAATAACACCAATATTTTATATTAGGTTGTACTGTACCAGTTTTTAGTATACTCAAAAATTTATGTAATTTTGGGAATTTCGTTTTTGAGTCTTCAAGTAGGCCTAATTACTAGAGCAGATCGCTGTAGTCCTGCTTAAGTCATCACTATGGGGGCTTGTTGGAAAATGTCGAACATACTTCACTCCAATAGAGCATAGTAGCGGCTGACCAAGTTGATCGTTTTTCCATACTCGCGCCAGCTTTTCGTCGTTGTCGGGTACGTGTCTACAAGGGACACATATTACAAAAGACACAGAGGACTTAAATCGGTATTTTCATAGCAAATAGGTATACTTATAGGAAATAGCAGAAGCTATCACTGTTCCCTACCACCGTTACCTTAGTAGTTGCCGAGAAATAAAAGAAAACAGGTTTTTATTTTTGACCATCATAAGTTGTTGGTGTTGATTTTTTATTTTCTTTCATTTCTTTTTCAGCTTTTTAACGTTAAACTTTACAGAAATTTACACAACATTATATATCCTATAATTAAAATAGATGTATATGTATATACAGGCGAGAATATTGATTTGTTGCTATTTATATTTATGTAAATGGATGTAAATTTGTTGCTAACAGAGGAAAACTGTTCTACATGTGACAACCCTGCTTATTAGTAGTTATACGAATTTGATCAGTAAAAGCATTAGAGGCAGAGAGTAGCTTTTATTTGAACGGATGTAAAAAATAACCTAAGCGAATTTTTCTAATTATTTCCTAAGAGTCACAGGTCTTATAAACTGAAGTTTATATGAAGCAAATGAATTCTTGAGAATTACGTTGGCCATTCAATATTGACTTCAGTTATCGCTGCTTAACCATGTTTCTTACCATCCAGATCTTCTGTCTAGAACTGAGCAGAAAACATTAGATCGAAAACTATATTGCCCTGCCGTCTGCTGCAGTTGGAAATTGTTATTTTCTATATTTTTGCTGCCGTCGTGGAAAAGTATTGATTTTCTTACCACGAGCTGATCAACAGCACATCCATTATTTAATTTCCACATCTGAAGCGTGGCGCCGGTATTATTAAACCCGGGTGTACACTTGGACAAGAGTAAATACATGTATCACTAGGATGATCACTAGGGTTTTTTAAGGTCAACAGAAATTTCCGTAATCATATTATAGTGAATTAAAAAAGACGATCCTGGGTTGATTACTCATAAAAATATCTGTCAATGGTTGAACTTACTTTGGGAAATGTTATTCTTTCCGTGCTTCTGTCTGGATGCATATACGTGTGTATGAGGTTTTGGTTGCATTTGTCTATTCATATATTAATCATGATCACTTAGTGTGTACATAAACATCTATATATATATATATATATATATATATATATATAAAAGCACGTAGCTATCAGCGGCAGTGTCACTCCTAGAAGAATGATTGACAATCACCTGTACCCCTTTTCTGTTTTGTTAACGCTACGATGATCAACAGAGTCATACCATTATTAGAACGGCTGCTGCCTTAAAAAAATATACGTTTCTCGCAAACAGCATCTACGCTATTTCATTTCAAACACCAAACGATCCTAACAACGATACATCGCAAAAAGGTAAGAATTGCCAACAGGGAAAGGTGATTAAAGTAGTTCATTTTTTACAGCGTTGACTTTATATTTCTATCTATCCATCTATCCCTTTCTGAGTCTATCTCACGCAAAGGTGAAAAACATCCGTTACGTTTGCGTTTATGATAATCGCAATCAGTACTGTAGACTATGCAGCATTTTCGCAGCTAACAAGGCACACGTAGATTGCAGTCGCTTCGTGCCTTGGTAAAGGGCAGGGTGTATCGTAAGAAAAAAACCAACTTTACGTTGTTGTTTTAGTTAACATATAGAATTTGAAGTAACCAACCCCACCTCGACATAGTGACACCATTATACATTGATTCCTCAGCACCGAATCGATTTTGGCGCGCCTGTTAGAACGCAGAAGAAAAAATTCATTTCATATAAACCGTAATTAACATGCATTCTCGTTGTTGCAATACTAGTAGCAGCAATACTACTTGTAGTGGCCTACGTGTCATAGCCCAAAACAGGCGTAGATATGTGACAAAACACCTTTACTTACATAACATGTTATTACTATGTTCAAAACTTCGTTATCAACAACTATACGTATATATATATGTGATCACGGTATCGATCTCCATTCGTCGTCATCTCTACACTTCGAAATGAACAGTGTGTGTACATGCAATCCTTTTCTAACAGTTGGATAATAATAACTGGTAATAACTTTTAACTAATAGTCTTAACTAGTCTTAACTTCACAAGATGTATTCTGGAAAGGACGCATAGGCCAGAATGTTCGGCTTTTTGCCACAATCGCCGTGGATATTGCGTGTCCGTCATAGGACCGTATCTACATTCTCTACACTTCTCTTGGTGCTGTTTTAACATAACTTATTATTAACATTAACTAATAATTTGTCATATTATTTTTTTGTAGGTCCATCTGCGAAGTGACTGTATACACAACCGCAAACCATTTTTGCCGCGTCCGTTCCAAAACACAATGAGGGTCTATACACGGGTGCAGAGTAGAGCGGCTGTCACTGCTAAAAAATGTCTAACGCGTACAACACAGAGCTACCCATTATTTAGTCTCCATTGATGTCACTTCCGTCCCACGTCATATCTATCGCCAATGGTAAACGTTCTGATTTTTTATTTTGCTTTTTCTAACACAATAAACAACAGATGTTTCCCACATGTATACAGAGACTACTAAGACAGCAAAATAATAACAGCATTATCAGCTCGAATACTCACTGACGTTCGTAACAGGCAAACATTGATCAAAACCAGACAAGACGGGGATAGCTCACACCGTATTGAAACCGTTTGATACAGAACGGGCACGATAATGTTAACACAGTAAGTCCAGCAGCACAATTATTAAGTACTCCCAGTGGAACAATGTTAAAGAAATCATTGTCTTCGTTCAAATTCGTTGGCAAAAAGGGCTCTTTAGTCTTTCTGCGTCCAGTTTGACCAAGGAAAATCATACTTTACTCTAACTTTCCAACATAACTTCGAACCTATAGCTCAATTTAGGGCGTAACAAGAGTTACTTAGTTTTAGAAATCACTCATGTCACATATATCCATTGAAAGAATGCGCTATGCTGGAGAAAATCGCAGACTATGTCTATACATTTTCACGATTGCAGACAGAAGGCAACGTGCACTCTGATATAATATTGAACTAGAGTTCTCCACTGTTGCAGGGCGATTGTATCAGTTAGAAGTATTAATAGAAACAGTAGCATCAGCAATATGAAACAGTCATTCTATTCCCCATTTTCTGTTCCCGTACTCAACAGCACACAGAATTTGTGCGTAGATTTCACTTGCTTTAAAATCATATTCACATTTAAAGCAATAGGTTTTGTTCATAATAATTATAGTCACCGGGAAATTTTAAGTTGTACGGCAATTGCGTGTATCTGGGTACACTGACTTATCAGACAATTTTCGCTGGATATTTTGGACTTCGTTACATCTCCGTGCAATATCTCTTACGTAGTCTTCGGAAGCAAATATCTTTTTGCCCGCAACAGGTCTCGTTCAGGTACAGCATTCTAGAAGGGCAAGGCAAATTTCCAAGTGGCGCATGTTTCACTAAGAAGTAGACCAGAATAGTGCTTTCAGTTTTCGACCGTTGAAAATGCCTCGTATTTTTACTATATTGTATGTTTTTCTTCACCTTTTTACTATACTATATGTCTTCACCCTGCCTTCTCATCTTCGCTGATAAACACTGTCATCATATAGTTTTTGATCTTATTGTACATGAAGTCGGCCTTCTGTGCTAACCGCTCGTTAGTCGGATATCTCCGTACGTGTCGAAGCGTATTTAGAATCTTCGGGAATCTCATCAAAGCTGGAGCCGTGATGAAGCTTCCTTCCAGCACTACAATCGCATCTAATGCACTATCTGGGTCCATTCCTACAAGCGTCAGGTATACAAATAAAAACAGTTCGGAGAGTGAGTTGAGACCTCGATGAGAAAGTGCATAAAATAAGCCACTGCCAAGCTAAATGATAAACCAAATTAAATGACAATTACGAAAGTTAAAGTGAACTTCTGGCATGTATGTCGAACACATCGAAAGTCTTCTGAAAATATGACGTACGAATTAGCATCAAGCATATCTATGTTGCACTTACGTTCGCCGCCCATATTAGCCCGAATCTTTTTATCAGTCAGCTCTAGAAATGCCACCTGTTTTTTCAGCTCGTCGGCTGATGGGGCGCCTCTAGCTTTGCTTTCTTCTCGAAGTGTTTTTGCAGGCTCAGTTGTGTCCTCTGATGAGCCCTTACTCGTCCGACCATCCTGTTTCAATGATCTCGCCTGTTGAGACGAGAGGCAGATACAACTGTGAAGTTGCGTCTTAAATAATCGTCCAGCTGCAGGTTCTTTAAAGCTCCAAACATGCTTTCAGTCGTACACTTTTTTTTTTTATCTATCATCAAGTAATACAAACTAAAATTTACACTTTTCATTCTAGGTCGTATTATTACAAACGCACATTACGAAAATTCTTTTTTTTTTTTTTGATAGTACGCAGCCTCGGACTCTATTCGCCAAACACCTGGCAGCTAGCTATAATACTAGTACTCAGTTACAGCTAGTCAACCTAGACTACTTGTCAAAGGGAACATATCTTTCGTGTTCTATCAAAGAGATGATTTCGAGAACTTATTCACATAAAGCAAATAGATGAAGCTGAAAAAACAACCCAAAATGCTGAATAACATTGCACCAATAATATTCACCAGACAGTGAACATATTCATACAATGGTCCGGTTCATCGAAAGACGCAACAGGCCAATAACCATAGAATCGCACAACACTATTACACAACCTATCGATCATTAATATCGTCAACAAGCGTGTGCCACTCACCTGAACGACAGAAACGGCAACGGGCTTTGAATTGACAACAAGATTGGGATTTGTCTCAATAACTACCGAAAGTGACATATTCGGCCCGGGAGTATCATCTTCGCCTTGAGACAAATGATCATGTTTCCTTGGGCTTCTGCGATGACATTCGCTACACACTTCATCCTCGTCTTCGTCGCCTCTGGCGTGAGCCCTAACTTCTTTAATAGGCGCTCTAATGTTACCGACACCGACCTTCTTGCTACTAGCGCCTGTGGTAGCCGCTTTTGAGCCATTCATTGGCGGCCCAGATTTTCGTTCCGTTTCTGAATTTATTGCTGTGATCCGTGTTCGCTTCGTCGTCGGGGAATCCGAGCGTTCACTTTCAGCGGGCTGAAATCAATGTAGGGATGCTGGATATTAGAAATGATATATTATACTGTAGGTTTTTTTTGGTTATGTCCGTGAAAAATAGCGCTTATTTACTCACCTTCATAATAATAACCATAAGCGTTATCATTGTCAACGTTAGCAGCTCACTTGAATTGATGATTACTGAGAGTCAGGTAGAATGTGTATACATGATTTTTAAAATTTCATAGATATACAAAATACATATGATGACATTTTCTCATCACTTACGGGTAAGGTCTTTCGCCGGCCTTTCGGAAGCAGCTTTTTATGTTGACTTAAAGACGTCGCAGGTTCTGTTTTTACGACATTTTTTCCACTAACTGCTGGTCCATAACGTCGCTCTTTCTTCGCGTCAGGAGAAGGCGTCTGTGATTTTCGTGGCGATTTCGTCTCAATTTCGACCAATTCGTCATCGAGTTTCTTTGGCTGTGAAAAACGGACATGAATGCGTTGATGAATGCTAGTCAAGTAAGGCGTACCCTACCCATTGCCGCGTTTCAAATCATTCCGGACAAAAAACTTATAAATAATCCCTATGCAGATAAACATATTGAATACATTTATCGAGTTAAGGTCAGTTAGCATCAGAGGATTATTTCAATAGCTTTTTGTTTTCCTAATACAATAAGCTAAAAATGGTGCCAGGTTGAAATTTAAATAAATCATCACTTTGACCAGATTAACCCAAAATAAATTTTTACGTTTTTATTCCCGACGCGCACGTTAATAAGGTCGTGTGAAAAGAACCTGTAACAATATACCGATCTATTTGCTATACATCATAAAGATATGCTTACGGACAATAGATCAAAGTTAAACAAAATTGTCTTTCAAAGCAAACACGAATCGGGATTATAACTAGTACTCTATCAAAAATGTATAAAGATCCTGTATCAAATATGTGCTTCTATTCACCTTGATTGCCCTGCCAGCTCTGCTATGTTGGAGTGGCTTTTCTTCCGGTGAGCTAGAAACTGCCATAACGTCAGTTTTTTCTGCAGGCGCCTCAGACCGTTTTCTCTTAGGGCTGACGTGGGCATCCCGTAACGGAGGCCGCGTTAGAGAGATCCTTTTTTGTTGTTGTTGCGGCTTTTCACTTTTTTTATCACCTTTCCCGCCAGCTGTAATCGGATCCGTTTTTCGCCTAAAAAAAAAGGCTAGGTACGTTACTACACATGAATTATATGCACATAAAATTCGTATCGTATGCAATAAATTATAGACGATTTAGCTCAATTAATCATGCTAAATATTCAATAATGCATAATAAGAATTTCTATAAAAATTTGTAAGAGTTAAGTCTGTGATAACGGTCACAGACAGTTTCGATCTCGCGATATCGAGCGCGAGCATCGACTATCCATCTACTTTCACACCTAACTTTGTGTCGCGCATAGCACTAACCTTTCGGTATTGTCATTTGCACTTGATTTTCTTTCAGGGATTAAACTCTTTTTCAGCGTCTCTTTTCCCGCTGGACCTCCAAGAATCGTAGTTCCTACTGCCGTAGCTGTTGCTGACCGGCTATCCTTGACTTTGGCCTCTTTTGCCGTAACGAGCGTAGTCTTTGTCGTTTCTTTCGTGAATACCTGTGTGACCTTGACATTTTTGACGGCCCCCTGAACGCCTGTCTTAGCATCTTTTACTACGCAAGCTGGCGTCTGCTCCTTGGCTTTGCTGTCCTTAGCCGATGGTTGTACTGGAGTAAGGCTGGAATCTTTCGGTTTTTTCTCGCCACCAATGCGACCCATAACGTGAGTCACCGGAGGCTTCATACCTGGTCGCTTTTCGATCTCTTCGAGCGCCTCCATAAAAAAACGTTTTTTGTTCGGCCGCGCAAAGCGCGCCTTGTTCTCTTCGTAGGCAAACAAACATTTTATGTCGATAATACCCACTTCGTAGGTGCCGAAAAACAACACTCGATATCTGCAACAGTGCACGAAAAATCACCAATATAGGCCTTTATTACGAAGTAACAGGAGGAAGCCACATACATGCGGCCCTATACACCAGTTCTTTTGTTGTGTTTGAGGTCTCTGTACAAAATTCAAGTTTGATCATTGTAGCACATTACTTCAGACAGATATTCTGTATGAACTATCCGGCGGAGCCTCGAAGTATCTCTAAAATTCCGTGCCATGCAGAGGAATGGACTGATATGTCTTCAGTGTTTATAATTAAGATTTATAGAGTTAGTACTGGTTAGTAAAAACGTTCAAGACTAATTTTTTTTTACGGTTCATTATAAACCGTAATGACTATTCCTAACGACATGCAGCTTTCCACGTAGAAAAGTTGCATTCGATCACACATATATGCATATGCAGACAAAGAATTTTATTATCTTGATTGTAAGTTAATCTCTATCCGACCACCCAGTTCGGATAAGGGCTTTTCTTCTGCATGTGGGCAAGATAGTCTTCGAAGCAGCTAGTTAAACTATGTACCTCAAGTGTCTTGGAAGTTTCGAATACAAACAAATCTATCACGCACTTATATACAAAGTCGATTCAGTAAATTCTAGGAAAATATGGAAACCACAAAATAAGAAATTTTAATTGCATCATTCAAATGCTTTTTTTTCCACGTCTTGATATAGATGACACATGTGACACCTTTTTCTTGCTTGGTTATATTTGTAAAATGTAGAATTTTAATGTCTTTGATCTTTCCAATTAGCTTTAGTAGATCAAACATTCTTTCTCTCATGTATTTTTCAGTTATCGGGAATATTAGAAATTCACAAACAGACGTACTAGAAAGTTCAAAGGCGAACACTTTTGAACAGTTTTACTGTAAAATTTGTAGTATACAAAATGCTCACAGTGTAAACATGAACGACTAACTAGCTATCTAAATACGAAATCCAAACCAGTCAAAGGAATCAGCACCTAGCTTTTGCCTAGATTTTTCAAGCTCTTCTCTGTTTTCGCCTATTCGCCTCATGCTAAGTATATATTTTGAAGAAATTAAACCTTTTCGACTCGATCAGTTCCTGTTGTTAATACTTCACACAATAAATGTAAATTTGACCAGATTCTTAATGGAGACCGACGTTCAAGTTAGCAAGTTATATCGATTTCTCAGAAAGTCGGAAGTCACTGTGTTTTTGCACTGCTCCCATTGCTTAAAGTGAAATCTGTAACTTACTCCATTGAGTTAAATCAGAGTTAATGACTGGACATAGCAAATAATGGATCCTTTTAATGAAAGAGAACCCGACAATCATAATCCATTTATAGATTTACTACACAACCTGTGTGGATGAAGAAAATATATAGGTTCTTATAACTGACTAATCAACCTCCATACATCATATACGTTTGTTTCTAATACAAAACTAATTTACTTGGACAAATAAAACAACTTTAATGAAACTGCTATTTAGAATAGATATATCTTTCTGCCTGGACCGTAGCAGCATCATCGTCATAGGCCGTCATAAACACCGAAGAAGGTTTTCTTTGAAAATGTATTTTGGGAAAATGTTTTTAGATGAAATACATTAGTCGATGTTTTTTTGCTTTTCAGCTCAGTAGCACAATTTGTATGAAGCCAACTAAGACAGCGAAAATCAAACGATAGATGGAGACAACATTGCGCGACGTTTTTGATAACAAACGCTAATACCTAACTCAAGTTTTAGGCCACTGGCTCTGCGACAATAAGGGCAAGTCAGCAAACGGCCAATTGAAATACATGGACCAAGTCATTTCGTCTCTCTTTGCGTGCATAACATTGTTACGGATGTAGATAAAATAGACCGACAGACAGACGTTCAGTCTTGATAATATCTACAAAAAAAATAAATGGCAAGGCAGTTACTACTTTAGAGAAGTGTTAAAATTTACAGATATCCCAGGATAAATGTAGGCTACGCTGGCACGCACACAAAAAAAAGTAGTTCGTAGTATCAATTAAAAGAAGTAGTTGAAGAAGCCGAAATAGAGAATAGGTAAAGTAAAGAAAATAGTAGGGACGAAATTTCGATTTATGTCATCGGCGGTTTATCAAAGACCACTCTAAGAGGATCGATGAAAATTTTATATTATGGCAAAAATTACGCAACTGTCAAATTTGCCGAACGTTAGATATTGACTTTGGCAACGTCCGCATCCATCGATGAGTGTGTAAACAGGGACGGTAGTCGCGGCATCGTATATAAGCATCGCTTAAATAATGGTGAAATGAATGCTGGCTAAGAACACAGTAAGTGGCGAGCACTGAGGAATGCAGCGCGGAAAGCAAAGAGTACACATTTTATCCTTAACCTCAATAATTAAGTATTGTTATCGCTTCGATTACATTTAAAGTAACGTTTGATAGACTGAACATTTGATATCGCTGTATCCACCTCTTCGTAGTGAACGAATGCGTTGCAAATGTGCGAACTTTTCAATTCAGCCAGGAACAAGCTGGCCCGTTTGACTCCGCAAACCAAAAGCGACACGGCGCGTACTCTAAAAATTTGGAGGCCGATCGGCCGTGATGAATCATCGTGTCTTGAGTGTTGTGTTCGTCTTCTTGACAGCGCTTACGTATCATGTGTCGCGTGCTTCACGATAACGATTATGCGGGGTGCGGGTCAATGAGCTCCGTAGTCTCCATACGATATTCTACAATAGTCTACCGGTGATCGACAGCGCAAAAATCAAGCAAGAGCAAACCGTAGCTGCTGTCGCAGCTGATTTCAAATTGCATCGTGAAACACGTTCGCCCATAATTCCACTTTGAAACTCTAATTTGCTGGTTCTTTTTCCATTTATACCATTGCTTTCATACTGTTTTCTCAGGATTAGGATTTCTCAGTTTGCCTTCGTCGCTATGGGCAAAAATTTCGACACCGGAATAAAAAATAACGCAGGAAAATTAAAAGTTAATTTACTTCAACACCGAGATATAACCAATTGCAGTAGCGCTGAGTTGCCGATCGATGGCCGACAGCCGCTAGTTTATGTTTCACGGATTAACGTGTGCCTATGTATGTGTGTGTCTTTCTAGCGGAAGAACGAATAGACGATGGCTTTCCATCATTTGAAGGAACGTTGCTAAACAGGCGTTTATCTTTCCTGAAATTCTGCTTCTCCACATTGCTTTTTTCGATCGAGCCGGATAGACAAATGACCTTGGCATCGACAGACCTAGCCGCTATGTAGTGGCCGATACGACCAGACCAACGAGGCCGGTTATAATAACGGCAATGCAGTAGTTCATTATATTCTATCACCTGACTTGGGGGGTGAGGGAGGGGCGCTAGCGGCGAAGATAACAGGGTGCTTGTTGTACTGAAGAGCGGTGGATTATAGGGCAGTTTTGATGGCAAGAATAAATACGCATCTTGTCGTTGTCGTCGTACGAGTACACACAGATTATCCACAATGTTGCGGTTTTATATAATAGGAAAATTGTATCTAAGTAGTATGTGTAATGCTATGGGATGTGTGTCAACAAATAGAGAAATGGGCAACGACAGTTTTTTACAAAAATTGATTTCTTATCTTTAGACGATAGTTTCGGTCTGCTTTACATGAAGGCGATGATTAGCTTTATTAACGATGTTAATAAAAAAAAAGACACCGGGAAAATTGGTCTCACGCTTTTCCACGTTTTTATATATATATTAAAATTGCGAGGGCAATTTCATTCCACTTCCTGTATATTCAAATACACAACGCCGCGCGTGAAGATGCTCTCTTTGCTAGCGGTGAATACGTCAGTTATTAAGCCAGTCTCATTATGCGACGTCGCTTATGGGTATTCGGTTTTTTCTTGAGTTCTATTCAGCAAGCACGAATAAATGAAAATGCTTGAACCTATATTGAGCAAATACACAATCAATCAAATTAAAAACCTTCTTATTGGTAACATTTGTAGACTTCGCAGTTTATCTATTTTAGTCAATGTCATATATGATTCGTATAACGATCTACCCTTAATCGAATGTTATATGATAGTTCGTAACTATAGGTAGTTTGATTGCCGCAGCCCAAAGCAACCCATCCGCTCTTCGAAAGAGTACTAGAATCTATGCTATTGCTTTAAAGCGAAATGTTCTCAGCTTCAAGTCGGTTACTGCGTTAGTTAATAGTTGTTTAGGACGGCGGACTTCCAGCACGAAACGAGGTATGTCTACGCCCAGTTTCAACCATAGGCCGATTTAAGTGTCTCCAAGTTCAATGGGCAAACACATTACCCATGCACCCTTGCGTGGGCATTCTAGGTGCTCTAGTGGTTGTTTAGATTACGAAAATATTTCATTACCCATATACAGCTACACATGAAATATCTGAATACAGATTCATGCTCCATGTCTGTTTCTGTGAGATCGCATGATTTACTGGAGGATGGAACTATATTTTTCTACACTAATCGTTTTCATTGAATATCATCTCCATTGACAAAGAAACATAAACTCACTTATCTCCAGGACGAACTTCTTCGACGCGGGCTGGCCAGTGTGGATATCCTTTGACTTTTGCAAACACCAGCGCCCCCTGGCCCAGGCTGCGCTTTACTGCAGAACTCATTATGCCACAATCTTTCACGTAACGTCCGCCCTCTGTTTACCTAACGTCGCGTCGTGTTGTCTTTTTGCTTTACTTGCTTGTTGTAGGCACGTTGTTGATCAATAGACAACGTTGACGTAGACACGGCGGCACGGATAACGATTAGACGGTTGGTCTTTCCACGCTGTTTCGTGCCCGTGTCCACTGTAACTACCACGGACGAATCCGGAGGACGGAGCTCTCTGTCCCACCTCGGCTTGCAGCTGCTACTGTCGTTTCGTTCGTTTGTAGATCGGCCGCTAGCTACTGAGACTGATTATGGCGGGCGGGTAGACCGCTGCAGCAGCGGCAAGTGAAGTTAAGATTTGTCCTCGTACGACGGCCAAGTGCTCAGGCACTAACTTTGCTCCCACATATGCTTCCACTAGCGATCCATCTTCCCGGCGACGAGAACGGAACCGTCCCTGATCTTGATTCCACATACACACACACATACACACGCATACGCACACGGACATTCGGTTAGAAATGCTACTGCGGCCGTTGTTGTTGACACTCGCTTGCTGGTGAGCACCCTTAGGACAAGAGGCTAATCTAACTTGTAACTTGATGGGGCTGTTGTGGTCTATTAGATCAGTTTGCTACTTCGAAGCCCCAATTGTACAGCTACTGCATGTAATGTATACAGCAGCGACAAAGGAGGTATAATTCAACTAACAGCAGTCGTATTAATAACTGTTATAATAGAACCACACGCTCTGGTCTCGTATATCTGAACAGCTCTTTTATACAGTCGTTCGCGTGATGAGGAAGCCGTCAACAGCGACGACATGAGCTGTTACCACGAAATGCTGCGACAGTAACACGTTGATCATTATCTTAACGACGACGACGATGATGATAATTTGAAAAAGATAATAGGAAACAACAGGAGAAAAAGACGCGAGGGGAAACTTCCACCCGTCCACCCACAACTTTCGATTTTGTAAATCAGCGGCAGCGCCAATGTTGGGCTACATTCGGTTTCAACACAGGACAAGTGGAAAAAAAGCAGCTTGACTTGGCGGGCGGTACACTGGATTGGGACAACCAGCAAAACAGGCAAAAAGAGCCTGCTAATAATGTAATGCTTGAGAAGAGGGGCAATACGGGCCAGTTACTGAGTTGATGGCCGCCTCTAACATTACTCAGGTCCAGCAAGTCCAAGAAACGTTATACGGTCCTCCTGCCGCTCTTTTGCTATTAAGGAAGCTGCTCGTCATTCCTGCGAACTAACGGGCGATAACCTAGGCGTCGACAGGAGAGCGCTCTGTATACAGTGTGAGCACCCTGTCTCTACCGTTCACTACCACGACTTGCAGCACCCAGCCTCAAAGGCGCTCATTCGAAGTGCCCCTTCCACAGCTGCAGCGACTGTTTGGACTATAGAGCGCTAGCAGACTGCCAGCAGCAGACTGAGCGATTGTTGTGTTACTATTGCCAATGCTGTTCGTTCTTCCACTGCAGCTCCGATAGCTATTACTACGGCGGCAACACTCCTGCTACCTACCGTACCATCAACAGCACAACTATCGCCACAACAAAGAACTAGTGAGCAATAGATACGGCAGGTGCGCACCGGGAGTAGCGACAGCGAAGAAGCAGACGACAACGATCAACAAAGTGGGCGAGAAAATAATAGACGACAACAACAGAAGCAGCCGCCACAACAAAAGCGGAGTATCTCCAGTTACAAGCAATCGCGACGCAGGCGATGAGGAGACGGTTGAAGTATTTGTGACCGCAGCAGTTAAGGTTGAAGTAAACAAAATGAGCAAGCCGGGGCTCCGAAAAAGTGCCTGTCTATTTCGAATGCATTTACATAAAGGCAGCCAGAAGCAGAACATACTAGACATTAGGTGCGTGAAAGATTGGTCTATGATAGAGGCGATTCGATGCGTTTATGCGTGCCAATAAAATAATAAAGATCAGGTACAAAAGCTCATTCCCGTAATAATTTAACAGGTAACGTATTTGGCTGTTGTAGTTAAGAACATGCAGTGGTCTGGATTCGGATCCGGGCGCATAGACCTCATTTCGTGCTAAGAGGTAGCCGTCTGATGGAATGTCCGATGGCGGTGATAGACCAAAACTCAAAACATCTGGGTCCGAAACGGAAATTTCGTTCCAATCGTTCTGGTGTCTCACTTTAATGATCTGCATATATGTATATATAGAGTGTCCAACAAATATATACAGTTTAAAGAATTCGAACTTCGGTTTTCATCCACATTCGATTCATATTATGTGAATTGTAAAAAGATAAAATGTACAACTTTTCATCTCATCACAGATGTTTAAAATGATTACTATAATGATTTTGATGATGAGGATAATGGTTTTAGTCCGTAAAATGCTGATATTCACTGAATCTATAAATTTTAATAAACATTTCATATGCCACTCAATCGCGATTCTGATGTCCTACAGTTACGTCGATTTTCTTATATAGATATTGTTTTGAAGGCGTGCTCAGGAGAAAAAATCAATTGGCATAAAATCTAAGGGACAGGCACGGTATTTTATCGGTCTCTTCGTTCAGTTTATCTTTTTAGGTTATGCTCTTACATTATGATGAGGTATGCGGGTTCTCTGTCATATTGCAAGTAAAATTCGATATATTCACCAGAGTTCTCCCAAATGAACAAATTATTGCAGTAAGTTCAAGTAAATGGTAGCAGTCATTGTACTGTCCAATCTTTTGCTTGAAATGCCGCACCGCACTGCAATCCGTTATGAGCATGATGTTCTTTTACGGCAGTTGAAGTTATCGAGAATTATACACCCGGTTGATTGAAGTACCATTCACAAAATTGTGCCCTGTACCATTCTAAAATGTAACTTAAAATTACAAAAATTAAATACTTGAATTGTAATGTAAGTTACAATACGGAAACGGTATATTATGTTTTCAAAATACGGTAAAAACTTGATTTGTTTATTCTAAGATCAACACCTTCTAATTGTATTAAAGATTTTTGGAATGTTTCGCTCTATCCTTACAATGAAAATATTTTTTGGCTGATGAAGCTCGTCAATGTTCTTGATCTTACGGAACGTTGTCTATGAATATTTTAAACTATAATTATTTCCAATTTATTACATCACAAAACAAAAAGAACGAATATAAAAGTTACGACCCGTAAACAATGTATGCATTTTTTAGTACACCCTGTATACGTATAATTCTTCGTACGTATAATACTTCGTAATACGTATAAAGCTATGCTGTGCTGTGCATTTACAAACTGAATGTTCTAAAAACAGATCTGAGTAGATCTTCTGAAGATCTTCAAAAACTTTGAATTTGCTATATTTTTTTTTTTTTTCGAAATGCTTTAGCTTAATGCAGTCAAAAGTTTGCATATGTTATACAAAAAAACTGGGGAGTACGTATCGAATTCTCATGTCTCCCAAATATAGTTAGAGTCATTGGAAATTTCGCTACAGCGTTGTATGCACGATCGACCTTTTGAAAATATTATAAATTAAGAAAATAAGAATAATTACTATATTAAATTTGGGTTTGACAATTATATTAAGTCAGTATTGTTATCTTAAGATTGTATTTATTTGCATAATTTTTGTGGTTACCTACTCTTCACATCTGAGATCGTCCACAATAAATTTAATTTCCTTATTTTTTGCCGAATGCAGATCATATATACACAATATATATACACAAATATATTATTAAGCTTATTAAGCAAATAAACAATTATAATCAGGTTCAAGATCAGCCACTATCATTCATCAATGTCATCAAATTAGTTAAGTAAAGACTCCCTTATTTTTATTCGCGTGATGCTCGCTGTCAATTTTGATTATCTGTGGGCGATTTTGGAAGCAAATACTAGCATCGTAAAATAATTTTAGTACTCATGTTTCATGCTCATCGTCATTTCATTTTTATTTTTTATATAATGGACGAGAGAAATCACTCGAACATAAAATTCAACGATATAATGATTGTATTGATTTGACCATCATAGCAAATAATGACAATAGCCAAATAATAATTTTTGTATGCATGGCGAGTTTTTCAGATAAATCTAATCATTTTTTTAAAGGTACAATAATCAATCAGACACGATAACCCATTAACCCCTAAATCCTTTTAGCAACGAGCTAGCGAGCGGGTCGTGTCTTGTGTGCCGCAAGCGAAACCATTCACATCATCAGCTAGTCTAGGCCGTATGCCTCACAATTGCTACTATTACTCTCAGTACTATTAACAAAAAATCTGAGATAAAACACAATCAATGGCATATACAGAGACAGAAAACATCAGCAGCAGTTGCTCTCAGCACTTTGTCTACTTGTAACAAGCAGACGCGAGCGATCGGCTCCTACCTCGCAGCGCAAGACGAAGTAGAAAAACCCGTAAAACAGCATCATTGTTTCTGCTACAGAAGCAGACGAACCAAGGGAGAGGCGCTAATAATAACAACAGCAGCAGCCGCTGCAACAGCGCGCAGACAAGCTAGAATAGTGAACATTACCACCAGAAGGTGCAATGAGTGGTATCAACGAGACGTATTTCGCGAGCCCAAGCAGCAGACGACGACCGGGTCGCAACGCATACGGCGGGTCCAGAGCGATCAACGGATCATAAGGCGGGGCAAAGCGATAGTCTGCGCAGCGGCGGCAACAACCGCAGGAGTAGCTGCGGTAGGAGCAGAACTGCCAAAGATCTCTCACTCTATCATCACAGAGAACAGGACCAGCGGCGGAAATCAAGACACTTCCTATGAAGGGAGTTGACACAGTTAGCAGAAAAGGAGAACCAGCAGAGGGAGCAGCTGATTCAGTAGCACTAGCAGTACTACCGGGGGCAAGTAAGCAAGCCAGGAGGCAGCAGGGCAATCTCCCGAATATACATATTGTCCAGCTGGTTCGCTACTGCCCGTGTTCCTTGTCTCGACATTAACACGCATAACGACAACAACGACAACAGAAGAGCGAAGGGGCTACTGTGTCTTTGGAAACGTACGAAGTAGAAACAGCTACAGCGCCAACAGCAGCAGCGGCAAAAGCGAGAACTGAGCTGGTCTGAGATAAGCAGTACGAAAGAACGGTCAGAGAAGCAAAGGGGGCACTGAAAAGCGAACAGAGCTACGAATCGTGTAGTCGTTGTCTAACTCTCGGGCCGTCAGAGTGTCTGCATTGGCCTGCCTGGCCTGCTATGTTTTGTTTCATTTTCATTGTCGCCCTTTTCATCTCCTTCTTTGTGTTCTTCCGTTCCCATCGTCGTTGTTAATGTTTTTTCTTCTTTCCACTGTGCGATTGCATTTTGTGAGATCAGAGTGTTTTGTAATGGCAGTTTGTGCTCTTGTGCCAGTGAACAGCGACGGCGACGACGATGGGCGAAAAGTAGACGATGATATGAATATCGCGTGCTGAGCGTGAATAAAAAGTATTCCAAAGCCATCGTGTCTCGTAATCGAAAAAACCCTACAACAGCAAGCGTAATGTCAACAACTGCGACCATAACGATCACAACTCAAGTTGAAATTGTGTTGTAAAAATATGACTTTAAAAAGAGTGCCGCCACTCGAACGTCTTTTTAATGCTGTTGTTCGTATTATTGTTGCCTCTCATAGAATTTATTAGCGTATAATTTAATACGAATTTGAAATACTACATTTGTGTCAATGTCGTGCAACGTTTGTATCATTGGTTGGAATATTTTTGGTGCGTATTGTTTGAGAAACAATAGCTGTGGTTGTCCTGTCAGGATGGATGTCGGACACCACTGACAAGCCCATCTCGACCCCATTTGCCGTGATTGATCCTATTATAACATTAGGAGACGCCAGTACCACTCAGGTGAGTTGATGATGCCAATCACTACAGAGTTAGGATAATATGATTCGGTCGTACAAAATGGGTTATTCCTTGCGAACCCAAATGATTGCTAATATGGATATCATTAGATATCGACAGTGGTTTCATAGGTGTCGTCGAACACAAACTTTCTCACGCATCATTTAGAGTTCTTTTTCTATTTTCGTAAACAGGCTTTCGTCATCATGTGTTTTCCTACACCAGTAATTTCGGGCCTCTTTTTTTTATTGTTGCTAGCTAGAGATCGCAGTTAAGGTCACCTAACGATAACATGTAATTAGGCGGAATCATAGAGTTCGAACTGGAATGTATCCAAAGACAGAGCTGCAAAACGCAAGTACCTTCTACAATGTCCTTGCCACATACGAGCAGAAAGCCCACGCGGGCGTTTTAGTGAGATGAAATCAATTTGATTTGAAAAGTCTTTGGACGATTTGACGTCATATGGATTTGTTAGCGTCATCATGTCTATATTACCATCGCTCAGTAATTCGTGTGCGCTCAGTAATTCGTGTGTACTATCTCGAGATCATTCCATAGCTAACGATGGCCATCTCAAAAGGGAAATTCAGCGCACAATTTTCTAGATCGGTATTACCTATCGCTGCTAAGTCTGCATTCCCTAGCAGCTAGCGTCCTTCGAGCTCCCGCGCTATTTCTGTCTAGTTTTGCCCTGCGGTAGCCGCGAAGTGGCAATTGGTACCTCATCGTTGCTTTATGTCTGGCGTATTCGGTGAGCATTGCCGCCACAGAGTGAATCGCGTCCAAAAGCTCTATACCTGTAGTCCAACAAATAATGGACAAGAATTCTGCAAGAAACATTATAATGTTTATCCAATACTACAATGGTCGTTCATATTCGTATAGGTTGTAAACATTTGCTGGTCATGTTCCATTCGGAGGCATAATTCGACCTCTGCTTTTGACAGATCCGTTGACACTGGAACCATCCACGGTGCCTAAAACCTGCTTTTCGCCTGGCTGATACGTACAGGATAGAATAACGTCAGTGGTCAGATGCGCTATGGAAGAAAATTAAACTTCCTCCTGGCTTGGCAACGTGTGCCCTCGGAAGTTGCAGTGGTATCATATGTACAGCAAGACACCGGTTTCGTAACATTGTCTCAATACCGTTTATCCAGATGTATAAATGTGCCTGAATTCAGATATAGCATACGCGGCATTCACCACGAATTATGGAGTTTTCTAAACAATGCCTTCAGAAGCTATTCAGTACTGTCCAATATACTTTACTTATGATTTCGATTGCGGCGCCTTTGTCGTTCCCCCGGTTGTTTACTTGCTGTTACTGCAAGAAACTCTACACGCAAACGCGCAATTGATTCGGTATATTGTTGAGATAGATTCTCTCAGCAATATACCAATATATCGCATCGTCGTTATTATATGCCAACACAAGGGCAACGGTGAGTTCCCAGTTCATTCTGTCACGTCCGAACGTGACAATAATGAGACAATAGTTAACACTCCGCCTATCCGCCTTTGTCGGTCGGATCTGGTTCTCTGTCCGCCTGTTCTGGGCTACTACGCCTAACAGTCCGTTTGAGGCTTCGTACTGATTTGGGACGCCGTTGGCAGCGGGCAGCTGGTTTTCATATACAGATGGTCATTACAAAGAAGATAGCTACAAAAACAAGGAAGATAACTAATCACGACGTGTACCTTGGAGTTGTAGTATTTCTATTATTAATGCTCTAAGATCCGCCAACTAACACAGATAGCTTGAAGCCGCAGTCGAGGAAGACCGACGACCGTTTCAGCGCTAGTAGAAGAAGCGGCACGGGGTGACGCGTGCGTCTCTCCTTTCGGGTCCCGATTTCGACAACAGACCCTCTTATTGCTACTGGTCTTGTTTGGCTGGGAGACTCTGTGCATAGATGCTATGAGGTGCACAACAGTCAATGGGGGTTAAGACAGGCATCGTTAACAACCCCATATGTTGCCAACTCACAATCAATATCATGGAAATAAAAGTTAATGGTTGGCAATTCGTTTAAGCTATGAAGTCAAAACACGAAACTCAGTTCAAGACGACTAAGCGTAATTGGGTAATAGGAAAAGGGACGTCTTAATCGTCATTGGTATGTTGATAATGGAAATGGTGATTGAGTAATTATTCTATTGATTGGGGTCGGTAACTGACCGCTGAGACGGTGTGGTATCACTGAAAAAAAAACACTGGTCTTTGCCGAGCCCACGTTTCCTGCTGAAAAGAACATTCTACAGTTTTCAAGCTTTACTTTAATGATTGCTTATCTGATCGATCTTATTAAAATAGGTTAGGTGGCTGTCGAGCGCCATTGTAGCACCGATAAGGCACGCACAAGGGATCGCTGGTCGTGCCGCTTAGTATCAAACCGATTTCGTTTACTGAATGCTATAAGTCGTAGAGGGTGCAAAGATCAAACTAGGGTGGAAAATATACGATTGTAATATTACATGTTGATATTGTTCATCGAGCCTACATCGAATTCTCTAGTAGCGAGATCGTTTCTTAATATATTATTTTGCTTTAAAACAAATGTGATAGAGTAAACATTTTCTGTGAGCCTTTACTGTCAAAAAATAACGTGACTATGCTAGGTTTTTAATGGTATATATTAGAAAAAGGTGATTTTATTTGTAAACGATTGACTTTTGCGTTTCGAACGAGAGGGCTAATTTGTTTGCGTTGTTATCCAAGGAAACCAATTATTCTTAAAAACAGAAATTTGTCCTTAACCGGATGCCCTCAGAGATGGTTCAGCGTAATTGCTCGAAGTACACGTTTCGTTTCCTCGATGCAGAACTTTTTTTCTATTCTGCCTCAAGGTCACAGTTTTTATATGTATGTTTGGCTGTGAAGGAGTCAGGCGGAACGAAGCAAAAACATGGAGAAGGTGAGGTATCCTTAATCTATATTCCAATATCCTGGTTGATATTTCCAAAGATCTCTTTAGAAGCAATTTACTTAAGATAAACTTTGGCTTTTATTACCAACCGGCGTTTATAGGATTACAATAGCCCTTAATTTCCTGTTTGCTACCTGATTTGTCTTTCTTTAATTTCTCTATAAAACAGCATATTTCGGAGTATGCTAGAATAACGTAGAATAATTACGTCGTCACTTGGATATCATGTGCAGTTAGACGTTTTCACAAGTATACTCAGTTCTAGCTGGCTACAATTACTTTAAGTCTTGTCTATATATATATTTGTTCCTAAAAGGGAAAGTAGTCCGATGGAACTTTTATCGACGTTAGTATTCCTGTATTTTCCAACGACAGGTGTCCTTTGTATATTTAATTTGCCTTTTTCTCCTATACTAAAAAAATCTTAGACAGTACGAGCTAATTGAACAAAAATCTATATACATTTTAAACTGCCATAGAAATTTGTTCCACCTCCTAGATTAAAATAATGAGAAATCAGAGAGCATAAACATATTTCCTGATCAAATGAAATGTTCCAGTTAAATTGTTTAGCTGTGTAATTCCATCAGTGAGGAGAGAGGAACGTCAACGTCGCAGAGCTTCAAAGAGCGGGAGCCTGCTACTAGCATGCGACGATGGAAATACAATGGAAATACAACAAACAGTCAAATCAAGACCAGCTCAGCTTTCTCTTATAGAGAAGACTGAAACACGAACTGTGCCGTCATAAACTACGTAACCTGAGCAAACTTTGAAGTAAGTGTCAAGGATATGCGCAAAAATTCTATTAGAGATTTTTGGCGAATCCTTTTAATACTGAAAGGCACGATCTTATGTAATCAGAATTTTTAACATTCTGGTATAATTTGAAAAATGCGAACAAAAAAAATCCTATGGCAATTTAAAGTGTATATAACTTTTTCGATGCATCCTCGATGTATATTTACAATAATTTGTGAAGCAAACAACAAACGGGGTTTCCATCTCGATTGCCGACTGTAATATACAATAAGAACTACTACTAATTTTATTGGCAGTTCCGATCTTTACCGGTACGTAGACCTTTTACTTCTGATCGTGTTCTGACTGATGTTGCTATTAGTGTTTTTTTCTATTGCGTAGGATATATAATCGCCATACTACTTGACGATTTGGCAATTTCTAGGAAACTGGCATATGAACAAAATTTGGAAGGTAAAGATCCTATGAAAGACGTAGGTATTATTAAAAAAAATAAGCCTATGTTAGCGCAATGGCCTCCATGAATGGTGTCATAGAAATCTGAAATCATATTACCACTTAGAGGAAACTCATGTGGGGGAGATTTTCATTGGCTGAAAATAGGCTGGGGAACCCCGTATATGGCTTCGTATTGGGTGATATTTGGTATATACAGCCAGCACCTGATTTGTGTAACGATTTCTTTCAAGTTAATTTATGTATCGAAAGGCAACACAAGTTCCTGTATAGCTGCAGCTGTTTTGTCCGGACTTATATTCCATTAATGCCTGCAATGCTGTCATTGAAGATCCAGGTCGATTCGGAGTAAGGTGTTAGAGAGGAACCGGGCACTGTTATTAGGCAGGAGGAGCTCCGCCTTCGGCCTACATTAGATAGGACATGCCTTGGTGGTGTTCGGTCGTACGTAAACATAAATTTTCTTTAAAGCAAGAAGCAAATTTCTTTAAAAAACATCGCAACAAGACAAACCTACTTATTGAGTTCGACCCTATAATATAGACGATCATCGATTTTTTTTTGACTGTGAAGAGTGTCCTTTGTTTCCCAGCTGCTCGACACATCTGCACTAATCATCAACAAAAACGCTATTAGCCATTTAGTCTGACGAACAATTCTAGAGAGGCCCGCAAACCCACTTTCGACTGTGAACGATCATTATTGGTGTCTTCGGATGCTATACGTAAGAGAGTGACTGTCACCTATAGCACCTAGTATTGTATTTGTTTTGTTCACAAATATCTTAATATTATAAAATATTCAAAATAAAAGCTTTAGTTTAATGCTTACAGAAGGAATCGCACGCACTTAATATAATTTTTCTTCCCACGAATGCATTTCTTAAAAATTTACTAAGGAGATTGACCAACTTACTGCTAAAGTCCCAGCCAAAACTACCATCAGCATAGTTTCCTTCGTTATATAACGGCGGTGTTCGATGTCCCGCGCAGCATATCTCTGGGGCGCAAGTATCACCGCTGTTCACACTGTCGAGCCTCGAACACAGACAACCCTCACCTCTAGCAGTATCACAGAAGGTGAAATGCCTTTCAAAAAGGGATAATTTTGGCCTCATCAAAACACCCTGTGTAGGTGCTTACTTTCATAATCAAGGTCCGGAAGTCGCTGTGACAAACGCGGCCCCCAGATTTAACCGCATATCAAAAGAAGAATTTGACGCACGCTAAAAGCCATATTTTCCGAACGGATGTCAGACATTAGGTAATGAAGTCTGTCAACTGCTGATAATAACAGCAACAATCACAATAATAATAATAATGATGACTATACTTTTTAATACTTAAAATGTGGAAAGGCCTCATAATGGTTGTTGTCCTGTATCAGATCGGTTATTAGTTAGATTGGTATCTTTAACTGAATCTGCAAACGGTGGAAAATCAGTAAAAACCTAAATTAAACCAACATTTTCCGCTGAATCACCTCGAATTGCAATAGCTCGTTCATCGTTATTGCGATGGCGTAGGATTTCCGGGCGGGGCAACCTCAGTGAACAAATGATACACATTGTAAGAGATGATTATATATCTGTAACCGTACGGGTAGGCGAGTCGTGGATGAACGTGTACTTGCGTGTAATGTGTTTTTACATAGTAAGATGTAAATACAATAAATTTTGTGCTTCACTTCGAAAACAAAAGCAAGGCCAGTGGGTACAATTAACCAGGTCGTGGTTATTAAGATGCAGTTTTTTATTTCACGATATTATTACGTATTTGTATCAGCTATTCGAAAATTTTTCTATGCGCAAATCAGTCTAATCGCATTTACATTACCAGGTTAGGCTTCATACAAAAACTTCCTATCGATGACTAGATAATGCTCGTTAATACGTTTGTTTGGAGTTCTTATCGTTATTATCTACAAAAAAGTCTTTCATTATCACCGTAATGAAGTCAGCGCATTTCCAAACTATTTTACAAGTAAACGTGTGAAGGATTAACTAAAAGTAGTAATGGTCGTTTGAACATCTATAAATTACCAGAGAAAGAAAGGCGAAGCACTTTAGGTATAAACCGGTGCTGCGCCAGTTAGGTTAAAAATTATTATATGAATGGCCAAGAAATTCCCGCCGTTATTTTGAACTCCGTTTCCCTTCCCATGCTGACTGCGCGGCTCATGCAACCTGTGATTAGAACGCGTGTATTTACACAATAAATCCGTTGTCGTTTTTTTCACTTGAGTGTGAATGGGATATCATAGAAAACGTTGAAGGATAAAAGTTTTAGACGGTGAAAAAGTGCATCTTTGACGCCCCTTTTATAATGCTTTCCTTCAAGAAGATTGCCGGAGCAGTCCGGATCATTTGAGCACTATGATCGCTGCGCGAACTAGTTTGAAGAGTTCGGAAGTTTATGGTATAGATCTAAACAATGCATTTTGCAACAGTAGAACGTTTAACTTCGACGAAGAGAGTTTAAATGAATTTGTGGAGGAGCACGCGTGTCAACGGAAACGACAAATAATTGTGAAAGTAACAGGTAGCCACGGCATCATTTCGTATCATGACTGCTAAATACACTAATCAAGGAAGTTAGCCTTTGGACCCCATTGTATAGTAACTATACGACTAACTATTATGACTTCAATAATGTTTTCTCTAAGAACATATTTTGTTTATTATGAAACCGACGGCGAAAAAGTTTTCGCCAATCGAACGTAAACTGTGGTAGGCCTTACCAGTTGTCTTCCTTTCATTTGAAAATGGGCATTGATTCAATACGAGTTTTGTACTGGACAGTGGCTCGACGTACGCCGTATTAAACTAAACCGGTATAGTGGTATAGCTGTTTAAAGCGAGCTCAACATTCATGAAGTGCTAACAGTGGTTCAGTGCTTCTAAAACCTGTAGCGGCGTCTCTCAAGCTTCAAGAATTGGCCCGGGTTCCGTTTTGCTCTGTAGAAGAGTACCATATGAATCTTTTAATCACGGCATCCAACTTTACTATTTTGAATCCTCAATGACCGGCTTTTTTCTTTTCAAACACTCTTGTTGTGATAACAAACTCTTACCGTCATGTACACAGTAATAGTTTCTGTAGTACATCGTCCATAGCCTAGAAGTCCAAGGTTGCATCTTACCTCTATCAAAAATCCACATGCACGCGTGATTCGAGTGTAGCTTGAGTGAATTCAACAATTCGTCAAATCTGTTTAGACATATCTCTGAATAGATTTAATTCGCTAGGATACTACGTGTTTAAACTAGCCCACACTGACCCTAGTCTGCTGCTTCGTAAAAGTCCCAACAACGACCTTAGTTCACCCGACAACAAATTCTAGCTCAAGTTCCGTCAACAACCGTTACCCGTTTATATGCGAACAAGTAGACGATGATATATTTTTTACTATGTCAAGCGAGTCGCTGACTAAACGTGTCATAAGTTTAAAATAAACGTAGACAGGTAGAGCTTGAGGATGTTAAATCGAATTGTTATGTGTCTATGTTGGAATAATTTATTTGACCATGTAAACCAGTAATATATATATATAACCCTACGGACCCGTACTTGCCCAGAGTCATTTTGGAAACGGCTTTGATGATTTTTAATTCTTTTTGGTTGGTTTGACTTGATCACCTCGTGCCAGGAAACAGCCGACGTTTCTGCGTAAAGCCTCAAAAACAATTGACGAAGTGTATTGGGCGCGGGAGCTGTAGGGTTGTCGAGTTGGACTGTCGAATCGTCTTTGAAGTTATGAATCATCAATAAGCAAAAAAGATGAACTGGTATTAATAAACTTTAATTCGAAATCGCAAATTCTAATTGTTCATAAATGCCGTTGAGGAGAAATTGCTATCATGAAAATAGCAAGATCGTGGCGGAATAAGAGCCAGCGTGTTCAGGTATGGTTTGCTATTGTTGCGTTTAGCCCTTGGTTAGTCGTGCATAACTAACTGATGTAATAATTGACTTTTCAGAGATTAGGTATTATACTTAAGAAACCAGACTTATTCGCAGAAACTAATTGCAAAAGGGTTTACCTAAGTGCAATATTTGAAAATAGTTCGAGAAACTGAGTAAATGATTAGCGGAACGGAGGCACGACTGAGTAAAATTACGGAGTGCGGGAAAGAACTGCTATTCACATACGACAAGCGGATCTGTTTGGATTCAGTTGATCGAATTGCGACAGCTACTCTGCTCCATAATTGTTTTCGAGCGCAAACATTTGTCTGTACGTATATCTTGCTGGCACGATTAGAAGTGATGTCATCGTTCTTGTGCTCCGAAAGCGAGCAATATTTTCTGTATGCCATTGAAGACCAGTCTTGAATGTATGAAGGAGAACATACAACCAAAACTCACTGCAATAAGACTCAATAAGTACGTTAAACAATGACGAAGCATCGGCGAAGATCTAATTTTCTGACAGAAGCTTTAAAACACCAATACAATACCTGGTGGTACTTTGGAGCGGCGATATTATACCTGAGATAGTGGATAATTTATCTGCTAGATATACAAATATGCCATTAGTTTTCGTCGTTATTTATATTCATTATAAAACAAAAGCGCTGTTTTTCTCATTGAAGTAATTGCTAGTTCGTTCTTTAATAGCTGATACTTCATATCAATCCAGCGATTCTTAACTCTCCTCGAGTCACGTAATGGTCTTACGTGTCTCTAAGATAAACATGTTCCTTACTAAGCTACCACTGGGTTTTCGCGAAAGTTACTTTCTTTTTGTAGTTTCAGTGAATTATTTGCAGAAATGCTAACGCACAACCGAAAACAAGGTAGTATGGGACATTCTCCTATGAAAATGTGTGTGGGTCGATCCTTGGGTTTATAGATGACGCCTTGAAACTGCTCTGGCATTAATTCGAGACGTCCGTTTTTTTCGCCGTCCTTCAAAGTGGTCCACTTACGCAGCCCTGAACACCTTGGAGAGCACTGTTTATCATAACTTGCTTGGGTTTCTAGCTTGGGGGATCTAGCTTGGGTTTGGTCAATACGGGGGGGGGGGGGGGGGATATATATATCTCCCGGTACCCATCACCCCTAATGGGCATTCTGCTCTCCGCCACCCCGGGACGCATCCAGTAAGGGTCCATAAATACGCTGCCCTATGTGCAGGCGTCCCGGATGCATGCAGGATGAGGCATTCCGCCTCATCCACCGGTCGGGGCCCTTCAGGTTACAATAGTTACCTAGAACCTAGGAAAAACACTACACTCATTCGTAGATTCGAACTGATCTTTTGCGCTTTTTCTAACGGTTGTGTAGTAAAGAACCGTTCTAAGACACAGTTGCTATTTTTAATATCTTCACAGCTATACATACCTTAAAAGCTGCAGCTATTAGACATACATAGAATAAATTTTACAAACGCGACCTTATAATTGCTGATTTTGTCCTTTTTCGTTTTTCGTTTTCTGCATTTCGTTCTGTGTTCTTCTGAATTTCTACTCTAGGTGATGACGATGTGGTGTTGGAGCAGTGGCGGAGAGATTAAAAGAAAACGTGCGCGATCTACTCGCGCATATGACCATTGCTAAATTCATTGGATACCCGCAAAAAATGGCGGGTTGGGAGCGCGACACCCGGGAAAAAGAGCCGCTTGATGCCGAAGGGGCGCCAACGGTTCAGGGGAACAGTGGTCAGGATAGCCAAGGCGCACGACCCGAACGCGCCGCCGCACAATTGTGCCAACTCAAGCTGAAATATGAGTATTCGCCCCAGTCACCCTCGAAACGGAGAACAGATATCTCTGAGCAGGCCCCCTGCTCGCCGTCGGTGGAGACTTTGCTAACGGCAACTGTTCGCCGAGTAGAACTCGAAGTGGCCAAGGAATTGGGCCCGGAAACCAAGCGGAGTAGAGATGATCGAACACCTTCAATCGATGGCCGAAGCGACCGGATGCCGCCGCAAGATGCAGGGAGTAAAACACAAGATAGAGAAACGTCGCTTACTGCGCCAAGAAAGGTGACCAATGGAGAGCGACGAAGCAGCGATAGTGCTGCGATTATTGTACAGAAGCGAAAAGACATGGATAGCCCAATTAGCCCGTCAGTAACAAGAAGCCAGGTTTGGGAAGAGGAGGCGACCCCGAAAGAAGCGAAGATACGAGCCGATGTTGTCTCCAAATGCAATGGCAACATGGTCATAAAGAATAGCAACCTAAAGACGGTTATTTCTAAGACCGTTATCGCTAAGGTCACTGCCACTGATATCAGTAACAATACGAGCCAACAGACGATGGCGTCTGTTAAGGTAGTCGTGGCACCAAAGGCAGCTGCCGTTAAGCGGGAATCTCCCTCACCCGACAAAACCGATGAAGAGAAGCGATCAAAGAATCCTGAAACGATTCCTGTAAAAACTCTTTCAAAGGCCAAAACTTCTATGGACGTTTGTCCCTTAGGTGGTACGTCGACGCCTAGCAATGGAACGTGTACAAAGTCTCTGAAGATAGGTAAAAAAGAAACAACAATAGATGCAATTTTCGAGTCTGACCTCAAGATAAAGCCTTTGGGTAAAGGCGGCAATGAAAATACTCCTGTAAAGATACCAACGACAAAGACGAGATCCGAAATGGCGCTGACAACGCCGAGTTCGAATAATGGTGTTGGAGTTAGCTTAAAGTCGAAAAGTGACCCAGCCAATAGTGAGGTGAGTACGCCAAAGATTATCCGGACAACGACAGTAAACGCACGTAAACTCGCCGTCGGTGACGATTATACGACAGTCGCTGCCGATCTGACCTCAACGAAGACCGAAGCTGAGGAGTGCCATCAAGTCGGCCAGGCCTCGATTACTAGAGCTGGGAACGCGGTGATTACAGCTAAAAGGACAATCCGAGAACTGTCCGCTAACGAGGCTCTAGAGAGCACACCAAAAAAGTTCGTCTTAGGCACGTCACCTGTAACAGCTGTGAACAGGCGGAAGGACCTTGATACTCCGGTGCTCAGCCCCGTCATGAAAGACATTCTCGACAACCCCAGTTCTCCAATGACACGAAGCATGAGTCGACGGATGGAGGAAACGACCGTGCCAGGCATTGATAGTGGCATAGGTCGTTCCATGCAAACAAGCAACAGCATGGAAACACCGTCATCGTCTGGTAGCGTAGGAACGGCCTCGTCGGACTTAAGTACTCTGCGCGCAGAAGAGCCGCCGATCAAAAAAAGGGTGCGCTTCGATAGGGTCACTGTGTATCTCTTCGAAAGGACACAAGGCTTTACAAGCGTACCCACGCAGGGAGGATCTACTCTAGGTAGGTTAGTCTTTGAATTTCATCAATGAAAATTGTATTGCTTTTTATCTTATGATATACTTTCTTAGATTTTTCGTCCAAGGAAAAAGATTCGATTAATATCAAGAAATGATTCCTGATCGTGTATCCCTTATTCTCCGAAAGAAATTTAACCATTTATTACAGGTATATAACTTTCTTTTCATTGTGAATCGTACAGGAATGGGCTCGATTCACCAGGATTTGGAGGAATATTCTGTGGAGGAGCACGCTGAACGGAAGCGGCTTCAGTTACGCCCTACAGGGGTACCGACCCCTCCATTGGTTCTTCCGATACCTACGAAACGACGTCGTGAGCTCCTTCGCCAATCAGGCGTCCGAGATATAGATGCTTTGGAGAAGGATGAATGTGAAAGTATACGTGCCTCGAGGGAGCGATGCGGTTGTGCCTGTCAGGGCCGGTGTGAGCCTATCGTGTGTCTCTGCATATTGGCAGGAATCTCGTGCCAGGTAGAAGTGTTCAGCCAGGTGGGCACCGTACTTAGAACATCTGCGTCTCAAAATGTTTGCATTAGTATCTATATGCCATTGTTAATAAGTCGAAAATCGACTGTGGGAACAGATAAATAAGGAACAAGTTGATATGGTCGTTTCAAAAAAAAAGATTGGAAAGACTTGGATGCTTAAGGACACAACCCGATATGGCCAGTTATGTTAACCAAAAAACCGTTGTTTTCTATGGTCAATTTCGAATTCCCTTTTTTAGTCTCATAAATCTAGAATAACTGTGTGGTTTAATTGTAGGTTGACCGATCATCATTTCCTTGCGGATGTAGCCGTGAGGGTTGTGATAACCCAAACGGAAGGACCGAGTTTGACCCTATCAAGGTGAAGGCTTACGTTCAGCAGACGCGACTTCGCGCTAACCGTGAAATGGGGGTAAGTTCCAAATATTATGCGTGATCAAATAAGGGGTTTGCTACTATTACGCGGTGTTTCAATAATTTCGATTTATAATTTCGTTTCCATAAATTCTGTCTTTGTGCTTATGCCACCAGTTTCTCATAAAAGCCACATGTAATTTTATTTGATAGCATATCCTATTGTTCTTCGCCAACGCAAAAGAGAAAACACAATTAGGCACCTTATACGCCCGACTGAGTACCATACTGAAATAGAATCAGGGTCTATCTTTCCGATTAAGATTTTAGATTTGGATTTCGATCAATAAGTAGCTAAATATAACAACCAGGTCTATGCTTTTGCTAGGTTAATATCTAATTCAATTTATATGTGTGTGGTATTACAGTTGCCCGAAGAGCAGATACAGGTTATGCAGAACAGAGTAGAGCAAACCACATGCGAGTACTCGAGTGAAGGTTTGTATCGTCCCGATGGCAGTGCAGAAGTTGCAAAAATTATTAGAGTATATTATAATTACGACGTGCTAAGATCTTTTGCGTGGCATGGCGCTAAAGTTTGACACACTCGTATAAAATTGAGACCTTCTTTGAATTTAACAATTTCCAACCGATACCTTGCGTTCGTTGCCGTTTTGTTGCACAGGGTCCGACAACAGTTCAGAATGTTCGGAGAACAGTGATTATGCTTCTTCCGATGAAGCTATACCACCGGTACAGCTATCATCAGTTTCACTACATGAAGACATAGAGTTGCCTGCCCATTCTGCAAAAGACGCAACAGTTAGTTCCATCAGCCAGGTACATGCCAAAGAAGAGCCATCCGAAGATAGCGGCAACAGTGGGGGAACCAGCGTTGATAGTGTACAGTCTTGAAACGGACGGAGACATACGCGTCACAAAGACCATTGCACGGAAGCGGATCCAGTAAGTTATCCTGGGCCACCTATCCTGGAATAATGGAATCCTCACCCGTAAATACAGCCGGCAGACCTTTAGGTTGAGGAACAGGGTTACGAAAAATTCGGACAACGTCGCGATACGGCATTACGTTGTAGCCATCTTTCGACGGCGGTAACACCGTGAAGGTTCTAACGATGAAAGTGCATGAAGTCCGTGAGGTCGGTCAGAGTTGCGTCATGTGTATCTTTTCGCAAACAAATGAAAGAAGATGACTATCGCGAAACCATGATGGCGTGTTTGCTCAGTGATAACTATATATAATATGTATAGATATATTACCTAGGCGTGGTAGGACCGCTATCGAGTCAGAGAACGGGTGTAAAAAAGATCTGCGGCGATTGTTTTTTATGCTTGTTAATCAAGTAGAAAGTATAAGAAGGAGATAAATCAGTTCATTAGGAAAATTAAAGGTGCAACTCTTAGGGGAAAAACAATGCGCAGTAGACGAGACAGACATTTTCTTCAACACATGTAGATTGTTTGGAGCTTGAGCGCGCCATTCATGCATGCCAGTGTGAAGTCGTTGATTACAGGAAAGAAAGGCAGTTAAAATACATATAGTAAAGAATTGTTCCAACGTGCTGCGATCCGAGCAGTATAGATATATATGGGGCATTGCCGATAATAACACCCGATTCAATGACTCATCCTTTCGTTTCGCACAGCTAAAGGCTGTGCTAATATGGATTTAACGGTTATAGCGATACTAATCCTTGTCATTTTGTGAGTGTATTTTTTGTTATTTTTAATAATCTTATTATTTGGTATTATCAATTAAACCAATTGATCTATCGTAATGTGGGCATTTACCGTGACGTGGCCTAAACCTAAAAAAAAGCCTAAATAAGTTTTGCAGCTATTTGCTTATCGCCGTGATATTGGGGCCATTAAAAGCAAGCAAAATGACGTCTGGGAAGGCTTCCACGAGAGCAGCACATGAAACAGGAGTCGTTGATGTGACAAAGTAGGAGTTCTAACGTTGGCGATTTCTGAGGGTTAAATTATACCAGGTAGTCTTGTGCTATGTTTGGACGTATCGAATAACTTGAAGCTTATGAACAAACTTACAATGGTAAACAATGAAACTTTTTAAGGTTAGCTCAGGTTAACATTGAGCGGGCTAGCATTACATAAAGTTTGCTCCTCAAAATAAATTCATCAGAGATAAAAAGTGCACGTGAAAGATACATTGCAGGCATCCTTAGTTCATGAAGTTTATACTGGGCGATAACCTTGCAGACGCTTTACGGTCCTGGAAATAATCTTGCGGATATGGGTTTATTAATCTGTTTATGCTATCGTTCATAAGCAACCGTTGTGTCCGAACGTAAATCTATTTGTGCGGGTTCGCCGACTGCAACAGCTGTATTTTTTACGTTTTGAGCTCGCATATCAAATAATAAAAGATTCAGCAACAATAATGAATGACTAGGAACACAAACGGTGGGGCTTCGCCAGCACAATGGGCAAGGTTTTTGGGAATTATTGACTTCGGTTTTCTCCCCCTACGGACATTATTGTAATTTACGGATATTTCACGAAGTTTATTTTCACATTGGCAGGCAATTATAGATCAATCATTTATTTGATGCGAATTCGTCGCTTGATTGAATACCGTTTATTGTATTTTAACCTCAGCTGATTCTTAAAGAGAGCTTCTTTTTTCGGTCGACATGTCATTTTGGTGACCCCTCTTCTAACCATTTATTCGATATGGCAAGTTTCTTACATAGAATAATTGAGATGTAGTGCTTAGGTCACACCAGTCGAAATATATTCAAACCGTGGTCTCTGTAATTCCCTGCCGTGTTTGGTTCTGGCTGTGCATTTACCAATGGACAGGATATCACCCCTGTGGTAGGGCTGTCCGTAACATGTGGTACCGTGAATATCAACCGCTAAAACAGATCTCAGTTTTTCCATCCAGTATTATTTCGTGTAGCCACTACTATTATTAATTGTGAGAAAGAGCGAAATGTTTACTATCGAAAGTATTTTTGTATGTCTTCTGTGGTTCACTCTCTGAGTCTAGAGAGTAAACAAATGCAAAAATAATTATATACTGCTATTCCGTGAACAGATTTTTTCTTGGTATCCTAAAACACTATAACCTACATTTTATAAAAAAAAAATGGCATGAAAAACGGCTTCAATGAGATGTCAATGGCTTTCCAGAAGCCGTCCTGAGAACGTCAGAAATATGAACTGGTTGTTTCAACTTTACCGATTGTTCTCACACCGTTAAATAAGTAATGGCGAATATAGTTCGATAAATTCATCGACATTCGGATCACTAGACCCTGGTGTTCAATGTTCTATCCAGATCAAGCCCTGTCTAACGAATTATTGTCTTCTGCATTATCCATAATTAACTAAACACACGAGCTGAAGTTTCGTTTTCTCTTTTATTAAATAGTTATTACCGGTTACCTTTGTCTTTTTTCACCTGAAGTATAATTCAAGCGCATTAACGAGTGCGACGACAAATCAGTTTCTACAACTACCTGAGGTTGCGCGTATATAAAAATAGTGAGATGTAATCTCGTCATTGCTTAGCGTGTGTACGTCTAACGATTTCGTGGACCTATATACCAGCAAGATCGCAAAAATCTAGTTTTTCTTGTTCTACAAACGTGGACAATGTCGCTAATGATTATATTGTAAACCTTAATATTTTACGCCGCCACAAAGTCCCTTGTACGTTAATAGCCAACGGACTACTGCGATTTGTTTTAGGGGACAGACAGGAGACGTGCTTGGAAATAGGGCATGTGCTACTACAACAGCTCAAGTCTTACGTTTAGTTTTTTACTGTTATAAACCATTAGGGTCGATCGCTTCTACTTATTGATATAGCTAAATCTACAACATCGTATTTCATTTCTAATACTGTGAAATGTTAATTAATTAAGTTAAACTGTGTGCTAAATCAGACAGGGTATTTTTATAGTATCCTTTATTTATAAACAAGAGAAATAATAAGCAATGGTAAAATGTCGCAAAGAAAGGCAACAGCGGCATCCAACTAATTTTTTGGTATGTATTTTGTCGTGTTTGATGAGCGGAGAAACTAGCAATTAAACAACAACTTGTAATTAATAATTGAGTAACATGCAGTGGATGCGCGTGCAGTGCATGTGCAGGCTTCTACAGTTTGACTATCGCTTACATGTGGCGACAGCAGCAGAATTCGATGCTGTTTAAAAGTAAGCAACAGAAGATTAACTTTGCACACTGTGCATTAGCCACAACGCAATTGATGCTTAAGTATTACTAGACAATTACCGTTATCGTGTGGTTGTGTACAACGATTGTACGAAAGCGAAAGATCGATCACTCAAAGAGAAAATGAACGTTATTCTTACAGTGAAAGATTAGGGGTCATAAAGAGGCGTCAAAGAATTGTCGATGATGATGTTTCATTGACTTAGGATTACTATTATTAATGTACATAAATATATAATTAATATTATATATGCAGCAATATTGCTCGAAGTGGACGGATATTACAATCATTTGTTAGCGTGACAGTAACAAATATTGTAGGGTCCCGCGAGGAGTCGACACGTCTAACGTGTATAGGCATTTACGGAAATTAGTCAAAAAAAAAAACACGGAAAAATCCGGTTTGAAATCAATCGGGTGGACAAATGTCAAATTCGGTTTATGCTGCCTCGTGTTAATGATTGATATTTGTGAGATATATTCACCAAACGTGAATGAACAGCCCTGGGTCTGCTTCATCCTGTCAAATAAAACAGTATAACGGCATTCAGCTTATATTCAGTACGGGGCTATCACCCAAAATTAATATTGGATCGAATTCTTGAAACTCAAATGCCCCGTCAAAATCTTACTTGATGGGTCGACAAGAACATTGGGACTTATGTATGGTAGCGACACGCTGGGCGTCATCCTCGAGCACAGCAGAAGAGCAAATGGGTAGTTTTGATAATGGTGACTGATTAGTGACCATTTGATAGAACCTCATGGAAATTTCACTATCGAACTGTTGAAATCGTGTAAGATTCAACTAGATAATGTGTAGTATGTCAAGCTGAACAACGCTTAAATACGCGCCAGAATGGGTTATATGGAATACTATTCATAAAGAAGGTAGAGTGTACAGTTCAGACAGAGTGTACATAACGATATTTATTTAAAAAAGTGAACATGAGTATCATTATTTCGGAATGGATACGATTATTGCTACCTAGTATCAGACTTGGTATCAGGTTTGAGAAATGAAATTCTGATCCAAATCGAAACTATTATTGGCCTTTATTTTGAAAATAAGGTTTTGCGAAAAACCATGCTTCGGAATGGGTTAAGATACAAAACTTCATTCAACTTGATGGTAAGGTCGTAGGAGTATATCAAAACAGGTTCAATGTATCTTGATTATATTGTACATTGCTTCTAACACGGTTTTGGGCAGAATAAATTTAGTATAAAATAATTGTTGCCCAGATCATTTTTCTATTAAATGCGACCAAGGGCGATTCTCGCGCATTGCGAAATATGTTCGATGTTCGTCAATGTAGTGAAACTGCCTGTAAAAATACTAAATATAAAAATTAATGTAAAAAAGAAAATTATTGATAAGAATAATAAACGCGAAAGACGTACGCAGACGTTGACACTGTGTCTTTATTTCCCTGCTTTTTTTTTTAAATTTAGTAAGCCTCTTGGTGTAAAACCAACCATATAGACTGCAATTACTTTTCGTGCTATAGTCTTAGTTACGTTAGTCGTAAGTCTTTTAAAATTTCCTACGGGTCTACATCAATCAAGCATCATCATCACCATAATCATAATCATAATCATCACAATAAGGCAATGCTTCAAATAGTCGACACTTATACGAATCTAGTAAATTTCCAACGAAATAGAAGTTTTAAACGATAGGACTTTCTCAGGCCGCCTGTAAACTGTTAATAAAATGCAAATGTACATATAGCAGAGTCTAGTGGAAGGTAGCGTAGAGCTAAGCAAAACTGAAATTAGTCCACTGCAAGAAATGCGACGCATCATTCGCGCATCAGTATATCAGCAGGCGTATACTGATTAGTACCACTAAAGGCGCCTGAGCTCAACAAGGGAAACGCCGAAGCTTCTTTTTTAAAGGTATAGAAAATCCATTTACGAATTATGAGGGGTATCCGAAACCGATCCCTCGGATTTTGCTTAGTGGGGTCCTTTTGAGTAAATCTTTACACGGCTCTTAATACATGTAAGGTACTTCATCGAATATCTAAGGGAGATCGCCGTAGCATAAAATCAGCATATATCCGTTAGGCCTGTCTGGCAAAGATCGGTCTCACGCCTTTAATACTAACAGCGTTGCCTTTATTCAATCCTAATCGGAAGATTTAGCCTTTTACAAATGACCTTCTGATTTTTTATAAGTTGTGCGCAACATGATTTGCAGTAGATCGTAAATTCAACTGCTATGTTGTCGAATGTTGCTGGCCCAATAAAAGTGACACATCGTTCACGGAACAAAAATCGTAACCTAAAATCTATGAATATCTACCAATTATCTTGTAGGCGGTTTGCCAAAACAACGAAACCGTCGAAATTATTAAAGTGCAGATAGGCTAACCGTAATCTTTCGGCAAGTACGCTCTTATTTTCGAGGTCTGCGAGACCCCAGGTAAGGTTGAAGCACTGGAGCGAAAAGCACCACGTCCTAGCGCGCGTTTAGAGGGTAAGAAGCCTGAAAAGGACGACAAAGGCACTACATCACCGATTTACTCAAGGTTTTCTTCTTCTCTAGCGCTCGTTAGGTTCTAATTGGCAAACCAATTGCGATTCGTTTAGCTGCCATTGGTAACAGTATCACCTATTTAGATTTTGTAATATGTCTGACGTTGAAACAAAGGGTTGCACCGAAGTACATGCCCACAACGACACTGATCAGACACAACAGCAGTGTGATAATCAAGCTGCAGCGGCCGAACGCAACACGCCCTCTAATAACTCAACAGTTCCTGTCGTCCAAAGCACGTGTTACGACGTCAGCCCTAATGATAGCCAACGATCTGGTCAGGCTGCGGACACGCTAGCTGATAGGGCGTCGTTTAGTTCCGATGAATGCGCCAGCACGTCAAGCGATTCGAAATCTGCGCAAAAGCGAAAAGGCACCGATAGCTTAGCGCACAGCTCCGCTAGCCAAGCGGTACTTGGTTATGGGTTGCCAAAGGAGCGTAAGCTTAAGGACTTAGGTAGCAGTGCGTCTGCAATGTCAACTTCCAGGAGCGCAATAGACCAATTGTCGGGTTTGTCCAATTCCAGTCCTAACACATGCGGTGTAGCCGAGTCAGGTCGAAAGAAGCTCGTTTCCTGCCTAAAGAAGAAATCTTCAGATGCTAATAAGATTCAGGCAAACAAAAAAGAAGTTCAATTTGACAAAACAACAGTTTACTATTTCGAACGAGCACAAGGTTTTACCAGCGTTCCGATTCAAGGCGGTTCAACTCTTGGTGAGTAGAAAGCAACTGAGGGTACTCTGTTATCGGAGCATGGTTTAGTCACTGAAACAAAAAGAAACAAATGCGTACCTGTCATGATTATAGGACTGTTTGACACTGGACACACAAGTCAGCTTTTTAGTTCGTTTCAATGGAGTAATATAAAAACGCTTACTTCACTAACTTCGATTGTATTATCCTAGCCGACCTATAATTTTACCTTCGTTATTTTGCTGTGCTAAATATTAGTCGTGAGATTCATTAATAGACCACGAACTTGCTGTACGTTAACGCATCAGTTTCCCTGCTCTAAAACGGCTAAGTTTAAAGTCTCCGTAGGCGAATATTAAGTTTTTTCGAACGCTACTCGGCCTTCGATGTCCGACCGACATATTTCTCCTTAATTGAATTCATTATTTTTTTATTCATCAAAAGACTGATAATAAACTATGTGTAGGATTGAAATTAGCTTCCCTGGCTACCATCATGTGTCCGAACGTGAATACCTTACGTCCACTTGATCTTGTCGTTTTATTTGAAAACTGAACTAGTTCAATACATATATATAGCACATGTTTGATTTTGTGCTTAACCGATAACTAAAACTATTCGTTTATTTGCTTTATTATTATCTCAATTAGGCATGAGTTATACCCATCTGGATGTTGAAGAGCGCAGCTTTCAAGACGCCGATGACTGTCCGACCAAGCCATTTTCAGGCGACGGAGCGGAGTCGATAGCAGCGAATTCAGTGCCATACCCAATACCGAGCCAGCAGCGCCGCGAGCTATTACGAAACTCAGGCGTGGAACATATCGATCCAAACGAATACGTCGAATGTGAGAAAATTCGAGCGTCTCGCGAACGATGCGGCTGCAAGTGCCCGGTCCGTTGCGATCCGTCATCGTGCCTCTGCATAATGGAAAACATTCCGTGCCAGGTAGAACCAAGGTTAAATCAAGTCGCGTAAAAAATTGCACAGAATAAAATCATATTCGCTTAATAGGAGATACGCACTGGAGGAAGCATTCAGTACACGCCGTTTTTATGAATGCGGAACAAACTGCCCTATTTTATATATTGATATTATATTAGAAAATTGATGAACTATTAGAACTCTCGAGATACAAACCCCACTTCGGGTTTTACAGAGAAGAATCGCCTTCCTGAACTGTCGATCGCTTTCTGGGCCTACTCCTCCGGACACTTTCTTGGACTTCGAAAATTGCGGACATTTTTCGAAATTGACAACGAGCAAGTTTATAGTTTGTTTATTCAGACGCAAACCTCGCAGCATTACAGTCGTTTTATTGAATGGCGGAGGTGACTAATGGAAAGTGATCTTCTATAAATGAGAAGTGTCTACTCGGATAGAGACGTATTCGAGAACCATAATAACACTTTTTTCTTCCGTTGCAGGCGGACACCTCGGGAATTGCGTGTATATGCAGCCGGGATGAGTGCCAAAATCCCAACGGCCGAAGCGATTTTGACGCGATAGCAGTACGTTTTCACGTCGCACGAACTTGCGTCCGAGCCAACCGCGAGCTAGATGTAAGTCCATTGTCAACGCTATCATAATGAAAGTTTTGCTTACTATTTTTCCCTCGTTTTCGTCGCGTCTCATTTAATCACACACATTTAATAGCTTCAATGGCACGGTATTTATCTTATTTTTGACTGTACCGTTTCAGCTGCATAGCGAGCATTCACGGGATCCGCCGCAAGGCTGGGCCAACCTCTCATTTTGTAAGTAAACGCGATCGCTATGACTAAGATGATTGATTAGAAATCGTTCTCACTAAGATATGTTGATCGTTTCCGGCTTGATACGATTACTGCTTGTGATCTTCATCACTCAGACCTATTTTACCATTACGTTTACTAAGCGATACGAACCCAATGATCGAACCTTACACGACGTGGTAGACGGTGAGACACGTTGGTAGTCTTGGTTTGAAACCTGGCGTCAATACACTCCGTTGCAATGCTTAACGAAAACACGAAGATAGTCTACGCGAAGCTTGATATGTCAGATTAAATCGAGTTTAGGGAAATTAAAATTACAGCTTAGAGTTGAGATAACACTTTGCTGAACTGCTCACTGCTGGATGCGTGCTTAACAGGTGGAGAAAACAATAAACCTTGAACACTTCTACAACGACAATTTTTCATCCGATGAAGTTGTCCGTGGTGAGCTTCGCGAACTCACATTGAACGCGTCAGACAGTCGTCAAATACACGTAAATTCGACTAGTAATAGTCTCGAAAAAAATTGCAAAGATAACAACAGACCGTATGAACAATAACAGAGTCCTTATCAAAGAGAAGGGCTGTTGTGTACTTTCACAAAATACGGTCTGCCTTCAGGTCGTCGGTTAGCCATGGGCCTCAGAATCCACAGCTATGCAAACTCCGTACACCAATAAACCAGTGTAAACAAAAGATTGACTCTCCTTTAACTACTGAATACCCGTCATTAGTTAAAGTGCATCTCGTATATGGAGCAACTAGACTTGACCAGAGCTCCCATGGATGTACGTAATGTGTGTAATGACTCGTCACAGCTATTTGGTATTATTAATCGGTTCCGTTCCTGTAAAATATATCTATCGAGGGTCTTGAGCAATCCAGGATAAACGTACTTCAGTAATTTATTGTATTATTATTATTATTAGTTAATCGAGTGGTATTATCTATTCACACCAGACATACGCAGGCTTTACAGACGAAACCTATAGAGGGTTACATACTTTTTAGCTGGTGGCGAGAAGGAAAATCATTTCACCCGAACTCCCCGAAATCTCCTATCCACTAAAAACAGAGCCTGAGAACGTTCGAGCAATTTGCATAAAATAAACGAAACTAGATACCATTGCGTAGCTCGGCTGGATGATCCATCTATCCTTCTGTTTTCTTTTTGCTTTTTTTTTTTTGCCTCACACTTTCGTTGAGCGAACGAACTGCGTCACTGCTTCGTTATGAAGAGACAACCAGGTTGTTAGGGTGTGAAATAATCACCTATTTTCGAATAACAAACGTGCATCACACGCAGCTGTCAATGTATATGGTTATACTAGTGCTGGTGCCGGTAACGCGGGTGATCTAAACTAACTGGATTGAGCTGCGGCTCTTTCGATTTCCAAAAATCAAGCCCGCATTGAGGAAAACACTATACCTATATAATAGACCAACAAAACTGGATCAGCTGGTGGACAAACGAATGAAAAAGGTTGTCTTGAATAAAGTTGGCCTTTTCCAGCAATGCTACCGTACGGTAAAATTTATTGTGGTAAAAAAAAGGTGGAGGCGGGGCAACTTTCAGATGAAATGTGGCTTTGCCTTTTACATTATCGTCGTACCTAGGAAGTCGTTTGAATTGAAACGTTCTTTTTATCTTGCGTCAGCTTTTGTGCATTCCCTGTGAAATAGCGCGGACGGATCACGCTTGCTTGAATAAGCCTATTATGTATAATGGCCGTATCGAATGCTCCGGCAATATCCGATCCAGTACCGGAAACAACGAAGTAGAGATAGAAAAGGCTGCCTCGGCATCCTAGTTAGCATTCAAAAGTAGCAAAATCTAAATGACGCAAATGATCTGGCGATCATATCCACTCGTAGGGAATCGAGGGAAATCGGAGAAAAGTTAGTCTATTTACGGTAAACTCGTATATCTGTGCTTGAAGCTTGCATTTTCATTGCTCAGGGCACGGTGGGGCGCGAACTCTCGATGATCCATCAAGCCGGGACATTGAACAGGAAACCATAGTCGGTGGTAATTACTTTGCTTGCAGAAATTGCGAGTGTTCTTCGGGTGCTCCATATCGGTCGATGTATATATATATATATATATATATAATGTATTTATTATATAATAGCGGCACTGGGACTAAGATCCATCTGGAAAAAGTCACATATGTGAGTGGCCACCATGGCATTGTTTTGAGTCCGACTTAAACTACCCCTACCAACTTTATGTTGGGGCTAAAAAGAACCGTGAAATCTTACCATCTGAAAGTTGGCATTTGATGATAGTGACTACTCTTTCGCGACCTTACCACAGTTAGACATATTTGCTATTCATTGCTAAAGCTTTACATTTCAGCTGGGAAAATTAGTTACCGCTTTTCCTTTCGCTTTCTTTATTTTTTTAAAGCTTTTCTTTTTCCTGCGTGAATTCGTTGTTCTTCGCTTTTTGTAGAACAACTATTGTAAGTACCTCGAAAAGCAATCCCACGGAGTTATACAGAAGGATCAGGTAGAAACAAGGTAGATATGCGTAACATAGTACCTTCACTCGAATTCAAGTGACGGAAATTCAACACATGAATGAATAATTCACGTCTCTTGTTTTATTTAGAGTTCGCTCTTAGAAAATCACAATCGCTAACAGCGAAATTATATCCTGCTAACTATCTACGTACATACAGATATGATTTGACCAAAAAAAGGCACAAAATATTACCCACACACACACATACGGAAACCGTTAAGCAAGGAACGCTTCACATTTAATAAGTGCAGTCTTAGTTTTACGTTAAACTAAGTTAAAACGCAAAAATGCGCAGTGAATGCGTGAGCGCAATAAGTCCATCTTGTTTTCTGCCCTCTTTCAAGCTGTACGAAAACAATCGAGTTCTATATGTCATCTTATGTTAGCCTTAACCTTTACAAAAACAACCTGTTGTGAGGTTTGGGGGACAGCTTCGCTATGGCAAAAGCGACGTAGTGCATTTGCTAGTCCCCTTTTGTTTTTGAAGCTACTGTATTTTTAGGCAGAGTTCTTCGACACTGACCATTTAAACGACCAAACTTGTCCAAGAATACACACGCTAGAGATGACTGCTTTCTAAAGACATCGATAATTATAGCTGGCCACCGAGAAGCTAATGACAAATAATAACCCAATATGATATTCACCGTGAATTTGAATAGCACGCGAAAGTGATCGATTTCATCAAAGAGCGATCAATTTTATAAAACAGGGAGGCGTCGATAGGTTCGAAACCGGGCGTTGACACAGTTCTTTTTCGAAAGGAGGGGCTGGCTTCTTGAACAGAGACTTAAGAAGGGGCATGGCTAAATGTAACTTGTTTTTTTCATACAGCTATACGCTCAAACGTTGTTCATATATCACTCTCGTTGAGTGCAGTTTGATCTACCGGCATACAAGCGCGCAAAGGTGATCACACTAACAACGAAACGACCATTTCTCTCGGCCATCGAATCCGAGAGACGGGAAAGGGCGCCTTTTTCTCTCTTTTTTCAATCGCAGCAGATTTTAGCATGTTCGTATTCGTCTCCTGCCGCCGTCGCCTCTGTGGTTATTGCAGGGCTAACTCAGCTGAGCGTCGGATCACTCACGCTGCTCGCTTGGAGCACCGAAGATATGGGAAAGGGTAGATTGTTTTGGTGTCTCTATCTGGCTGTGTCTCCGCGTAGAAGTCATGTGTATGGTGTAGTGGCAGCCGTGGCGGTTCGATTACGACTGCCGACGAAACCGCTGCCGATAGTAGGACCGAGGGCGACAGTGTGGCACTCGCCGCTAATAGACTTTGCACGGCGGTGACGACGACGGCCACTAGAATCAACATAGGTCGCTCGCTGACGCAAAGCTGGTCATTGTCGATAATCAGTAGAAAGCAACTGAGCTGGCTCTCACAGCGATTGGGCGGTTCGTTGTTCCCGTGCGATTCCAAACATTGGGTCGTCAACTAATTCTTGACTGTGGAGTTTTCTCTGAGGTACGATTCGGTCTCCTCTTTCGTGTTGCTAAAATTACGGTTTGTGTGTATGTACCCTGAGCTGGGGTGCAACCCCAGTTGCAGTATGGTAATAATGAACAATAGTAGAATAATGCTTCTCTTGACAATGACCTTAATGCACTTCACCGAGCTCCAAATACCCCAGAGGAACTTAACCACTCGTCAACGATAGTGTTGCTTGAGCCCCGAATGACACCTGCACAAGCGAATCCGTCAGGCTGTCAAAACGCAAGTGTCGACACGACAATTTCAGTTGGGGTTTAGCCAACTCTAGACAGATCCGTTGCTTATACAGACTAATGGGACGTAACGGCGACGGCACATAACCAAAATTTCGAGTAGCCGTTGCTACTAAGCAGTTAGTACACGGAAGGAAACTTACTGAGTTCACGGATGCAACCTCACGATTAAATTCAGTGTTATAATACAGTGTTACAACACTAACAGTGTTAATATCATCCGTGGTCCGACAACTGCTTCGTTCTTCAATATAACCGATCGCGAAATTTTCTCCATCCCTAAATGGTGTTGTGAAACAAAAACAAAATCAGGACCACCGAAGAGTCCGTTGCAGGCGATACATCTTCAGACAGTTGAGGTCTGATGGTCCTTTTGCTTTACCGTGTTGTTGCTGCCGATACTCACGCATGGGAATCGCTGAGCGCATGATGAGACAAAAGAGCGGGTAGCGCCGCTTTTGTCCGACGTCTACTCTATTTTTGCTATAGGAAACGTGTGTCACACAGCTACAGATTTCGACGCGAATATTCTGAAGCGAACAAATTTAGCCTCGATGTCTCCCGTTGGCGGGCAGTTGATTTTTCACAGCTCAGCTGATTACCGGCTGGTTTGTTGTCATATCTCCGTTATGATTAGAGATCGTTGCGGCCGTAGTCAATTCTACTCATGCAGTGGACAGACGCAAGTCACGACAGTGTTGCGTTTGTTTCCGAGGTGCATTCTTATGGAATCCTAGTTACTGGATAATTTATAGACCGAAGAGGCGACGAAATCGCTGATTAGACTGACGGCCGCAGTAAACGATTCGGTCAGTAAAACTGGCTAGTCGGGTCAACGTGAGACTTCAGGAGACCGACAGGAATCACTCTTCGAGCTTCAAGTTTCTCTGCGCGCCTTCCGGATGAGGCTCCCACTAGAACGATTACCTGTATTATCGGCAGCTTCCAAAAGCTGCAACATGGACACTGCCCTTGAGCGGATCCGTAGCGGATGTCTTTGTAATGAGGAAGCAACCATTCTACAGGCGATCCTACTATCGGTGCAAGGTAAGTAGTGCGATATTTATGCTTGCCAAATTTATGCTTGCATATTCTTGTGGTGTTGTGAACAGCACACAGCAATATATCAGTATGTTCTTCGAAATCGACCAATGATATAGGTTGAAGTATACTATTATTTATATTATTGTCACTTCTAGATAACTTGCTATTCTCGAGTCGAGGTCAATCTTTTTCTTTCGAGAGCTAGAGAAACAAATCTGGACCCTCATAAAATAGCTTAGTATAACTGCGGTTCTTATACTGAGATGGGAACATCGTTCTTACATATGAATCAAGTTTTCGTTAGAGGGCGTTAGTAACGATTGCGCCAATGCAGTAAACAATATTGTCTATGACGTGATCAGTACGTACATCGATTATAATATAAGTAGAGAGTATAACGATCTTCATGCGGGTCAAAAAAAAAACTACCTGGCAAGCTAATTCTCAAAACTTTCTGACTTTCCGATGGGAATCGAACTCGGGAACTCTGTTTGTTTACCGGACGTCCTACTAACCCAGCCACATTTAAATTATGGCAGGTAGAACTTTTTTGTGAGTTTTTAGATTAAAAAACTCGTAGTACAACTACTCAAGCTACGTTGTTTTTTTTTTTATTTTGATAAGTTTTATTATCGAAGCCCTATGTATCCTAAACGATTCAACTATGCTGTGTCTGCACCAAAGTGCGCAAATTAACTTCAATGATGATTTAGTTGAATCTTATTTCGGCCATGTTACTAGACTTTGATGCCTTGCTAATTCGCTGAATGTACTAATTATCACCGTAAATATAATACTTGAGGATAAATCTTTTTCTTTATCTCTTCCATATTCAAGCTATACTAGCTTAATTTAAATATATGCACTATTTCATACTCTCCTATATGTTTGTTAATGAAACCTGTGCACATCATCGAGGGAATTTTAGATGTGGAGGCTACAGTTTTACCCACTTGTTGTGCCGATATATATTCATAAACAATACGTTTTAAATTTAATTCAAAGCACATCCACTTAATGTGGCCAGTTTAGAGATACAGAAAATGAATTTAATCCTGTTTCCTATATGCAGACAGATCGAAAAATATCTTCCCTATATTACGAAAAGTAACATATATGTGAATGTCTAGAAAAAATTTTGCATCTCAGCTGTAACGGACAATCGCGAACTCACTACCGGCACAACAAATGTTCTTCGGTTTTGCCAGTATCTGTTTCGTCGAGAAAGGCAGTCATCATCCAACGGCTCGAATGCGGCTACCTTCTCCGTGCCTCTTTGCTCTCGGTTTGTGCTAAAAGCAAATCTTGTCGCAGAACAAAGGTCCACTACAAACCAGCTATTGCACGTTCACGATCGATTTTAGATTCATCCGATCCCTCTGACAACTACTCATACAGCTTATTATTATTGGCTTTAGAAAGCTCTTGTTCTAGCAGCACAAAGGTCTCTTCCTTCATCGTCTGTACCAGCTGCTCTCGTCGTCTGCCCGATAGTATCAACGTACAGTGAACAAATACAGGTGCTTGCCGGTGACTCGTATCGAGTAAATTACCTGTTAATAACGATAAAATTCTGAAATATGTTTTACGTTGAGCATCTGTTGTTTCGTCTGGAGGTTGTTACTTCATCTACATATATGTGGATAAAGGTTCTCAGTATCAGAATTTGGGAAAGGGGTATGACGAAATTATAACATAACAAATTTGACTTACTAGTATATTTAATGAAGTAGTATACGTGTGCTATACTATGTATTTTAACGAGATTGATTTAATTTCACGTAGAGATGTCGGATGCGACGGGTTTTTTTGGCAAAGCATTTCGAGTTTTCTATTTAATTGTCGTACACATGCTTCGAAGCTTGTATATTGTTTATATTTCTGTTGAAATCTAATAGCAATCAACACTAGTACTGATCACTACTACAAGTACTACAGTACTTAGATCTGCTCAGTACTAGTGTTGATTGCTAAGTTGATATGCCCGAAATCTAACGTAACTACTCTCCATACCGACACTGCCTCGAGTAAATAACGGTCATATACGATAAACATTTGGTTTTGACGACGCATCACACCTGCTTCGCATCATTTTCGACTGACGCGTATGACGAGTGTTCCTTATGACGTCAGTACATCACATCTGACGAACAACCCAAATCACTCAAGTTAGCAGGCCAAATAGTACCTTACATGAACTAGACCTTCCGTACCCTTAGGTGCTGATACGTATCTATAAATTTATCCAACGATCCACAGCGCACACTGGCAAAAATGAAGCAACACCATCCTGGCAAAGTGTAACACTTCTTACGGTAATAATATACTAGTTGATGGTACAGGTACGTATTTATCTTAAATCTATCCATACCATCCATGTCTTGTTGTCCCGAACGAAACGAGGCATAATATCGAAACAAGAGAATATATATTCAAAACCGAACTCGATGCGTGAAACGCGACTTTCTTTCCTCGTCTACGATGCGGTCGGTGCTCGTTCGGTGACGGAAGCTGATGCCGTCAAATCGTAATGAAATGCTGTTTCTCTGGCTACAGCATATTTTCATGCCCTGACGTGCGTTCGGCATCCATTTAGCGGCATTTATACGACCACTAGCGACACCGTGGTAGATGACTGCCTCGTGAGGAGTCGCTGAAGTTCAGCTGGATTCAGCAGAATACGAACATACATTAGGTGCAGCTAGACAAGCATGACGATTCGGCGCATTTCGTTGCTTGGAACATATTGTATGTCGTTGAACTGTTATGCGAGCACCGCGATCGCGACAGCTGAGGATCCGTCATCAACAAAGGAGAAGGCTCTTGGTCAGTGAACGGGCGCTCTAGCTGATTATGTGCGTGAGCTAGAAGGAAGAAGCACCATCTGAACGAAACGATCTTGCGGGCATAGTCGATTTGGCGCACTCGGCATACGGCGGTGACAATCGTTACGTTGACACGAGCAAGCAAGCAAGCCAGTTGTTATTGTAACGTCGTCTAACTTTTGCCATATGTTTTTCAAACAGGGACACCACCCAGTGGCGGACGTACTCCACTATTGTAGATAGGCCAATCATTTGGCGATGGATCTGTCATTATGTTCATTCGTCTACGGTCGACATCAGAACGTTTCATCAAAAACAACTGCTTTGGCGGTTTCTTTTTTCGCCGTTGAAAAACTTCTGTCGCTGATGAAGAAATAGATTAAGAGGGGACGATTTTCGATACTCAAGAATAGCAGCTAGATGATTTCCGGTTAGAGCCATCGGGGTACCGGGAACGGTGACTTCAGCACTGGCGGTGAGGCATCAGAATCGTGACGCCGAAATCCGCTAATGGGTGCCTCTGTCGCTACTCTATTATACATAGATTTATTCGAGTGGATGTAGTATTAGGTAATGACACGTGAGACCTAATGTGTACTATAACGAGACGCCGTCTTTCAGCTTCGTCGGGTTATGAAAAATAATCGAACAAAACGTATAATACCGTTTCGAGTTCTCATCTACATGTACTGGGAATAATTGTGCACGGTACTTAGCTATGGCACCTGTATATGCTGAATAAATGATAGATCGTCATAGATTGAGTAGGCATAGCCAAGGCATTGACGTTCGTTAATTTTATTTCTTCCGTTCAAATAATATTTGGCTAACAGACTAATAAAGCGATCTTAAAACTTAGTGCACTTATCTGTTCTCCTAAAATTGCAGAAGCGGCGCTTCAGTTAGCTGTAGAATATGCATATAAATATACAAACGCTACTTGTGCAATACAAAGTAAATGCAACAAAATTATGTTGCAGATTGAAGATTTGCAAGTTACGTTCTACTCCCAAAAAAAATAGATCGTTCACTACGAAGGAAACAGTTGCCTTGCAAACTCTGATGGTTGGGGGTGTGGTGTTTTTCAAAAGAGAGATTTTTCTCCGAACCAAACTTCGCAAAGCTATATGAATATTACTGCAAAGCGTAGAGAAATGTTCACCACCATCGTATTGGAAACCTAAAAATATGATGCGATAAACACGCAGTAAAATTTGTGAGATACCTGTGCATTTTTTTCAATGAAATGGTTTCAGAACCATCTTCCTCTGGCCCGGAGACCTACCTCCAGTCGCTGCATCTGTGGACTAAATTGTGTGAAGTTGTTGCCGAACGTTGCCTTTACGGGGTACCCGTTTGTCGAGCAGCACTCGCTCTTATCAAACAGCTTGATGCAAAAGTGCTCCTTGCCACGTTTCAACGGTCAGAACCGATCGATATCCAGTATCGCTATCGAGAATATGCCGTCGTCCGAACAGTGGCGTGTCAGGCACTCCTCTGTGAAAAACTGCTCAAACACGTCCTCGATACTATGTCCCGTATGCGCCTTTGCATACGGAGCGGATTTCTAAAGGTCAGTTCTGTCTACTGAATTAGTTCGAGCTTTTTGTATTCTGTGTAATCGGAGTATATATATATATATATATGTATATATATATATATGTATATATATATATATATATATGTATATATATGTATATACATTTATATGCAATTAACAGTCATTTTTGTGCCACAAAGGAAATCAGATTACGAGCATAAAAATGTGTTTCAAACGTTACAGCGGAGGCGGCACAACGCGAATCATTCTGAACTGCACAAATGTTCGTAAATACCATAAAGTCACGCACAGTTTTTTTTTTTTTATTGAATTTAATTTATTAATAGTATCTAATAAATGGAGTGATAATTGCATTTGGTAAACGTGTGCTTTCCCACATTGCCTCTGAGTTTTACCTATTTATTCTCCCTGTGCACATCTTTTTCAATGCTTTCATTTTGCCAGTTGCTATTCTCATGTGCAAACATTTAGGCGAACAATAATTGTCATTGTTAGCCTCCCTAGAAATGGGCAACTATAGCATTGTATCTTGTGCTTGATACGTGCGTAGCGCGTCATGGGGTATCTGCGCCGTGTCAGTTACCCTAGGTTTCTGCAACTTCTTTCTCCGTGTGACTAGGCAGCTCGTAGAAATAGAAGTAGTACCAGACTGTTGTGCAGAATGTAATGCATTTTGTAGGTATGTTATATTCTTAAAGAGTAGCTGTTCATGTTAAATGGACAATCGACATAACGGGCGGAAAGCTCGACTGGAATTTCTATATATGTTAAAATATCAACTGTATCTCACGAGCTGAGCGCGTATAAAACCAACACATGCGTGTACAAATGATGTACAGAAATCTCTGTGGTCGGAATAAAAATGATCGACTCCGTATCATTATGAGTAGATAGACTCCAGCATCAAGTTGATTGCACATATTCGTGAAATGAAAGCAATATTTTATGTACGAAATGCAAGCTCACTTCGTTCAAAAACCTACAGGTTTACTTTGTTTATTTGCACTAAAATCATTTATCTGCAGTATGTTTTTGTTGATCAACTTCAACTTGTATATAATATCTAATATTTTGTGTAACGTTGCAATAGTAAGGGGCGGCTTATTTCTAACAAGCTGCTGTTTCTCTAACAGGTTTTCCTTGAATTGTTGGCATGGAAACGACCGTTGAGTGAAAGCTTGTTTCCTTCCCACGTCAGTCAGAAGTGCGACGGTTCACGCAGTGGACGGCAGGACTATCCGCAGCCTGGCCAATGGCTCGGTCCATTGCGCAGTCGAATCGAACTCGTCAAAGCTGTTCACGCGATAGCCTCAGATTGTTGGAAGATTTTAGCTCTCGCAGACAAAGGAGATGTTGATGATTTCCTCTTTACGTTGGTGTACATGGCACCCGAACAAGTCCGGATCACGCCCGATTACCAAGTACTCATATATCTGCTAGAGGAGACGGACAAAGGCATTGTCCTAAAAGTTCTCTGCCTACTCGATCATGTAAGTGTTTAAACTGGTTAAAGTGCTGCTAGATATCACTGAATAGCCCTATTTAGCAAGTTGAGAGTTGACTTGCAACTCTTTCCTATGATAATAATTTGACCAGTAGCTCGATTAATAGTGACCACATCAAACCAACGTGAGCATTCACAACTGAGCCTACGATACAATATAGCTGTATTTATAGTACTACTTACATATATAGTAACTCAAACGAACAAAAAAAAAAACTGCAAAATTAAAGGTGGCAGTACCCTGTTGTATTAAATGATTCGTTTTCAGGAGCTTTCAGGCATACTAACAGCGACGACTGGGCCAGATTTTCGAAGATGTGCCGCTGAACTCTACTCGTTGGCGGTCAACATTTTGATGATGTGTAGTGTGACCGATTGCCACTGGCAGCAAATAGAGGACTTTCTCGAGCTGCAGGAGGTTGAAGACTCGTGCCTTTTAGCGACGAACAGTTTGGCATTACTACGTCGAAAACTGGTGCTGCTCTTCAAAGCTGTCTGCGTTAGTCCAGATGTGGCACTTCCTGTTGACAAGTATCGTCTCAATCTATACCTTGACGAAATCCTTTACCTGATGAGTGGACAGGATGACCTCCTTATTCAGTTCCTATTATCAAATTTATTTAGTTATCTGTACAATGAGCGGGAGTTATTGAATCCACATAAGGTCTTTTTGAGGTACATGGGTATGCAGAATTTTTCCGAACAGGAACTCATGGATCAATTGATGGCTAGCGTCGAAATGCTAGTCTATCTTGTCAAATACTTCAAGCTCGTGGCGGTTGAATGGGCCCGCTTCGTCGCTACCATTGCTGAGGTTAGCGGTACAAAAAAGCGACGTGTAAACGATGAGCCCGGTCCATCAACGAGCAGTTCGGCAACTGGTGATGAATGCGACCCCGTCGAACGTGTTATGGCGACGCTAATACGCCTCAACCTGCTACTTCAGCGACTGAATAGCTCGAGTCTTCTGCCGTTTGATGCGGAGCCACTACTTAAGTTACTAGATTCAATAGAAGCCCTATACGAAACGCAGGGCGACAGCTGCAGGCTCAAGGATCAATCTAGAAATACTTCAAATGCTGGTCAACTTTCAGAACTTCTTGCAGGGGCGAAAGAGAAAACTAAGCCAATAGTTCCAGCGAGGTTAGTTTTGTCCGTCCGAACTGACATGGAAGTGGCAAGCAGTTCCTCGCAGGGTGCCCCGATCTCCGGGCCCTCTGACGAAGTCGTTATATTAGGAGCATCCCAAAGTCAAGATAGTAGCAATGACAGTAGCAGTTCCTAAATTGATTAAAATAGAAAAAATAGGTATATAGCAAATGAAATAAACCTCGTTACTTAATAGAATCCTGAAAAGGACTACATTTTTTGCGCAATCAGTATTAATGCTGAGTGGCTTCTTCACAAGAAGTTGCAGACAAGCCTTAACAGTGTCTGATTCGCAAGGCTCAAATCTAGGCTCGAATAGGCTGGGGCAGGGTTGAATCGCCAATTGTTGTGGACAAAGGCATTTTCATATGAAGCCCTGTACACCAAAGGTATAAGTTTCTCTGGAGATCCTGCAATATTTTCAAAATAATCGTTGAACTGCGATTTTTAATTTAAAGGCAAAAATTGCTGAGTCAGAAAGCGCATTTTTGCAGTAATGAATGTACATGACAAAAAATAGGTTTGATTTTATGCTGTAACTTTCAATGCAAGGAATTCGTGATACGGCAATCGTGTTTCTAACGAACGGTCAGTTTTGCTATTTTTGTCGCTCATGAGAAAAATGTGTCTGTAACGCCTAGTGAGAGAAGGTTAGACGGTGTAAACAATGGCGGAAAGCTTAATATCGCGTCATAATTTCGTAAAACCCTAGGAGGGACGGAAACCCGAGTTTTTGTGAAAGCAAGGCAGAAATCACTGTGAGATATTTATTACAGAGAATATTAATCGTCTTTAGTCACAGCTGGTCAGAACAGAGTAGAGGAGCAAGCTATATAGAGGAAAGTCATATGCTCGAAGTACTAACAATCGAAACAAACTGTAAAGTTGAAGTTGAGCGAATATGTTGATCGATCTAATTCGAACTATCGATGCAGCGGTGAGCAGCTCAATTGGATTTCAACGGATGCTCCTATAGACCGAAACACCCATCATATGAATAGCGTGGTGACAAGATACAGTCGACACACAATGTTGCAACGAAGTTAACTAATGTAGTCCTGTGTAAAAACGAACACTATACAGATACGTTTGTGACTTTTAATGAACCGGTTAAACGGCGGCTGACGGTTTCTATTGATCAACTGACTCGGTCGTCACTCAACGATTGTATATATGTATGTATAAACTGTAATACAATGAACAAAGGACAGGAACGTCAGGACGACTTGTATCGGCCTAATAGGTAATAACAAGGACATTTTAGTAGCGAAAAATAAAAAATAATTTATTTTGGTTACTTCAATCATCTAATTGGTTGACACTTATACTCGTTCTCAATCTTGATCATAAAGAGTATAATAGTATCATAGATTTAAACCGATTTCAGAATGGAGCCATCTCGAGAGATTTTATTTAGAATAAAAAGACGAAAATGTAAATTGCTGAACCGCCATCGATCTGTTATCGAAGATGGCTTTGCTCGATTCACTGTGTTCCAACTCGGTGAATTATGTTTTTCCAGTCTTTTTCTATTAATACTACGACGACAAGTATCCTATTATAAGGCAGCAAAACGACTACACTAGATATACGTAAATTATCATTGGTGTTATTTTTATATTCGATATGTCCTTTTCTACACAAACCGGTCGTATACACACCTCATTTTCTCTTAAAACATCTCTCTCTCTAACAGGAAAATGGTTTATTTAATCATTTTTTAATAATACCTGACAAGTGATCAACGAGCTCCACACGCACGGCGCTGACAACACAAAACAACTCCGGATAGTTCGGCTACTAGTGAGAAAATTGTTATACTACATTACTTCATTCTGTTACTGCTTGACAATATCAATGATATTATATAGAGACGTAGTAAATATATATGCATTTTGGTTATAACGCAAAGCTGCCACAGACATCTATTTAACCTATACCATACAAGAGAAAGTTAAAACATTACTTTGATCATCGTTTAACGATGCACCGGAAGGTTGTCGATCGCTCATGTGTCACGATATACCACGTCGCGCTAGCGGACAAAATTTGATTAGTCAGAAAAGTTTTGTTTAATCTGAAAAACGAGCGCTTAACAATCCAGTTTTTGTCCCTTCAGCGTTTGTCGAAGGTTACAGAATGATAATTTAAAATATTGGAAACGTTATGACTAGGTAAATAATGCATCCTTTGTGAGTAGACTTTGGGCCAGACGGAAATACGTATGACGCATTCCACGTGCGATTTAGATCAACATAGGAATCCGTCTGGAGCATACGGTTGCCATGTACGGGGCACTGTTATGTTCGTAGTGCCATACTAAAGAGAGGCCAGGCGAGCGAATGCCACCATCCTGGAGCAAAGTCCAATTCGGTATTAGTCTGAAGTACGATGATGGCAATACTTGCAATGGACATTAAAGGCATCTGCTACTACTGAGATACTCATGGACCACAAGCACGGCCATCAAAAACCTGCAGTCTGGTCAATTGATGACGACGCCAGATCTAATCGCCATCTCTCAGTTACTTCCTAAAATAGCCCTCGTTTGACTTCAATCCGCTTGTTCTCCCAATCGAAGTCCGTCTGACTACGAAGTTTCTATGCCCTATAAAGCGCAACTTGTGGCCAAGTATGTCCTATTATCGCTTTACTTCGAGAAGCAGTGAACAAAGAAGTTACATATAGAGTGGTAGGTATATGGCCGTCCGGGAGCTGGCAAAGTGGTGGGACAATTGTATAACAAAGGAGAGTACCTCTAACACATGGAAAATCATGATTCTAGCCCAATTGGTTTTATTTATCTAATTTCGAAGTGTGGCGGACTTGTTTGTAACAGCAAATCAGCTATCTGTCTATATATATATATGTGTGTGTATCGTCGTATAGCTGAAACGTTTTTACTCGGTTAACTTGTCATTGGCAAATTAAGATTTGTGATTCCTTTAAATCTATAGCATAGATCGATTGTACGTAGCAATACAGTATCAACATGTAAAGATTACCACAGCATTTCGCCAAGTTGCGTTAATTCATACAACATTTTACAACAAGGATATGTTTCTGTTTATTACTCACTATCTGAAGCTGGGTCTCTTCTAACTGATATCAGCTAGTGCATCTTTTATTGGTTTACACTTATATACATAGACGGATTTTGGCAATACGCTCAATTGAAGACATCGTAGATTAACATAAATTTAGTTTCGTTCATTCGTATACAAGTAGCTTGGCTTCCACCATCCGAGATTGAGGATCCTGGTGGAAGTCGAGTCCTCAATGCACGGTTTCTATATACTGTAGATGTATAAAATATATAATTCTACATACATGAATAGTATGATACATTAACGCAGTTCATTCACACATCAGTGTTACATTTTCTTGTTGATAAATAAGCCTTTTGCATTTCACTGTCGGCGCAATATTTTCCTCGCCCAGAGTATTCTAGATAATGCTAAACATTAAAGCTGGATCAGAAACAAGGAAACAGTTTCTCTGAGCTAGATCGGATGTTTGGCTGAAGTAGTCTTGCAAACTGTGTAAGGTTCTTCTCGTCTTTCTTCCTTCTTTCCGAAGAAGCAATTTTCACAATACTTATTTCGACTAGATAGTTTCGACCGCGTGGTTTTTTTTGAGTATTTAAAGAGTCGCTAATCTATGCATCATCCAATAAGTAATACAAATATTTCGGCGATAACCAGTATACAACGATAATTCAAAACAGAAAAAGAACTTGAGCTTTGTATGACGAGTCTCGAGATTGTACTGGTAATAGAGTATCATGGCTCTCATACAAGCCGAAAGTAGTTTTTAGATGGTAGTAGAATAATTGTGAATTTATATCTAAATAAAGTTGAGAAGTTAAGCTGTAACCTGCCTTCTGTAAGCTAACCCTACAAAAAATGTGGTAGCTTTTTTTAGTAGCTGGGTGCATTCTATGCTAACCATTTAGTTGATCTCGGATTATCTTTGTATTGTTCTCTGTCGTTTTAGATGGTACACGCTGATGTCTTTGGTATACTCTGAAAAAGAATCGGCTTTCTTGACCTAGTCCTAAAAGACTATTATTATTATTATATGAAACCCATATTTGTAAAACTAACATCTTTGGTTGGTAGTATAAAACAGTAATACTAATCTATATACTGAATTAAGTTCCCCTTGTTTGTTCCCGGTACAATTGCTTCTGTTTTAGTCTTACATGACCTTACATTTAACTGAATTGCTCAAAGAAATATTAGGAAACCTATTGTACTGCAGAAACAATTGAGCTCTTTAAGCCTTAATCTCTAGTGTTATATTTAGTATTTACCTGAAATTTATTTTAACGGGAACCGCTGGACACTGGTAGAGCCTCTATTTTGGCATGTTAAAATTGGCACATCTAGAAGACCCTACCGGAGCAATCTTTCCTGGGATTTTCGTAAATCGTAGACGTAAAAATAGACATAAATATATGTAACGTTATTAAAAGAGAAAAAATTTAGAAGCTCGTAAAACCATCGAAGACAAAACTCCAAGGGAGATTAAACTTCTGCGGCTGAAATAACACCCTTCGGTGGCTAGCGTTTTTTTTTGATTTTGTCATATTCTAGAACTACGATAATCTTTACGAGCCCAGTGAATATACACGTCTTGGACAACCTATAATAGGACCTATTGTTTTTTACATTTGAGCGATGTCGCAACCACTACTTTAAAATGTACTGCCCACGTAAGCGACATTGTAGAAAAAGCTAACTAAATAAGATTTCCAACCGTACATACCAACGGCCAAACAACGCGTTCTTGCTCGTGCGGACATATATATTGCCATATGAAACATAGATTTAACAAGAAATAAAAGCATAACTTTTACAGATGTAAAACAAGTTGATATGGAAAGTTGTTTACCATTATAATAGCCGAATGCGTGACGTAAAGTACCCGTAGCGCTGAGAATATTCAAGCAAAAGCTACCACAAGACCCGCAGTAGTCAACAATGTATTTGCTCGGCATGGGAACAGTAACGCTCGCCATTATTCTCTAATTTGTCTAATTCTCTATATTTGTCACGCCCTTATTGGGAAATAAAGTGTGTTAGTACTAATAGGCCACATCTCACCCGTATTCAGTTCTGTCAGACCTGCCTGGTTTCTGGCGTAGCGCCAGTTCTATATTGTACACGTTGAAGTCTGACATATCTGGTAGAAGACAACAGACAACGCTTTTAAAACTTGAAAAATTTCGGCAGCTTCCCAGTCTGCTTTTGACGATAATGGTCCGCTACTGTCTTCAAGATGATACCCGTTATTAAAAAAATCATCACGCAGATGGCTACATCCCACGGGTTGAAGACATACAGCGGCGGTGGACAAAGTTGTTGCTCTTGAACGCTCCAGACGGGCTCGCCGTTCACCTGGCAGCGCACCATCGAAAAGTCATCGATATCCTGATCATGAATAAAATGCAAGGAAAAAGGCACATTAACTACAAATAAATAAGGTTTTCGTAACTTAAGAACACTACAGTCAAGGGTAGATCATATGGCTGGTAGCTGGTCCTTATCGAATGCGTTAATGGTGAAAGCTGACATTTCTTGGTCTTAAGAAACGTACGACAATGTCAACTATTCAAATATTGTAAATATTCTGGGTTAATAGAATGTTGTTCGATTTGCAGAAACGCCGTACTGTTTCCCTGGGCAACGTATGTGCTTGTATGTTTAGTTTTGTTAAAAAGTTTTTTCTACGAACCTGGCCTTTAACGCCGATAAACCTTTTGAAATGTAAGAGTTCGCAGTCACATGACCATGGGTTATGACCGAGCATGATTTTCCCTATTGTCAACAAAGGACGACAATTCAAAATGTCGGTCAGCTCTTTGACAAGTACCTTTGGAAGGTTCCGCAATCTAAAAGGAAAGGAAAACGAAGTATCAATACCACACACGCTAAAACGCAGAGCTTATTACTATATCACACAATATGCGTAAACGAGGAACGCTTATCTATTAATATGCATAGGCAAAACGAATAGGTAATAGATATTATGGTTAGTCGTTAATAATTAATTAATTATCGTAAAAAAACGTATACTTACAGCTTAAATTTTATGAATCTAGAACTATTGTCAGAACAGATATGTAATCGTTGTGTACCAGATACCTGTTATGGGAAAGGTCTAGAAGGACCAAGCTACAAATATGCGGGTCGTAGTCATCGACTTGGTCAATAAAATTCCAGGAAGCGTCGAGGTACTTCAGGCTCTTGTAACTTCCAGCGCCATCTCCTGTTCGCAAGGAGGTGATCGAGTTACCTGTTGATGGAGAGCAGTACGTAGAACATGCATGTCCTTCAAGAAGTATTTAAACTTCTCGTCAGATTCATGGCAGTGAACCTAATGACTCATAAGCGAAAATAGTTCGTGATAATGCTTCTAAAAAGCACGTTTCTCTTTGCGACGCTGCGAGCCGATCTAAAGAGAATCGCGGCTCACAGGCCCAGGTTGTGTAGTATACTAGGAACGTATTTTCCGGCATACTTCCTGTGAAACATTATCTGTATATGTAAATTACTGCGTAACAGCGTAAAACATTCATGACGTATGTTTAATTACTGTTGTATGCCTATGCAGCGCACTCAGTTAGTCGCAAGTGGAATCAACCTCTATGCAAATATGGCCGCTTATGAGAAATCGCAGGCCAATAATTTACGGCGGCATTTAGACATCTCCAGGGTAGCGTTGCTATGCGCTAGTCGAATCCATGATGGCCTAGGTAACTTGTTCAAATGTTCACATACGGCCTACCGTTTCTATAACGTAGTAAGCAACGACTTATTAGACTATTTTAATGTGCAGCATATAACTGCATACAAAATACAGTTTATATTGACGCAGGCCGAGAGTCCAGCTAAATCTTTATACAAAATGGATTGTGAGATTTATCAAACGCAACAGTCAACGTGTTTTGCTATGGGTACCGACCGCTAACGTTAAGGTGCGTTGTTTCACGCGGTAATTCGCCCGGCAGCTCTCGAAGGTTTCGTCGGGAACAATCCACATCTACATCGAAGTGGATTGAGCAGGAACAGACATCGCACAACTATAACGCATCAAACACAATTACTGTTAGCGGCGTGGCCTATTCAATTAAATCTACATTGTCCACCGTCGCAACTTGCAACTTCTGTCCAAAGTGATCAATGGATAAGGTAAATATTTATTTACAAGGTAATATTTATTTAAATACAAGTTTATCAAACGTTTCCGCTTGCGATTATCGCCTTGACTCAACGTAAATTCATTAGTTCTAACCCTACGCTTTTATTACGGTGCTTAAAAGATTGACAGAAGTGATAATTATTATATTATAATCAAATCGCAAAACATTTATTTTCGATTTTATTGCAAGTTTTAATTCGATTTTGCGTCCACGTCTCCTGTCATACGCTGCAAGTTAATAAAGTTCAACGTTGCAGTTCATTAAAAATAATTGTCCGTAACGTAAAAACATCTACTGAGATAAGGATCAACGCAAAACATCAATAAAGATACCTTGATGTTGTGAAACCAGAACTGAACAAGGGTCCCATTGGCTTCACAATGTGGCGTATGTACAAGCATCTCACGGGTCCGCTGTTGCATAACAAGATGATCATTTTCGTTGCACGACAGCGGATTAAACTCCAGATACAAGCGACATTTGCCCAACTTCTGGCTAGGATCAACTCGTGGGAAGCGTCCTGAGATCATATCGACAATAGAGAAAAACATTCTGTTACATTTTAGGATAATGCACACTTTTTGAGGGTAATAACATGGGCAAACTGTAGAAAAAGCAGTCCCTAAGTAAAGCAAACGCATTTTTAACTCAGCGATAACTCCGGAATCGGAACTTAAAGCCTTCAACGTACAGCCAGCAACCGATCTTATAGATTTGTTGTAAACAAATGAACTAATCTATAATAATAACGTAATATTGAGGTCAACTAGGGATTGAACAACGTAGCGTAGCGGACTTAGCCGAGTAGACATTGGAGAATGGATCCTCGCAGTAATGCATTCGCGTCTATGGCCTAACTCACTTAAGGCATTGTAGGTGACGTCGATATCGGAGAGAATGTTGCAGTTTAAGAAAAGTGAGTTGAAGGCTTTTTCAGGTACGTTTTCTATAGCATTGTGACTCAGGTTGACTTTCCTGATAGCGCAATTTCGGCTAACGTAGAACTGAGGAAATCGGCGTAAACCACTACCGCTGATGACGAGCTCGTTGACTGTGGAAATGTCCCACGATTTAAAAACCGCTTCATCCTCAAATTGACACCCATTTAAATGCAACCTACCGGAAGAATAAAAGTTAAATTTAGAATAGTGTTTACTCTCATCGTTATTACGTGAATATGAAATTTACGTCTGCAGCGGTCGAACGCACAGTAACGTGTTGACTTGATTATCAAATTTAGCTCACAATTGGATAACTTCCTTTAAGTTAACTACTACCACACTTACGTGCGAGGCGCCAGTAGTAGGGCCTAGCATTGCAACTATTGGATATTGCGTATTGCCGAGACTGAATTGAAACTTAAACCACTTTCCGACTTCACCCACAAGCGGGATTGTCTTTTGGGATGTTTTGGTCTGCGTAAACCCTAACGGCAAGTTCCTGTATGCAGTGTCGAAGACTAATGGTAACTCTTATATACCTTACATGTTACATGCAGCGCTGTATTTCAATTTAGTTGAAATACTGTACGAGAATATATACGTATACTTGGAATAGGTGGAAAGTTTGAATTTAAACGGTTATTCCTTATAAGTGTGTGGACATTTTTCAAGCGATCAAACGCGGACACGTAACATAGTGGTCCTACTGAGTCATGCAATCTCATTCAACGCCACAACGCTATGCGACATCTACTACGCCAATAACTTACGTTCCATTAACTGTAAAGGGGATCACACGTTTCCATATTAGATTTGCGGATAACGTCACATTTTTCATACTCAAGTTTATATAAGCGATCGTCGTATTTTGTTTTGCGTCAAGCTCCTCGAGAGCCGATTCCAGATAACAGTCTTGAAGTTTTAGTTCAAGATAAACGGTTGGTGGTTTATCAGGCCGGGGAATCAGTGAGTCGTTCTTTGCAATTATTTCTTGCACGAATTCTGTACATACTTGTGCATCGGCGATCCTGAAAATACCATACAAATTCCATATCAAACTAAATACGTAATAATACATTGATGGAAAATCAAACGGTGAAGCGCTCTACTCGAAACAAGTTCGAGTTTACGGCCTTCGTGGACATATTTGTTTCCTATGGTGTCGTCTGTAGCAACGATAGAATTTCGGCATTTCTAACCGTTGTATCAGTCAACAGTTTCTATTTAATTTCCCAGAGACATATCTGTCCAATCGATAATCAATATGCTTTACTGGGCATTTCTAATTAAAATTGATTTTATGTGAAAAACCTTTTGTGTACATAGCTACTTTGTTTCCTTAAATTCATAGTAAAAAACCATTCAGCTAATAAGCAGGACGAGATCAATTTCCTTAAACACAGTTACTGCGTGAATCACCTTCCCTACAACTCTCAATTTATCGCGGATAGGACACCTGTCATTCGTACGGCAACCTACTAAGCGTCATCGGCCACACAGGAAAGAAGAAGGACCGACCCGTCTGATTTTTGAGTGCGCGCATCTCGGTGTTGCGGTGCACTCACATAGCCTCTCAACTAAGGAACACTTCCTTCGGTCAACACTGCACGAAACACCTTGCGCATTTACACACAGAACCCGGACGCATCAGGTGTCAATTATTCGTAATGGTAACATTAGATCAGCTGATCGTACGCGTATATTTCCTATACTATTTGCGGCTCTTACCTCCCGCAGAGTGCTACCAGGAGGAAAACACAGAAAGCGCTTTGTTGCGCGCCAGACCTTGATCTCAGCTTGTGAACAGCCATCGAAGAGAATCTGGATTAGCGGCTTTACAGAAAGACCACCAGCAACATCAGATTTCTGCGGACTTCCGGAGACGACTAAGGCGTGCGCGCGTGTAAAAATGAATCCACCTACTCACTGCAAGGCGGAACCAAGCTGAGAAATCGTCATTTCTCCTTTGATAAGCTTCCGCAGTTCTGCCTTTACGTTAGGTGAACCTTTCCATCGAGTGCGATAATGCACAGGTGTATTCAATAGCAGAAAGGTGCAAATATTCACAAACACAGCGAGAATCTATTCTCTTAGCTCATCTAACACAAGCACAATGAGCCGGACTCTAATGGCGGCTCGCGCATAACGATCAGTTCCCGACGATTAAAAAACGGACGGCGGTCAGGTTTGATCGTTCCGTAATAGTAACAAATATTGATAGATTAGATGTGTATACGCAGCAGTTGTTAACTGCTGCTGCTGCTGCTGCTGTGGCTGCGATTAGGAGTCCGTCCGACATAAACAGCAGTAACGACACAGGTGCGTTGACGGCTGTGAGTGGTGAGTACCTCAGTTTCTATGGACGCGCTCTGTAAGGGTACGACGGCGGTGGAGAGGGCATCGATCGATTCGCCGATGAACGGTACGAGCTAAATCGGGGTCGGAATCTGGCAACGCGAGCGGTTAACGCCAGTGAAAATCTCAAAGGCCGTCAGTCTAATTCGGGATGTGGTTATAGCTGCTGTTGCTATTCAAGGGCAGTTTCTATTACTATTGTTTACTGTGTTAGAAAGAAGGATGTAGACGGTTATATTTACGTTTGTGCCCGAAACTCAACCTCTAGACTTATTGGGGTGAATAAACGTAATTACGATCCAATAACACTAGAAGCAATGGATGAATGTCTCTGTAGCAGCGCCCAAATCTCTTATATTGAAGTCTAATATTATTTGTAAAATGTAAGCCTAGACCGAGTGCCCAGTTAGCGCCTTTGGTGCGTGTATAGTTTTATTATATCGAGAGTCACAATACGATACAAAAATGGTGCTTTGGATATCAGTCAGTGTTCCGGCCGGAAGAGCCTCTATCATCATCTGGCGATAAGAGATACAATATTACATTTGATATTATACAAACATTTGGTGCCGGAATTGGCTAGCCATTCGATCAGTTCTATTGCAATGTTACCAAATTGAGAGAGGGAGAGAGAGAGAGAGAGAGAGAGAGAGAGAGAGAAAATCGTGTGTTCCTTCCGTCCCTTTTTTCCTTAAATTTTATGTTGTCAACGGCTATTATTGTGGATGATAGTGAAGTTACTACACAACACTTCAACACGTGATATAACTATTTGCTTTAAGCACAGGTCCGTGTGCCATAAGCTCTCGCTAGTCATCGATTTGTTTGCTATAAACAATTAAGTATATAAACATACTTGGGTTATTTGTCAGCTAGGTGCAGTATATACTGGCCATCAAGTTTTGTACTCTCAAACGCAAATCCCTCTCCGTAATTCCATTTAATATCCAACATTTACCAACCGAGGACAGGTGCTGTGTCGTCATCGATGTGCTTCTCCGGTCTCCAGCAACCTGCTTTTTATACACTTTCAGTCACACGCTAACGTTAGCATCGTATGTTTAATATATATATATATATGCTATCTCGAACGAAAGGCTTCTGTTCTAATTACGCCCTGGAGACATCATCGTTCGCCACTGGTGAATTTAACCTTACCTATGGAGCTACCTACATATACACTCGGTTTCCCTACCTTTGTTTAGCTCTTCATATAATATAGAATCGACGCTGGTATTGAATTAATATGCTATTTTTAATTTCCCTCTCTTGCTTTTTGAGTCTTCACACCCTCCTCCGCTAAACTGCACGCTAAGCTACATCCAGTTTGTAGTAGCAGAGGCTCTGTTCCTATTTGTCTCGTTAGCCCCCAAAGGCAATCTTCTGTTGGGGTCCTTCCAATACAATATTCGCTTGCCCTTTCAGCCCATCGCGGGTCGTCCAGCGCCACCGTGTGAACGAACGGCAGACGCCGCTATTCTGACAGCGCAGACGATAACAGGGCTAGTAGCGGAGTAAGAAAGGATCTGGGTGACAGTGGCGCTGTGGTGGGCAGCTTTGCGCGAGTAACTTGCGTTCAGGGTGAGGACGACGCGAAAGAGTGGAGAGCGAGAGAAGAGCCGACCGAACGCGTTGAGCTAAAGCAGACAAGACTATACCTAGAGAGAACATGGCGAGCCGACTACTTAGTCGCTCTGCCGGACACTCACCACGCGTCGTTCACTTCTGCCGACGACGCGCGGCCAAAAACCGCTAGTGAAACAAGCAATTCCAACCGCTGGAGGAAGCCAGTCTCGTTTCAGCACCAAGAAGCCACGAACGGCGACTGTCGCCAGCAGCGGAAACAACAGCCATAGCAAGAATAGGGTAGAACAGGCCACTGGTGGCTAGTGACCAGCCAACAACGGATGCATTGGTTTTTTGTCGGGTGCTTGTTTGCTAATTTCCTGGAACAGTGCCTGTCGCCACCAGCGCGGCCCAGAGGCACCAGGAACGACGAAAATAGAAGTCATACGACAACAGCTGTGCCGGTTGAATAACTGTGAAAATGCGATTCCCATTGGATACCGTCGCGGTGTTGCTGCTGCTTCTGTTAGCCTTGAGTTGTTTTGGCAGAAGTATGTAGCTGTTGTTAGTTGGATTGGTGCGTAACAACGCGACAAAACGTACCTTGCATCGGCTCGTATATATGTATATACATACACATTTATATATAAATATTTATCTAGATAAAAAGAGGACTGGTGGCTAGATTCGCTAACCGTCGTCGTCATTGCTGTGGCAGTCATCATCTTTGAGCTCCGCTATTAGCTAAATATCCGGGTGTTAAGTTCGTTGACGAAATGATTAGCAAATGATCCTTCCTGCTTCGGCCAGCAGACAATCTTTGGCCTCTACGGAGCAGGCACTTTCAAAGACGAGAAGACTTTTGTGGACGGTAGTGAATTGAACGACGAACGTGTGGCGGAGCTGAGGGCGTTCGTGGTTTTTAGGTGGTACATATTTATCGAACGGTAAATATAACGGTGAATTCATTCGGTTTGTGCCGCGGAGGCCTTGATGTGCTATAGTAAGCCTCTGCCGTTATCGGTTTGTTGTGTCACTGAAAATTGGTATATAAGGACGCGTGTCCATCCCAGTTAAATATATTGTGCGAGTTTGTCTAAGATGAGGACCATCCTTAGCAGAGTGCTTGTTATCAGTGAGTAAGCAAGTCCGAACGGGGACCGACATCCTAGTGTTTATTGCTGAGAGCATTCACTACGTTCTCGTGTTCTATTAATAATGTTGATGACGACGTCTATTAGCAACAAATCGATATCGTTTGTCGGTTAGCAAATCGTTTAGTCTGCATCGTTGTTTTATTTTTATGACATTCGTGACGAGTATAGTGTGCCAAAGGGGACTCAAAGCCTTCCGACATCGGCCTAGGGTTGGACACAGTCAATTCAGGGTTCACGCCTACAGGGGTACCTAAATCGACCCTCCGGCTGGCTGCTGATTCGCCACCGAGAGCAGCCCCAGGTTTCCTGTGATCTGTTCTAAATACGTGCGAAAGAAGAGTGCAACGAGGAATAAAGCACGCTCTCCAAGAGAGTTATTTACCGAGGTTTGGATTTACAGAATCCCGGTCAAGCTGGACAAGTAAGTTCGGATTGTGTTTCGAAAGCGACCTGGCCTGATGGTCTCGCCGGCGGAGGTGAAGTGAAAAAAAAGCTAAAAGTGCTCTGAGATGGCTGAGGGCGGTGGAACTTCACCAGCATCTGGGCGGGGAGACCTCGACGCCGCGGAAAGCCGAAGTAAATATCCACTCCACTGGATGGTCTGGTTCGATGAGCACCGACAGCTAACCAGCAGACTCAAACGGGATAGAGTAAGTAGTTGTCATGACGAAAGTAAAGTTTAGGTAAGGCCGGTAGACATGGCTGAGAGCAGTCTAAAGTCGGCGGCCCGGAACGTGTAAGTGAGCTTAACTGAATAAAGTATTTAGTAACAACGTCACAGAAAAACAACTGTTTGTCACCCACAATTGAAATAGGACCATTTCGGTAGTTTTGGTGTCAGTGTGGGCAAGTCTGACGCATTATGACAACTCGGGGCACTTTTTATTTATGGAAATAGTTTTCATGAATTTCACTAAATACATACATTCACGTTCAAGGTGACTTCTCAGTGGTATGGTCTTGCCATATTCAACAGAATTTTGACAGCATTTCGGTCTCAAGCAATACCGAAAAACCCTCGTTATTATGCTTATTATCCCCATAAAACCTAGTCTGTCCTAGATATGTAGATGAGTAAGCGAACGTATACATCAATTTTTATTTCACACGAGTAAATAGAAATGTTACGTCTTTCATCAAACACTAGATGAAGCTAACGGCAATCTTTTCGTGGCCAAAATAGAATTATCGCTTTACCTACATTGCTTCTTAAAACGGTTTGTATCTTGACGCGCCTACTCCATTTTTCATTTTTTTTATTACGGCTGCAAGTACGCGTATGTTGCAGCGCTCACACAACTATCAAATATCCTTTGTAATAAGTATCACAGCTTCCGATAGGGTTAGCCATTGACGACGTTAATTCCGACATGCAAATTGACGTTTGTTCAGATTGAGAGTGAACGCTAAGGACTTCTACGACGTAGGACCGCTTTTAACAAATTGACATTTGTTTCTGTAATTGCGACAACGAAAGCGTCTAATGGCCGAGTTGCCCAGTATCCATCAATAGCAGCGTCACGTAATTGCGATCACCACCCCGGAACGTCTATATGTGTAAAGTCCAGCGCTTTCAGCCTTCTTGTTATAGCGGTGCGCAAGCATTCGAAGACGTGCGCTTACCGAACGCTCACGACAGCATCAACGGTAGCGGTATCAAAACTGTATTTCTTTCTCAAATGTCTGCCAACAATTTCGTCTCGGGGCAACGCTAGGTATGACTCAGTCCAGTCAGCGGATTGAAATGTCCAAGGATCAGTAGCATGAGGCAGCAACTTTTACGCCTCAAAACGATTTGTCTGGTTTTTGAACAAATCCTGTTATTATGTGGCTCATGAGATTAGCGTTAGCTGGAGATACTGGAGAGCTGCTGTGCACAGTAATAGCAAAGAACTAAGACACGCTTACAAATCTATGCTTATAATGGATCTAATATTATAGTATAAATATATGAATAAATACATCGATGGATATAAAGCGCAGCGCGAGAGAGAGCGACACAGTAAAGCCTACCCCTTTCAGTTGCAACGCTGTGTGAAGCACCTACTCGCAAGGCTTTCGGTGCAGCCAGAATTCTAGTGACCTTGTTAACGATTCTTGTAAGACGATTTAAATAGAGGGCTGATCAAAATCTGTTGTATTCATTCTAGCGCTTGGCCTGCCTCATGTGAGGTATGTATGGTGGTTTGGTTCTGGCCACTTGTTGCTTTCTAAGTAGTTTCCGTTCTGTGGCCTACGCTAAAGGAACTAAAGGCACGGAAGTTAACGAATATCACGGATGCCTGATCCCTGAACTCTAGGTCTTTCAGAGGCCGGACTAACCTGGAGCAGGTTGCTTCGTTAGATGATGTGCAAGGCCCTCCTGTGGCATTGTGTCCCCTGTGTGATTACCGAAGGATCTTGGCTTGACAAATACGAACAAGTGCCCAACAACCACATAATTTTGTCAAATAGATTTAGTAAATTCGCTAGCGGAAAGGTCTAGTTGGAGAGGTCGGTAAGCAGTATCGATCGCCAGCTTTGCGCTCCAACTTTCGTCCGTATGGAGAAATTGGTTTTTATTTTTTTTGTTGTTTCCTGCGAGTGAAAGTCTCACAGTCTTTTTCACTGGTACTAACTGATATACAGTCCAGGGAGGATTATATACTGAAAAATGTATAAACTCTATTTGATTCATTGTGGATCGAGCTGTTGATTTAAGATGCTGCAGGAGTGCCAGGGCCGTTCGTTCTCAAAGCAGTAAAGCATCGTAGTGTGAGTACGATGTGTGGAAAGCCACTGTTTTCCCCTGTCTCAGTTAAACAAAAATTTTCCAGTGTGGTATTCTAGTGGAGCTCGATTATGTGACGGGCACCCAATTACTAAATCTACTGTTGTTTTGTTGTTTGATCGTAGTCGATTTCATTGTTCAGCTATAACAGATTCTTCCGCTAATATCTGTCGTAAAAATACTAAATCTCGATGATAGTTGTAATACAAACGTCGGGCCGAAAGCGATTTTACGTAAGGTAGTTTGTATGTGTTTGATATTACAAAATCAGCTCTAGTTCAGTATGATGACGGGGTTTTAAAGAAGAGTTTGTACTCTTTGTCCTGAAGGTTCAACTTTTCAACAGACACAGCTCGCACTAAAGGAATTTACCCGTTAACACATGACAGTCAGGAAAGGGAAACTATGGGAGTAAACTCAGTTTCGCTTCACATCGGAGTAAAATATTTGCTTTATCCAAACGTGATTGTACTTCTATTAGGTAGAAAAATTTTACATTTCCAGCAGATATCTACAACGTCTAAAAAATTTGATACTTCAATTTGAATGTCCAAGCAATCGGACGCATGGATTCGCCGAGACACCGCACGACGCCAACCTGCGCCGTTGCGAATACTGGGACCTATAGTGAGCTGTCGCCAGGTGTTACGTATATACTGTTCGCGTCTTTGCAGGCAGAAAGGCAAATTCTAGTATTCTCATGCTATGAATAATACTGGTATTCTAGATATGTACAGGTGATGATTTCGATTAGGTGCTTCGCGGGAAGACACCTGTCCTGCGCTCCAGGGGACTGGTAAACATCTCTCGTAGGAAGATGATAGGGTCAATTCAACAAAAAACAACTATCTCGATGCGAAGTTCGTGCAAAGTCTGCTAAACGGAGAGCTAAAAAATAACTGGACTGACGAATAGTGAGTAACAGCTCTGGGTTTCGATCTCCGGATATGCTTGGGGTTACATGATTTTCTTTTACAGATGCTTCACATGATCTAGAACCCCGTAAAGCAGTAGAGCTTGTATAATGCTACAGTTACTCTAGTGCGGGAGTTCTTCGCAAGAGACCTCATTCATATCGCCTTTCACGATATACGGTAAAGATGGTCGTTGCAAATCGTGTATTGGTTTCGCTTAATAGTACCTGATGATGGAAGATGGATGAATCTTTAAAAATTCTACTTATTTATTTAAAAATGAACTTTACAATTAGTGGACAAGGTAGAATGTATCAGTCGTCCGCTGTATTCAACAAATAGTCGCATCATCTGCATTTATTTGGCGATTCCGACTTTGGCGAAGTTAGTGTATTCACTCAGAGTGAGCATCTCAGATTAGGACTGGAGCGTTCGAATAAAAACAGCATGTCTTATCTAGGTATCGTATGCACGAGATAATTCAGGCAAGAAAAATGTCGTATTCACTTCTGCACGGTGAAGATGTTTCGTAGTATGTTCCATGAAGTATCTTGCAGTGCACTGACTTGCTCGTCTTATTTCAATGCTGATTATTCACAAGGAAAGTTTGAAAAGCTAAGGTGCAGCGTTCAGAAGATACCCAAGAAATACCATGCCGACAACCGCGGCCAGCCGCCATCATTTTCGAACAGTTTCACGTTTCCCACTACTATCTCACATCCGCTGCGTCTTTGCTCAGCTATGGTCATGTATGCTCCCTGTTTAGTTCAAGGCCTCCAGGTCCATGACTTCACAATGTTTGTCTTCTTGTCTCTACAAGCTGAGTTCCTCTGGTAGATCAAAACAGTCTACACTATCTGCATCATGTCGATGCTGCCCTTACAAATCCCTGGCCACATAGTAGCATCCGAGCACCTGGCTGACATAACGATCGACAAGCGAAAGAATGAACCATCGTGACTCTTGAAACCCGTACACCGTCTGTGTCCATCCAAAATAAAATTCGATGCGTGTGGAATTTTTTAAGCTACAAATATGAACAAAATTTAAGGCCAATTTATTAGTCGAGTCGGTTGTTTGCTGTGTACGGCCAGTGCATGATTCCGCTTACTATTTATCACCATAGAAGTTCCGCTGAATTTAACGCGACGTAACATAGACTGAAGGCTGTACACAGAAGTATACATACGCATTGGACATTATAATTTTATTAAAAGCTTTTTTTAATTTATAACGGCCTCTTAAAATGCGACAAAATAGCTAAAATGACACTTCGATTCGCTACGGCTCAAAGTAAGACGAATAATGCGGCATATGTATATTTGGTAATGTTGTTAAATATCTGATTAAGAAAACAGCGTACAAAGATAATTTGTTTAGACTTTCGTTCGCTTTATCCATGAAGTTACTGGATGACACTTTTCGAAAAATCAAAATATTCGATTATAAATTAATCTATGTAAGAGAGTTGATTGTTTCGATTTGTTAGTGGTCCTATCATGTAGCAGCGCTCGCTTTACGTTGCTCTGTTCACCGTAGCCATATTCTTTATGGTTTTTGCATTGTTGAAACGTGTCGTGTCAGGTGGGCTTGACCAGCGACCTGAGCGTGTCATTCGGCCAAAGGACGTGTGCGCCTTTACAGGTCCTAGTACTGTTATCGTTCGTTTCGGTTTCCCCTTCTGAAAGGCAGATGACGGCGCGACAAAATTTGAGTATTGCTCATGTTTGACTAACAAGAGCGAAGTCTCACTCATGAATGGTTCAAATCAGCCTGAGAGAGTCCAAAGTAATTCATCTAAAGAAGTAAAAGTAATATGCAGACGATAAAATAACGAGATGTATTCGAAACATGTAGGCACATTAGTGCGTTGAAAATCGCGTTCTCATATGTTATCATTTTAACATGCTTCTTAGCAATAGGTCGACTTTGGCTTAGTTCTATTGCCAACCTCTATATGGCTTGCAAATATCACTATCATCATCAATCGTGGGCAAGTAATAATGCGTTAAAACGTAATAATTACATTAAATCTATAGGAATCATTTTACTTACTAGAGAACTGCACGCGCATATTATGGTCTATGGCGGTATGGGGGTTCTTTTATCGAATAGATTAGTGTCGAGTTAGTAGTCTGAAGTCTATATTTGCGAAGTACAATATGCCTTATATATATAGACGAAGTAATAATTTTTCTTTGAAAAAGGTAAGATTAACTTATCTTACTTCTGTTATTCGTAGCAAATAGACTGTCTGCAACGATGATTGTACCTATTTGATTCAAGGAAAGGAAATCGTAGATGGTCTCAGTTCGATGTTCCTTTCGACGGGAAGCGCTCATCGGTACCCATAGACACTGTATTGAAACTCGCGGATTTCTTTCTGCGAATAACGTCGGCCAACCGGCTGTGAGTGGCCTTTGCCCTAAATCGAGTACATGGAACTAATTAATATCCACTATTGTATTACGGTAATGGATGGCAATACTAACAAAGGACCGCTGATTGAAGCTTCGTCATCGTCGTATTATATTAGACTCTAACTAAAATAAATATACAACTTTATTAAATTAAATTATAAAAAAAGTTACGTTAAAAATAGATTTTTATTTACGATACAGATAATTTATACAATACAGATGCGTACTGCTACAAGTAACGAATATATATGTAAGATCAAGCTTGGTTTTCAAACAGTCTAGAAATGAGGTAGCGTTTGGACTTTTCAAACTGACTTAATTCGAAAAAAAGGACAGAGTGCCTGACTAGACGTTCATTATTCATTTATGCGATGATACGTCCTTCATCTCCAGGTTTTGGTCGTTTAGCCCTTCCTCGCTTTTCAATCACGTGTGCATTAAATGGTTCGATTCACTCTAGTGAACTTGCTATGTGCTACGACCGATTTTTAAGTTCAAGTTATTATTGGAATAAGTAACGCGTACGATTTGTAATTTTCGCTGTACTGGGAGCTGACAAGGAAAAATGACAATACCTCTAGTCACTAAAATGCAATGTCAGTACTTTGAGTACTGCTATGGTTGATTGTTGGTCGGCGTCAAATGAAGATCGCTTGATTTCTGTATGTCGAGACTCATTACTAGGGTGTCGATGAAATTTCTGTTGAAAAATGAATAAGTTGAAATATTGATTCACTAACTAAACAGACGGATTTGTACATAAAAATTAGCTGCATGTTGACGCAGCCCAAAGACAATCATTCCATGAGCACCTGCAGGACTGTCTTATTCCTCTAAATGGTGCAGTGAACAAACGGCATGGTTTGACATGTAATCCAAGTAAAGCTCATTTTGCTTAAGGAATCTGACCGACCATTGTGTCAGCGTTATAAGCTCATTTCAACAATGTACTATTAGCTGAAGATTTTTATCGGCCATATTTGCTTCAACATCTTAGCGTTGCGACGGTAAGCGCGATTCTACCACAAAAACATTTTATACTTCAGAAAAAATTAACCAACAGTCTGATATTCTATAAAGAAATCATATAACAAAAAAGTTGCCCGTGCTGTGATGTACACTTGTCGTTAACTCGGTTGTGTACAATTGTGCGGTACATTGCAAGACAGGAAAAAAAAGATATATTGCATAGCTATATCAAGAGGTATATATAATATAGCTAATCTGACTCATTTGATAATATGCTGATGAAGTAAATGTGGCCATCGTTTTCGTTTTGAATAATTCTGGTATCGTTAATTGTCTATTGCCGTCCCGTGTCCACTGCCCCTAAATACATCAGGGCTACGAAATAACGCCAATACTCATTAAATGCAGCGTACTTTATCTAGTTGCTCGATGCATTTTCCATCTGTTTTATGCATATTGAAACATTAATCTAGATAAATTCTATTACTATTTCTTTCATAACTATGCACGTAAGATTTTGAAGAATTTTTCGTTTTCCTCGGTGATCTTTTATTTAGCATTTGACTTCTCCATAAGAAATTCTAGCTTTTTTAGAATGAATTGAGAGCCAGAACTTTTATGATATTTGACAAACCGGTAACTCATGTTTTTTTTTCACGAACAAATCTGTGCTTATTTTAAGGGAAAAAGAAAAGCTTATGTTCGACGTTCTAGAGTATTTATCTGTTAGAGAAGCGCCCTTTCGGCCGACTTCGTTATATATACTATTATACTGTTATACAGTTATATTTACGTGTCCATAATAAATTCAGTTGTTGATGATAGAATAAAATGCATCAATTTTCAGCTACTTTGAATAGAAAGTAGATCTGTGCTCAGACAAATGGGCGTTATAGTAGCGGATGGTGGCTGTTGCGTTCGGCGTAACTCATCATGAAATACCGCCCTGCGTAATTTAACAAAGAAAATTATTCAGATTTCAAATAGTAAGTAACAACTTGCGTCATCGTTGTCTAGCAGAATATTATAATTTAACTTATATTTGTCTGTGATTGGACAGTGATTCTAATAAAAGCTGCAGTAACGATGTTAGGTAATGAGTTACGAATGTAAGTTGGACACGTTAATATAACGTATTCAAATTTAGCTAGTACGTTAATCTTTATAATACCGCCAGTGTTAATCTGCTGTTACTAATTGAAACTCTCACCTTAACTTATAGTTACAAATGACAGCTTAAAGGTCCGGCCAAATACTACTGTAGTTTCTGTGTCATTAGGTGACTATTTAGACCCAAAAAGAAAATTGAATGATTAAAGTGATACGCCTCAAACATTCATTTCAATGGCGGTTGTGTACTCAGCGTTAATAAAATATTACTTGTTACTATAATTGAGTTATAATCTGAATTTGTTGAACTTCAGAACGACCTCGAGGTGCGCGACCCCCGCGGCCGCACACCGCTCATGTTGGCTGTGACGTTAGGAAACGTTCGATGTGTCCGAATACTCCTCGAGTTCGGGGCCTCGGCAAATGTGGAGAATCGCGAAGGTTTCACAACAACTCATGAAGCCGTCTCGACGGGCGATCCTGAGTTATTGGCGCTCGTCCTCCATGCTCGCGATCTTCAAAAATACCAAAGTTCAGTAGCGGCCATCCCAGACCTGCTCAAAAATATCCGGGATACGCCCGATTTCTACGTTGAGATGAAGTGGGAGTTCACCTCATGGGTGCCGCTATTATCGAGGGTGTGTCCTAGTGATACATACCGCGTGTTCAAGAGTGGCTCCAACGTCCGAATCGATACTACGCTACTCGGGTTCGAGCATTCGAGTTGGCAGCGAGGAAAGCGAAGCTATATCTTTAAAGGAGAAGGTGAATGATTTGAATTCTAATAATGTGACCGAACACCAGAAGAGTTGTTTATCTGTCTACACTATTACAAACACTAGTGTTGTTTGTCTGATATGGGGTGCGTTTTCGAGACGGCTTTTTTTTTGGCAGAAAGTGTATGTGAAAACCCTTGAGGTAGGCTATAGTGTTAGATTTCAACAATATTTATGTAGTGGATAAGTCCGATGAAAAACTTACTGCAAGCAATTTTTTCCCTATATTTCTTCATTAGAAGGCATTCATTTAAATCGATTTAATTGAATGTTTTATTATTCATGATGATCATTAGTGTTGAATGAATACGGAACTTGCAAAAAAAATAATGTGTTTTGATATTTCAATTCAATCTATAATTCGTCAGCAACGCAAGCCACCCTTTATGAAGTGAACCACGACTCCAGGCAAGTTCACGCCGAGATAATGCATGTTTCAGCGCCCGGGGACCACGCTCAGGTGAGTCGTGATAATACCTTATTTAAGTTGCGCTGACATTGCAGATTAAATGCAGTGCTAGGCAGTTTAGTAGCAAGAATTACGCATACATACCTGTGTTGCTTGAATTATTTAATGAGTAGAATTTCCGATACTGAAACAATGCCATCCTATGCCATTGGAAAGCACTGTGCCTGTTCGTTAAACTTTATCCACCGATGGGCGTACGGTTCTCTAGATTGTCAACTCGTTGCGACCTGATCCCGAGAATATTGCGGCCCGTCTCTGCTCGCCTATCGTGTGTACCTACGTGGATACCGACAAGATCCATTTTGAACGAATGCGAACTGGTATGCTGGGCTGGAGATCGGACCGAACCGAGAACGTGAATGGTTTTGATGCAAAAGTAAGAATCTGACTCTCTTTCATGTTCGTTTAGTCTATATTTTGAGTTCTATGGCCGGTATCCCCATTAGGCAGCTGGCTCCCAGCACGAAACAAAGTCTATCTATGCCCCGGTTCAAACCCAGAATACAACATGTCCCAAAGATTAACAGGCAAATACGTTATCCACTGAACGATCATGGGAACGTGGCCATTCTCTTTCGCGAAAATAAATATTTCGTGTTTTATACTGCTTACATTTTAGATTACTTTAGACGGCTAATGGTGTCTTCCTGCATAAAACGAAACCTAAATCCGCGCCCGCTGCTTTGAACTTGGGAGATGCCATGGTTTTGCACATTTCCGCGCAAACGGAAGTATGAAACGGCACTATTAACCATTCGGACCACTCTAGCAACAAGAATTTTTACGGTTTAAGCGGAGCGAAGTTTAAAAAAAGTCGACCGTTTATTGTCGAGCTTTATCTCTGTGGCCTAAATACCGATGGTAGAGTAATGGTTATGATATAACAATGAAAAATAATCACTTTATTTTATATTAGGTCTTTACAGCGAGCAATGTCGAGTTCGTGACGAAGAGTCGCGTGGAGCACCTAAGTGAAGAAGACAAAAAGCGACATAAGAGTAGTCAATCACCGTTGCAAAGCCTCTTAGGTACTCTCAGTGAGGAGCGCATAGTGGCACAAGCTAGCCAAGACGAGGTCTGGTTTTTTGCCTTCCCTTGAAAAATCCACTAAGTTAGATATGAAAAACAAAGTTACAGAAGATAACGTTGTTTGTGAATTGTTTAAAGAAATTTTTTTCATTATGCACCCCGGCGACAATGGATCTCTTGACAACTGTAGATTATTGCAACTTTGTAATATCACTATTAATTAAAATGTTAATTTTAATTCGTCTTTACCAACGATCAAAACATATTACTACTAAAGGTACTATGAGTATCGCGTTGTATGAAAACAACAACATAACCTACCTAAAAACTAATACTTTTCTATGGTTTACTTCAACACAGGACCTAGTCGAGGCACGAGGCAATCCCTGTCACATTAGGCCTGAAGAATACTTCGACGAGACGGTCCCGCTTATAAACCGGGACATTGGCCGACCTCGCGAGAGCGCCAGCCGTGTGCAGCGTTTCAAGGCGACTCTTTGGTTATGTGACACTTACCCATTGTCGCTCGCTGAACAGGTGACCGGCCTCCCCTTTTTTAAACAAATTTTCAAAAAACAGGGCAACCTCAAGCGGCAACGACATTTCCGATCATACCTTTGTATAGCCAATTTTGAGCTTCAAATCACTTCGCTTAATCGCTAAATTCCAAATAAACGTCGCGCATCGGAACAGAAAATAGAGTTGGTAGTGTCAAACACGAGCCTATGGCACGAAGGCTGTTGTATTTTTGCTCTAATTGTCGTTGTCTTTCAATCAACCAATTCCAGGTGTTGCCCATTGTTGATTTAATGTCATTGAATAGCTCACATTTTGCCAAGCTTCGTAGCTTCATCACGTTACAACTGCCGACCGGGTTTCCTGTCAAGATTGAAATTCCCCTATTTCATGTTCTCAATGCAAGAGTGACTTTTGGTAAGATATAGACGAGGACGCTTAGATAGTCCAAAATAGTGTATAGAAGCACGTTTGCCGTTCAAAAAAAAACTGTCAATTTGAAAATTCAGTTCTGGCAAGAACAGATGTAACAGATGCATATACAGGTAGTTAATGTCTATTTTGCTATAGGTAACATTAATGGAAATGACCAACGGGTCTATGGGGTAGAACGCGACCGGGAGCAGGCCAAGTGTACGATCGACCCTTCGATTTTCGAAATTCCTCGCGACTATGTCCGAATAGGTAAGTCAGTTAAATATAGATCATCGCATTTAGCAGGGTTGATTTTGTATTAGCAAAATCCCAGTTTTTCTCGCTATATACATGACTTCTACATTATCTACTTTACAGGGTTGTCAACAGTATATTTATTATTTTTAGTAGATCGCGCGTTCGTGTAATCTGTTGTTCCTTGAAACGATTAGGTTATATTAATAGAGGAACCAGTTTTTAACTATTTGAACGGCAGTTTTAGAGCCCCACATCAGTGACACTTAGTCAGCTGTGCTAGAGCACACGGCTCTAGCACAGGTGACTAAGCGTTTAAAAGTCCTAACTCGTCGACCCATTGATTCTAAGTAGGAAAGGCAATTGTGAAGTCGTTGGATAACAGTTTGGCTCAGTCTGAAACCTGAATTTCGAAACCGTTACAATAGCACAAGATAAAGATGCACGCCGCCATACGCCAATAAAAGTACGAAATCGTTGGTAACGTGACCTTCGAGCTAGATCGCTGAGCCTGCTACCCGATACGATCTGCACATCATTGTTATCTTGCCCAGTGCAAAGACTCAGACTCAAATACGAAAATTTCAACCTGGTTGACCTGAGTGGATAAAAATCTGCGTTTAAGTTTAAAAGTTGCTGACTTGTTCGCCAGGAAGATTTTTAACAGCCGCGTGAAATTCAGCAAATCAAATCAACATTAGAAACTGCGCGTTTATGAGTTGAAGGTTAATGCATTTGAAGCATAAGATAACTACTTCATGTGTTCATTGAAAATAGTGAGACGCTTATGTAAATTATATCATGTAAAGGTACTATGAGGCTGGATTTGTATGGAGCTTTTTTGGACTCAAGTTGATATGCTAAACACTATCTCACTAATTTTAAAGAAGCCGCACTATTTTTTTTTTTTTAGGAGAAATGATATTATTATAAAGCTTGCAAATCCGTTAATCGATAAGAACAACGACCATAGTAGACACTCAGCTGACAACCGTTATAGCCAGTCGAAAATATTTAATATTATACTTTCAAAGTATTCACTTCTTGACTTTTCCATAGACTCTTATCATTTATACAAAACCTCAATTTTAAATGGTATCTGCAAATTCACGCGTGATCATCTGGCACAACCCATTGTCTCTAAACAATCCTAGTCCCATTGACTTTTCCGGCCCCGCTTGCAAACAATAAATAAGTTTACCTGGGTATTCGCTAGTACAATAGCAAAGTGTGCATTGAGTTTTGTACCGATTGCAAATCAAACCGATATCCCAATATTTTCACGCATGTTTTATAGATGTTTCTTCTAGCTCAGGCCGAATTACACCACAAACTAATCTCGTCAGGTGGCATCCATTTGTATAATTTTTTAGTAGTATTTTCGAAGCGAATTTTTAACTTCGTGCCACTCTTCCACTAATATCTTGGTAAAATTGGCCTAATCAAGGCGAGAGACGTCTGCTGTTCTTCCCGCATACGACCTCGTTGATGATCTTGCGAGGGAGTCCTGCCGCTGTGCGCCGAAGAACCCCACAAACCCCTCAGACCCCACGACGGTTCCTTGAAGAGCGCCGTCGTAACAGAGATGCCTCCCGAAACGAGCGCACCCAGGACAAGCTCAGGAAGTACTCCGTGCTCAACGTGAGAATAATAGACAGTCACGCCTGGAACACACACACCTATCGTCATATCACGTCTAATCTACTATAGATACTCCATGCAGGATGCCACACCGAACGAGACCATATATGTTTTTCGTTCATCGTTTTCTCTGATACTTTAACGACAAAAACAATCAAGCGAAAGAAACGATACGTCGCCACAATCCCTAACGTTTCCCTCTGTTTGTTTGCTGATGTACCTTAACCGCAGTCCTTATTGGCAATTGATTTAGTTGAAACGTTGACTTATGGAAACTGTTGAAGTCTATCACGCCTGGTCTAGTACATTGTACTTGAAATTTAGGAACGATGTGTCGAAACCGGTTGTTTCAAGGGAATAGTCACGCTTTTCGGTGCGAATTGTTAGTTCGGCGTGTCTGCTGTAACTTTCACTTTGTATTCTGCCAGAAACAACTGCTTAATCAGTTGGACAGTGGCCATCTATCACGTAACTCAAGCATATTAAATACGATATGAAGTAAGACAACAGTTGAATCGTCACTTAGACACGTTGTTCCATGATCATTCTCCATTGTTTGTTTTGACAATAGAATTACGTAATGATTGTAGCTCAACGAAGTTAGTTGGCTAGTATAAGCTTTTCGCGCGCATTATCAACAAAATGATTATAGTCGTTTCGCATGTTTATCTAGTTGAGTTTATAGTTGGGGTTCATAGCTGGGCCATTCGTTACGCCAACTATAAACCTAATAGATAAAATCGGTAAACAAGTGACATTGTTAATTTCATCAAATCTTCTCTATAAAAACCTCCGTTAAAGAAAAGTGCTTCGTTTAGAACTTAGGCAATTATCGCATTATTGGTGACTAATTGCGAAAGCCAGCGGTCAGATCAATCCTGGGGTAAAATTTCGTACGTAGGAATAATACGACATTCATTCGTTAACATTTCCCTTAGGAGTGTTTTATTAATTTGGTACGATTGATTGCTTTTCTTTGCGGAAAGCACTCGGCGGTGCTTCGAAACTGTTATTTCTGAACGTTTCCATTAAAACTGACGCGGGAAGCGCCTTTTTTAACATAACAGTAGCCTAGCGTTTTCTCTGTCGCTTCTGTACACGTTTTCACCTTTATGAAATTTCAAGAGTTGACCACAAGTCGACTTTTATTTTTATCCATAGTAGACGCATACCTAAGCTTCGTATACCAGTCCTCTTTGTGTCATTTCATAAATTTTATAAATTTCCAGAGGTCAACCTCTAATTTGTCGTTTTGTTGTTGACTTCGGCTATTTAGGATAATCGCATTTAATAACCTACTACGTTTTCTAACCTTTCTGTGTATTAATTTTTCGAATTTTTTCTATTTGATTTTTTGGAACTTTTGTTTTTCTCTTCAACTTTCGAATGCATGTTGATTTGAATTTTGAGCTATGCAATTAACGAACGTTCCTGTTTAGGTAGACCTTATAACAGCTTTACTACATTCCGGGAACCGCGAAGAAATTCACCTGCATGAACAGTAGTCCTGACACGACCGCGGTAGTATCATCCTGCCTGGGTTCAGATCAGACTTGTCAGGGCAAGGGGATTACCTAATGGAGCATCTTTGCATTATGGCAGTAGTTCCGCCATTTGCATTGCCTTTTTTTTTAATATTTTGTACTTTACTTACCCTGTTTGTTGTATTCTCCGCAAAGCCGCTAGAGCCGTTACGCGAATGAATCGTCATGATTATTACTAACCAATAGGGGACATTATTACCCAAGGTTAGAATTTACGCTGTGTACTATGCGCTCTGCATCAAACTGATTCAAGTTTATTGAAGGTTGATGGTTCTACCGACTAAGCCTATTTTGGTATCGCAGCTTCCTTGCCTTGTCGGATAAGCCAGACCACTGAATACAAAAATAACACACGTTCTAGCTCCAGTGTCATTGTTATTAATGTGGACATCCATATGTTGATAACAAATAAGCATGTTTATGCTGTATGTGAAAGTTAGTGAAGGACAATTTGTCTAATTAGGCCCGTATACTGAGTGCATCGCTAGTGTATTGGTTGATTGCTTCTGTGACTAACTGCGGTTCATCCCTTACTGCTGCTGCTGTTGTTATTGTGTGGCGGTGTTCCAACCATGCCCGTCCCTTCTGCAAAGCGATTCCGGAGATCGAAATGAAACAGGCTATAGGTGGATACCATACGATCCTCAGAGGTGCGTGGATGTGTATGAGCGTGCACTTTCTAAATAGCAGACGAAATCACAGTCTAGCTTTGAATATTCGTATATAGTCCTCAATACGAAGGTATATATATATATATATATATATATAGGTTACACAATGGAACACACGCTTACATAGTGACTCAGTTATGGAAACATCAAAAACACAATTTTCGACAGACACAGCCGCCCAAGCGGATCTGACTGAAGGAATTTCAGAAGATCAGTGGATATAAATATTCGATCGGACAAAGCATTCCATTGTTAGAATCAAACAAATGACCAATTGCAGCGTAGTAAAACACAACTGTACTTTCATCCAGGATTATGGAATCGACAGGAGCAGACGAACATACTTTGGCATTAATAATAGTTAATACTGGAGGAAGGAACTGTTCGCTATCTTGCCCCTGGCAATGCCCGCTTCCGCAATCAATGCTTTGTGTACTAAACTAAGAAGCCCGCGCAATTTTCAAAAAAAAAGTTATATATACTGAGTGAAACAAACGTCTTGAGACGGTCTGTTCAAAGTTATTCGACAATCTGAAAGTAAAGTTTGATACAAAAACCAACGGCTTTTAATACAGCGTACAACGCGTTGATTAGGAAAAGCTTTTACCGACTTTACTTTGCATTGTAATAATAGCTACATCTAAAAGGGGATTGCTTTGACAAATGCGTAGTATTGAGTTGGGGAACTGTTATATCGCTTGCTTCCTGATTTCAGCGACTATTATTTTTCCGTCCAACGAATTTCGCATTTTCGATGTGAGTCAGAAGTAGACGCATATAACGGATCATGTCCCAGAGTATTCTGTATAAAAAAATGCATGTGATTTTCTAAGAAAAATCGCTGGTAATGCTATCCGTGTCTATACCACCCATTCATTGAAAGTTATTATTGCCTAAAAGAACATCGACCGCTTTGGTTGAATCAGGACAATTGATATGGTGGATTCTGCAGTTCAGTCTGGAAACAACATCTGACCAACCATCCTTCATGTTTCAACTTAGATTGAAACGATGAACTTACGCGCAATAATTGAGCACTATCAAAATTGGAAATTGGAGTGGGATTATATAGCGTTTATATTTTTAGGCGCGGATTTTTCCATACTTCTGGCTCATACTGTCGGGAAATTTACTAAATATAACTAACAGCTGAATCTTTATGTGGCTGAAAATTTACTGGACGCTTATGCACCGGCATTACGCCATGAGCGTGGTTTTCTCTGTGATTATTGAGAATCGCGTTCAACTTACCGCCTTTCGACCTCCGATATATAAATATACCTTATATAAAAATTACACCTGGTCGAACTCATTAAAATACAATTCGAATTTGTGGTTCACACGTCTAATCCTTATCATTATGATGGTTCTTTTATGCTATTTTGCGGTAAACTTATTGCCTTAGCTTGCTGCTCGGTACCCGAAAATATAGTAGCTAAAGTTACGAATTTTATGCGAGTATGTAGGGGACGACTTTCAAGATGACGTGTCCAGTCAACCTGATAGTAGAATCGGGTTAAGTTAGCTCACCATATTTTGTGAGGCATAATCAGCCACAACTTCCATCTACAAACAATTGAAAGGCTCGTTGTCGAAAATGTTTGCCAAAGTGGAGAAGTCTGAATGTTGTGATACAATAGACGCAATATTGCGATTGAGTGTGTTATCTCAATATATTGAGTAATACGAGTTGGAATTATCATTAAGTTCACATATTGAGTATGCCGACCATTCGTATGTTTATTTATATGGATATTTTATCCGTTATGTGTTACAGGGACGAGCCGTACAAATGCAACAGGCAGCAGCGCCCGTGGAGGTCGAGCCTCGTTCTACGCCGAGGAAGAAGACGAGCTTCTCCAGTTCGCAATTGAACAGTCATTGGTGGACGCTGGATCGCTGGAAGATAAGGTAAACGAAGAACGCCATTAAGATTAGAATGAAAATCGGTTGTTTAAGGTTCTTGCGCACGCCCGTATAACTGAGAAACGCGATTATATTTGCAAACATATATTTTGCTTTAGGTACACTATGGGATGGAATCGTGTGCGCGGCCATTTGTTCAACCGGACGCTGCTAGATGAATTTCCGTTTCGTCCGGTCAAATTCGAAGTCGTTTTCCGTCTGTACTTACGGTACTATGGTTTTCGGCCGAAGTCTATATAGTCGATAAATTTTAAGTGCCCATCCGTAACGTGAGCGCCTCTTAGTTATTCAAATTGAATGACTGGATCGTTTTGCGCAGGTCACTGTTTGGGAAGCACTGAACTCCGCAGCGCCCCGATACGAAACTAACGGGAACCTTGCGCCAGCGAGCAAGGATGGGTCATCGCTATTATTGCTGCCCCCGTCCAATGGAAACGGGCCGCCTGAGTCAGCTTTGGAGAACCCGAGTCATCAGAACTCAACAAGCCCACTCAACGAGAAACAGTGTCCAACTCATATGGAACGACAGCAAAATCAAAAGCAACAACAAGCCAATGGTCGTCTTCCTCCGCAGCTAAGTAACAACGCCCGCGCCACCCACGCTAGCGATGGCGACATCAGGGCTCATAAGCTACAGTACAAAAGCCACGACAAGCTGTTGTTTCGGTTCGTGTAACTAACGGTTTAGATTCAACCAGGCACTGAAGTAATTAGAAGAACATTAGAAGCTTATTGCATTTGTAGGATGCGGATTTGTAGGATGGAGGTTTGAACTTCTTTTGTTAGAACTCAACAGAGTTCTACCAAAAGAAGATAAAGTCCTATTAGAAAATATATACGTTACTGTTCTTTTATGAAGACCGTCACCATACAATCTAGTTGTTGATTGCTGTTTTGCTAAATTGTCATAAGAAACTACTACCGATTATGATGTGGGCATAAACTAAAAGTCAAAGTAATGCCAGTTTCATTCTATTCATTCCTATAATTCCCAGTAGTAATTTATGAAAAAAAGACGTCGTCGTTCTAAATGACGACACAATTATTATACATATTTCCCGTGAGGTTCAAGTGACACGTCCTGTCGTCTCCGAACTTTCTGAGCTGTATTTAAAATAGTCCTGCTATATTTTATTCTCTAGGGCTTTGCAAAATGGCATCGAGCCGTCGGCAGAGCGCGCGCCAGACGAAGACGATAACGACGACGAGTTGAGCCTTGCTCTGAAACTTAGTAGAGAGCTACGTGAGGAAGAAGAACGAAAAATAGCCGAAGAGGAAGAACTCATGGCTCGAATTCTACAACTGTCGCTCACTGATCAATGAACAACACAATCATTCCCCAAAGAAGCAGTATTGTGTTTAGCTCACCTGTCGACAAAGGTCAGAAACAAATGCGTGTTCGAAAGAAATATCTACTCAAAAAAAAACTTTTCTGAGCCCCTCACGCAAAATGAACGTGGAGTTCATAACGTCACAATACCAAAACTGCCAACTCATAATTTCAGGCACGTAAGGGAATGTCGTGTGCCCGTTTTGAGGGCCACGGGAATGCAATGAAACGGAAAGTATTTAAGGTGTGCTTGGCTTACGGCAAATGCTGAACAAATGAAGTTATCAATTAGGGTGTTAGTCCTGTTCATAGAACCAGTGCAGAGGTCGATATCTCGGAAAATAGGCTAGAGATATATAGAGATGGGACATTAGCTCAACGATCATGCATAGTCTTAACAAAAAGGCCAAAATAACGAGGTTTACTGAACGCTCATTCAACAGTAGGCCACTTGATAAGGTAACACTAGTAGCAACTGGCGGTGTCTAGACGAGTTCACAGTGGTAGCGACGTCTGAATGAGCTACGTAACAACCGATTCCCGAAACAAGCATTGAATTATGACACCGTTAACGAACACTTGCAATACTCTTCCAAAAGAAAATTCGTGTTGGCTGTGTAAACTGCATTTTTCCATCATGAATGTCCATGGCACAATGGAGGGTTATCGGTAATACATATAACGAAAAAAATTGCACGTCAAACCTATATTTGTAGGCTGCCGTTACGAGAAGGTGCCATTGTGTGAACTAAATTGGACAAAAGTACCGCATGAAACTACGTCAGACATTTCGCAAAAAAACCGACTAGGCACAAACTGCGAACGTGAAAACTTTCTCTTGAGCCCTACTAAACCATAATGAAGATGAGCTTGCATTTGCATCTGTCGCTAAAACGCATTCTCGCCCGTTCAAGAGTAGTTATTTATTATATCTATATACAATACACAATCATAATAATGCATGAAACACAGCAGATATGGAACTGTATAAAGAGCCTGTATCGAGTTATTTGTAACGAAGTATTTGCCTTGGCAGGAACTTCACCTAATACGCGAAAAAAAATTACTCCTTGTCAACAAACTAGCGTATGTCTATTGCATTAATCTATTTGGCCTCTTGAACCTACGTACCGGTCTCAATACCTTAATGACAAAGCAAGATAGCATGTAAAATCATGTTTTCTTTCCGTAACGACTCCAAGAAAGAGAACTTCGCAAGCGGCGTTTACTAGCTTACATTTGTTACGCACGATACGTGACTACGAGACAGCAAAGCCCATTCATTGCCTTCGAACGACTTCAAGGTGAGGGTGATGCCGAACCAGTGAGAATGTTAGACCACCATATCTTTATTTGCGGGCGTAATTTCCAACAGTGGTTTTCGCGTACGTATTACGTAACATTTATCTCTCTCGACCAGCATATATATTCTGCACACATAGACACGCTTATGGCTCTGGATCATTACTACTAGTGTTATTGTTATTATTAGAAGATCATATGGAAGTGGAGGAAATGAGTAATAGTTGATTACGTTTTCCTATTACACCGGAAAGCCTTGCTTTAAACGGCTAGCCCTTTCCAGCGTGACACCCAGTTTCAAGCCTACATCATTTACAGGCCTCTGAGTTTAGCAGGCAAACGGCTTACCGTTGGGCCATCATGGGGACTCACCGTTAGTGTTATTGATTGCTCCTTAGACCCCTCCTACAGGGAAACGAGCTCAATTTATAAGAAGGGTAAGACTGTCATCCGTAGTGACATTAACGAATCATTTTTTTCGAGATTTTATCAGTATTGGATTATGCGTATTGTCAGTATGCATGTAGATTGTGATTGTACTTCAGTAGAGAACTTGCGCTGCTCGTCAGAAGCGCTTTGCACAGTGTAAACTTAACTATTATCTAGTCACTTCCCTGAGCAAATGTGCTTGTACACGCTATAGCTGATCACAATAAACACATACCGTATTACCATCGTATTATTAAACTTTTCGGTAAACGATGACCGGACGTACTTTTAGCGTCGCTACGTTCGAATATGGATGTCCTATACTAAATTATGAGTTAGAGATAATGATTCTCATTATCGTTCGTGTCCAATTTGTCCAAACCCGATCGATACCGACGGTTTTGGCGTTGCAGATAAACTCTTAGAATCTCAGACTGACTAGTAAATGTTTAATTTACTATAAAGCCGCTGCGGGTAAACACTTCACTGGACATACCGTAACCGTTAAAGGCCAAATTTATTCTATACTATTGCTAAACGCGACTCCGTTTTTGAAACCCAGTCACGGCCCATTTTATTACGTACGTATCTTGTGCTTTAAGTATATTGTATCCTTTTTTTAACCCTACTAGAAGGGACACATAGTAGGCGTGCATCATATTTTCAAATGAAAAAAGTGCTGTCTTGTCGTTTAGTGTGTCTCTACATTTTTGTTGAAGTATTTTCGTGTGAATAGTATACAATTGTGTTTCCCCACTCCGTTTACACCAGTCGTGGATTGTTGCTTTCTGTTGTTCAAGGAAGAACCGCGTTGTTAATAAACGCTCTGGCGAGCCTGAATAAAGTTAAATGCAATTGTGCTACTTTGACCGTCGTTTGTTAAGTTCCATTTGCCCTAATAAGCATTTCCTGCAAATGGCGCCCTCACGCAAAAATGGCGATTTATTTCTCCCAAAAAAGAATCCATTGAATGAGAGGCTCGACGAGAACGACCGTCTTGAGTAAAACAATTGATATGACCCATTCTATATATTCATTATGTATATAGATGTATATATGTATATGAATAATATATCCAATATGATACTTATGGTCCATACGATTATTTAATGCATATATATATTTTTCCATATTTGTTTGTGTAAATGTTAGTCGACCGGTGTGCGAATAACGGCGGACTGGCTGGTGGTTTCATTAGCTGAACGTCCCAAAAATGATCACCATCCCCTAGACACGTAGAGATTCGTCGGTAATAGCCAGGGACAATATTAGTACTGATATGGCAAAAGTGCAGGGCGGTCCTAGCTTGTTGCACTGAATAGACGTCACTAAGCACAGGGTTTATAATATAGATACTTAGCAATATGCTATAATTGTAATGATAGTGAAGCAATAATGAGAACAATATATAAAAAAGTACCTAGATATGATAAGAGTATGCGAGAATTAGGGTGTGGGCAATATCGGCGGTAGATTGGGTGGCTAATGGATTGACGGTGGCAATAATAATAATAATGGAGATTTCAACCGGCGAAAAAAAGTTCATTTAGCCAATCAATATATAATTCTATGCTAATTCAGATCACTGTAATTTGTTCCGTTATCAGCCAGCCAAATACGACTAGCATGAGGATAAAACGTCCCGTATTTATATATATATATATATATATATATATATACATTGGTGGCAAATACCCGCTAATATAATAAATCGTAGGTCGGTGACGAAGAAGTACTTCCCGGTGCGTATTCGCGTGGTACCAATAAGCTGACCGACTTATGAACACGAAACGAAATGAACGTACGTACGTGTTCAGAAGCGCGCGCATATTCAAATCTACATATACAACCCATTGCATCTATTTATATACATATAATATCTATACGAGAATCTATGTATTAGTTGAAATTGAATAGGAACTGCGATAAGTTCGTTTAGCATGTCACACTAACCGATCACGATATCAGCTTACCGAGGTCGGACAGCGCGAAAGGTTAAGGAAACCCTTTGGCGCCGTAGTACTTACGGAGTAGCTGGCATCTGCTTCATCTAAGAGAAGGAGTTAACGCTGAAGCGAATCCCGACTGGGACAGTAGGGCTGTGGACGGAGGCTGCAGAGATTTTTAACAGTTTGAAAATCACAAAGCGAAGGTCGAAAACTATGGCATGTTAGAATCATGCTGGGAGTATGACATGATGGTTACAAGGGCGCACAAGCATTAAATGAATCAAATATAGATTATACCACAGTTAAGACATGCCAGCTCTATCTGTTCTAGCTTGTCGACCAGATTAGTCATTGTTCAAGAATTACCAGGCATTTCAAGCGACAGATACCCGAGCACAGCCTGGAACGGGTCACGAAGTCGTGAACTGTTCGCTTACAGGCCGAGTGAACCGGATGGGGTGGCAGTTTATACTGAGAACTATGTCTGTTCCGTAAGGATGAAAGATGAAGCTTGGGCTGCGTATGGACTTGTTCGTCGGGACCGTCATTCAACAAAGGACCATTTTGATTTTTTCTTTGCTTTGTTTTGTGTGCTATTTGTCTCATACATATTGACTGGCGATGTAGCAAGCGAGAAGCGCAACCAGGAAGGGCCTGTTTCTGAGCGAGAACCATGATCCTTTTCCACAGTGAAAAAACACAAAACTTATGACTGCGTGAACGAACTGACTGATGCCTTCAATCAAATTTTAGAGAGAACTGAGCGAAAGTTCAATACAATTGAAACTGTTGTATGACGAGAGAGTAGGTCATTAGCGGTACGAGCAATTCATTGGTAACAATCGGGTAATAATCACCCACTGAACAAGTAGAATACATAGCGGTGGATAAAATTGATTCCAACCAACATGCTGGGAAAATAGAAAAATTAATACAAATGGTAACTTTTTTTCCATGATAATATATTTGCACGTATATATTTCGGTTATAACGGATAACAGTTAGATTGTAATAGTGACTGTACAAGGAATACGACTGATAAGGTATGGGCATAGCCGAAGGAAAAGCATAAAATATGTCTAGAACGATCATTGAAAAAGTGGTTTCAAGATCAACCGAGGCAGTAAAAGTATCCATAATAAGGTAGCATGAAAGAAACAATACTGTAATGTATTATATAGCCGTGCGATATATTGATGATTACGGTTTTATCATTGGTTATTAATGGCGATTATTCTAATCTAAGGTCAAACGTAAGTAATTGCTTTCGAACTCATCAAAAACAGGTAGAGGGAAAATGAACAAGTAAGCAAAGGATTACATCAGAGTCGAAGAAGGAGAAATAAACAAACTGTCTGGCCGAGCACTTTTTTTTCTGGAATTGATTTTACTAGGTACCTTCACGATCTCCTGTGCCTACCCACAGTCCTGTAACAAACGAATAATAAACGAACTCTATAGTGACCTCTGCTAGGAAAAATTGTATAAACGTATACGCATTCGTAGGTCGATTATGAGGAAAACAAGGCTCTCTTCCGCTGGGCATGGCGATACGGTTTGCCTATGTATAGTATCAAGCGTGGCCAATTCGTTACTGCATTCAGATGGCCTGTGACGGACCTGTAGGCCTTTGGGGGACGTACACGAAATTCGATTCGCTGCGTTGCTGAGCAGAAGCCCTGCCAAACCGTGCACAATTTTAACGCTTTCTATATCGCGTCAGAGGAGGTCATCCAATGCAAACGTACGCTCCTCTTACAAGTATCATTTCTACAGATATTCCGCTATGGAATTCACTTGAGCTAAATTTGTAAACAGTAAGTTCAACTTATTGCTAAGTTGAACTTACTGTTTACTGTTAAGCTATTGACGAGCTGTAGATTTTCAATTCGTTGTTGCCACGAAGTGCACTAGAAATGACAACATGGTAGAGGGGTTAGTTGTCGGCTTCTAGGCGTAGCGCAATCACAGATGGAGAAAATAAGGACATAACCGTAGGCACAAATGCGTTGGCGTCAAGTCGCGCAGTGGATACGGCAAACGATTCGTGGGTAGTACGAAGTTTTCTTTCTTATGATTAACCTGTTATTGAGGTTTGGCAGAGTAAGCGTTCGACTTCCTCGAATGCGTCCCATGTCGCCTTTGATGTGGCCTCACTCAGGCCAATCCCAAATTCGAAATATGCATTATGTAACTCGCACGAGGGGCGAAGCAGTAAAACATGAGCAGCGCTTGAGTCAGGTAGATCCCTTTGTGCTGCGGGTATCCTGTTTAGAAGATGTACCATTTAAAAATTATGGGTAGTCATCTTTATTGAAAGCACCTTCACAAGCTTTCAGATACTATCTAACTTCTACAAATGCAAGAAATCATAACTGTCCTCGGCGTTATATGCCCGGGGAGCCAGACTTCCTGTACCGCATTAGAATCTATGTTGTTTTCATAGCATACACAGGTAACCATAGCAACATTAAATCGTTTGAAAGTATTTTCGTTTGTCAGCTTACTTTAGGTAATGCGAACTTTTGCACTTCTTCTGCGCTTACAGTTCCATTAGTTAACATTAATTATTAGTTTTAATTTAATAATTCATTCATTCATGAATAGACATACCTTCGGAGTGCAATATCTTCGTTTCAATAAGCTGTTATCTAAACTGCGTAAACTTATCCAAGAGAGCAAGATCTGAAAGTCTATATAATCCTGTTTAAGATCTATTAGACCTGCCTCGGTTATCAACTCTCCGTGGGGTCAAATGTTGCTGTTCTTTGCTTCTCGAGGGCACTTTTTTCACTCAGTTCGACAAGCTGAGTTAAGCTGCAATCGTCTTACTTCGTTTCCGTACCTTTTTTTGAGCACCTTGTCCATGTTGAAACTTAATCGAAATTTAGTAATTTCTGAGTAAAAATCCCTCCTTTATTTCAGACATCAATGTGGCTCCTTTTCCGCTGTGCAAGCAATAATATGTGTATATTCCAGCTGGCTCAGTAAGTGATTTAGGATTATCCGTAACACAAGCAGGCAGTCCAAGATAATGTGGCAGGTAACGGCCGACTGTGCACGTGACAGTAGAATTTCTACTAGTTACAAACTGCAGTGTTTCGTATTGTTCGAAAATTCAGATCTGTATTTCCATGTCTAGAGCATTGAAACAAATTTTGCCCACACTCTGCTGTGCGTTAACCTTGAATCGCTACTAGAATGCCTGTTTGAAGTGCATGTTTTTCAGTCATAGGGGAAGGATAATGAAGTCGGAACCGTTAACGGTAAAATACCTTGTCGCACACAAATGCTCTCTAAAACATGAGTTTTCGACTTTTTCTGGCGGCTTCTTGCGAGTACATATTGTGTTAAGTTGCACCTGCGTGATTAGGTCAGCTCCTGCCTTAAGAAAGCCTTGTATTTAGCCTTCTTGTTAGGTACTCCAGTCCTTCGGTATCTTTCGTTTTGACCGATAAAGATATCTAAACTGTATTTTATATATGATTGCTGTTAAGTGGCCTTACTCTAAGTAGACCTACTGACCAAATCTCAAGGTCGCGTAGGGTCTGAGGGTATCAGAAAAATTTGTTAGCGTCTTTAAGCTTACTAAAATGGCCATCAGAAATTTGACGCTATTTAATGGAATATCATGAACTTCCTTTATCTCAAGCAGAAATTTCACGGATATCGTTTATGTGTCATATTGCATGTATATGCACCTTTGTAATTCAAACGTTTTTGGTAAGTTGAAAGAACAGGAAAGCAGTTTGCTGAAGCACATCGCGGATGCTAACGAACTACTCGGCCAATTACCTATTGATTTTTCTCAAATAGTATCATATTGTTTTGTTCATAGATAAATTTACGTTATTTGTTCGTCGAGGAAACGTTGCTCGACCTCGTGGCACCGTTAAAAACGTCGATGTCGGAACGCAACATAACTGAACTTGAATTTCTTTTCCGTTAGATTGATATTTGGCCTTCATCTTACTGGCGTCATGGTATTACATTTCACTGATCGCATCATTGTTATATGTGAGACAGGTACTTGATTAATGATCTCGTCATGGTATGTCTCAGGAGAGAGCGACATGAGACCCATGGTTTTTTTTATATTATAATTACCGTCTCTTTAGAATAGAACAGGTAAGTACGTAGCTTGTTTTAATCAGGGTAAAAGCGTATTTCGTTCAATAGGTAGAGTTGGCGATTGATCACACTCGATTTTGTTGTGTTATATGCTACTTCGTTCTTAAGCCATGGCAGGTATGCACACATTTTCCCTTAATCCGTTTTCTAGCTTTCGCACAGAAAACACTTAGGTCCTATTCTCTAACCGATCAACCGCGCGATATAGCAATATTAAAGACACGGCAAGGCAGAACTTGTTATTGAAACGTTCAAAGATCATTTGTGTCCTTTTCAAGAATCTTTCGTCTTCATATAGATATCGTCATTGACTTAATATTAAACCGACGTCGTGTTACCGGCAGCTGAAAACTGGTTCTTTTTTTTTTAGTTAGACAGGCCAAAATGCTCCTTCATAGCTCATCTATATAGAGGTAACGTTTCGGAGCAGCGTTTAGGAAATGCGGGATCATTTGTTTCATTGTAATAATCTATGGTCACCACACATCAGAGACTGACGTTTATTACTATTACTCTATTAGTGCACCTTCATATTATCCGTTAAACCGCTACCTAACGGCAACAACTATGAGACCTTCAAATCTCGTTTCCTGTTTCTGACCCCAATTGATTTTTCCAACTCTTGTGCCTAGCTTTCCTTGAGTATTAGAAAATGTTCGTGATAACATTGTGGCGTAGCGTAAGAACATCGAAAAAAAAAAACAGGCAACGTGAATAGACGACATGTGAAAATTATCAATAGCGCTCGTACCCTTCTATAATTCTCAATAAACTCTGTCAACTATAACGTGTTCGGCAACGATGAGATTTAGCTCTGTTTCATCAACTGCTAACTGAATTAGGCAATTTACAAAAAAAACTTTATTTTCTATCCCGACGATTTTTTTATGGCAAGGGAAGCCTTATAGAAAGGCTTTTTGTTTCTATACTGCGTCCACTACGGTGTCTGCCGAC